TTAGGGCACTTCATACCTGTATGTGATATTTTAGCGAGAACACAAATGGCTACTATTAGGTTACAAGCTACGCATTAGATACAATTGTGTGCGTGTTTTAGACAAGAAAATAAATCATGAACATTAAAAATAACTCCTTTAAATTGTTATTTCATTTGAGACCCTACCCATAAGGTTTTCAGTAATATAAAAAAGTACACTGCCAGTCTTTCATCGCCAGATTGTGCGGTCTACTGGTAAAGGCAGTGCTCTCCGAGTTTAAGGGCGAAGGTTCGAGCCCCAGATAGGAATGCTTTTTTCTTCTATTTCATTTAAGATCCTTCCAAAAAGGATTAAGTAAAATAAAAAAGTCCATGCTTACACCACAAGAACTGGTTATGTAGTGGTGAAGACGATGATCTGCCAAGTATACAGTCGATGGTTCAAGCCCTGGATAAACCGAAAAAGAACAAGGTAATAAAGTGAGAATTTGTGAGTGTGAGAGGAGTAGAGCGAGAGGGCGAATATGCCCTCGCCTTGGGCGAGGAGTAGACTGAGGGGGGTTCTTTTTCCCCCGGCTTTCCTGACTTTCAAAGCAAGCTTTCTTCAAACATTTAATTGAGTTAGGGGATAGTTAGGGATATCGGAGGATAGGAAAAAGTAGGGATAGATAGGAGTAAATAGGAGGATAAATAGGGGTAAAGAGGTTTAAATGAGTACAAAAAAACTTAAACATTTTATATCGTGTTTTCTCACCTATCCCTTTTTCCTTGCCCCGGGAGCCGAGGCCGCCCGGGGCAGCCGCCCAATTACTAAGTCTTTTTGTACTCATATACCCCTCATTCACCCTACCTATCCCCTGATTTCCCTAAAGATTAACTTTGATTTGCAAAGATTAATCGAGTACAAACTTTCCCCAAGCAACATACCTACCAATTTTCTTTTTTTTTTATTTTTCCTTCCACCACCATGAGGAACGTACCATACTGTTTTTGATACCTCGATCTTGTACTTGACAGTCCACGATTTTACCACAAGGCTAACTGGTGATTGTTGGAAGCCTGCACCAATTTATTCACCATAAACTTACCACGTTGTATAAATAACGAAAATTTTCATCTAAAACGAGATTCGAACCTTTGACTGTCAACACATGGGACTAACATCTTGATCACAACACTACAAGAGCTTGTGCTGAAAAACCATGGTTATTTAATTTACTTTATCCTTTTCACAAAGTTCATAATGAAAAACGGTTATGGTAGGATTCGAACCATCGATTTAGAACTTGGGAGTCCATTATGTTAGCCACTAGGCTACAAGATCTTCTGCTGAAAGACTATGGTTATTTAATTTACTTTATCGTTTTCACAAAGTTCATAATGAAAAACGGTTACGGTAGGATTCGAACTATCGATTTACCACTTTTTTTATTTCACATTTTTCGGAGACCATTGTATTAACCACTAGACTACAAGATCTTTTGCTGAACGGCTATGGTTATTTAATTTACTTTATCGTTTTCACGAAGTTCATAATGAAAAAGGGTTTATTAGGATTCGAACTATCGATCTACCACTTGGGAGACCATTGTCTTAGTCATTAGACTACAAGCAGTATAGTAGGATTCGAACCTCCAGTTTGGAACCGGGCAGAGCATTGCCTCACCACTAGATCAGCAGAACATTTAGCGACTAACCCTATTTTATTTTATGAAATCTTTTGTCGAAGGATTGTACATAAATTAATGACCTCAATGAGTTATGATGAATTATGTTCTTGCCCAAAACGCAAGTAACTGTACCTTATATTCTCAACTTTAACCTAATATCAACCATTTGTGTTGACGCTATAAAATATCGCAGATATGGAACGCCTTGAGCAAAGAAGTATTACTCTGCCATAAACTAATTATATGTGGCCCAGGTGAAGCCAATGGTCACGGTACGATTTTTTACGATCAATAAAGTTAAGTCTGATTTCACAGGTCACAAAATGAAATTTGGGGAAAATGGTATTTCATTTGGTAGATTAATTAGAATGTTTCAACCAGTGGTTTCAACATTCGCATCTAATTTCACAACTGAAATTGCACTCCAATTTCAGGCAACAGATATTAAATAACTTTAATTCTCTTAAGGCTTCTGCGTTTTCTCGGCGCCGCTCGCCACAACATCTTCGTTTCCTTTATATAGTAACGATTAGTAAATGCTTATTAATTAATTTGATAGATTTGAAATATTTATTCAGGGTTCCGAAATTAAAAAACTGCAGTCTTTCATTAACTTCAAAATTAACCTAAATAATTTAGGTAACTAGAGTACCCAATGGAAATTAAATTTCAATATTGAGAAGTGTACCATCTCCATGCACAATAACAAGAAAACGAAATCCGGTGTCTTGTGGCTATACTATTTGAGGCTCCTTTATTAGGAGAGTCAGTGAGCAACGTGATCTGGAAGTACAACTGAGTAGTAATGCTACTTTTGGTGAGCATATAATTATACACTCAATTGCAAGTTAATAAGGCAAACAGGATGTTGGGGTTTATTCGACGTACAATCTCTAAAAAGATATCTCTGTACATTACTTTGGTGAGAAGCCAAGTCAATTACGTTGATCAAGTTGCTTGAAAATGTTCAACGACGTGCCATACGTATGTTAATGCCAGAAATGAAATATATAAGGAACGACTGAGACAATGACGATGAGAACTGGTTTATATAACTGTTCTATTGATTCTTATGTCGAGTCTATTGATTCTTAGGCGATTAACTGCTGAAGGGAAATTGAAAATTCCTAAATGTAGAACTAAATGTCGAAAGGCGACATTCTTTGATTGAATAGTATATCTATGGAACAACCTACCAGAAAATATTAGAACTTTCAGTGGTAGCGTTGCAAAGTTTAAATATTTATTTATTTATCTATTTTGCTTTGCCACTTGAATACAAGATACAGTAATACAAACACGAAAAGCACAAAATTAATACAAATGTATGAATATATATATATTCACAAACTGATAATCGAGGCAGGGTATTGCTACAGCTCACGCCAATTATAGCAGCCCTTTCAAAACAAATAAAACATCATACAATCTCCACACAATATATAGTTTACATTCAGGAAAATCGTCCTCATGATAGGAGCAGAATATAATTGTACTCTGTGAGTTCACGAGAGCAAAATGACTGCTCAAATCTCACAGGAATATCTACCTGTGAGGAAATTACGTGTAACAAAGCTGGACATGCAAAACGAACACAAAGACAAACATTTGAATTAATAGCAACACGAGTTTGAATTAGACAAATTACGGGACGCGTTACAAGACAAACAAACAGACTTCCAAGTTCTAGGATTTTCCGCGTTATGTTTATTCAAGGCCGAATGGTAATAGCTATAGAGATCGTTTTTGAATCGACAAAAGCTTATGTTCTTCGTTGTCAGCCCGTTTGGAAATTGAAAGAACATTCAATACTCTCGCGCACCTAGAAAAGAATGACTTCGGGAATGTTACAGTCTTATCCCGATCGACCTCGAGTTTCTTGGGATGTACGATCCTTGACATTCTCGTTGTTTGATACTTTTGATCTCGATCTTTTGCCTTTTAGTGGAACAGCTTATCATGGTTCCTTAGTTCCTTTTTTCATGCACATTCCTTATTAATTTATATGCATACTAGAAATACATGCATGCAAAATCTTCTCACCTGAAGCAATAAACATTATTTCCATCACCGAAATTCAATAATATTCGTTTCTGTTGAATGATCGACGTCGTATAAGTAGAATCCTTTATAAAGTAGACTCTCGAGTTAAAGGGACAAATTAAAATTTAAGAGAAAATGGTTGTTAACTCAGTAGTTTTATCAGAATTTTGCAACATATGCAAGTAAATTCACAGCTATAAATATAATTGCACACCAAGTCTTATTAAATAACTCTACTTCTCTTGCCTACTCAAAAACTGCTCTCAAAATCTTTATGAATATGGTTAAGAAATGAAGTGAAGCAAGAACATTTAAAAGTTTGTTTATATCTTGGACTGGTGCACCGTCAGCACATGCCGAGTACATGCCTGCACACGAAGACACAGTCTCTTATTTTACTCAAACCTTTTTTCCAAGGATTTTTATATGATAGAAAAATATTCGGCTCAGGAACTAGAACCTCCGCTTTAAAAATCGGGAGAAGTTCGCCATCATCAACAGACCACCAGAACTTGCGGTGAAATGCTGCATTTTTCTATTTAACTTTCTCGACGAATTTATATGAAAAAATGTTTTCAAATAGAAAAACATCCCTTAAACATCCCTATGCAGAGCTCTTGTGGAGAAAGGCTAGAGTTTTAAATTTCTGTTTTAAATGCAATGAGAAAAATTCCAGCATGGTTACAGGTTACAAATGGTTACAGTTGTTGTATTTTAAATGAAATCAAGCCTCTCGAGTCTAAAAACTAAACATATACGCTCTGTAAATTCGGAAAATTTCCAGCATCCCGGACTCACTTCCCCGCAGGTGTGTTTATTATAAAGCCGTATATCAATTTTTCGTACGAAAGTTAAAATCGTCGATACGTATAGTGCAAATTACCGGGCTCAAAAATATTTAAAGCTGTAATCAAACGGTCGCATTCTGTCTCAACATCGTCCAACAAGGTTATACAACAAAATTGCAACAAAATGTTGCGATCGTTTGGCAATCTTTTTACAGAATATTGCATGATTGTTGAGTTCAAATTTCAAATAATGGTAAATAATATTATAATATAAACAGGGAAATTAGTGTAATTATTTCTTTGTTTTCATCATAACAAATTGTAATGTTACTTATTGTGCCAAATCAGGTTTCCTCGATTGCGTTGGCAACATAATGATATTCCAATTTTTTTTTCATTTTTTGTTTCCTCTTTCCTATTATCTTTATCACGGGTTCGGCACCCATATAGGCAAAATATGTAGCTACTCTCCCCTGAGGAAAGCCAGGTCGAAAGCTAGGTCGAAAAATTAAAAGGTTTTTTGTCTTCTTCAGGCAGTTGTTATATCACATTTGACGCGAAGTTGTTTGAAGACGCTGCCAGGCTACATTGTAATTAGGCTACATTCGAGTGTTATTTGACTTCACGCGCGAGATTAACTCTTCGTGTTTATTTAATTTTTTTATAAAACAACAAGTTGCGATTAGACATATCACAAATCCATTTCCTATGAATCTGAAAAATAATCACCTATCGGTACGGACACAAATCGCTACTATAGCTACGTCACTGAACCCCAGTTAAAGGTTTTACTAAAATAACACGAAAATGTTGATAAAAGCAGTTCTTCATTCTTCAAACTCCACGCATGCGCACGCATATCCCAAGTGGTAGAACTGCAAATTAAAAAAAAATTTACATATGAACTTTTAAGTTTGAGTCATTCACTTTTAAGTTTCAGCTTGTAATTTATAGGGATGTGATAACTGTGTAACTAGACTAGTTTTCGGTCACTTAGTCAACAGTTTTCGGTCATATAGACATACAGTCATTTAGTACGCACATGCAACGATGCACAACTCCCAAGGAGGACGTACCAGTTATACTGCACGAATTACTAACCTTATTGAAATCAAAAATCTACAGTTTGCAGCATTTGAATTCCTCGATACAATACAGGAGGTCGCAAGTGGACCTGTATAGACCAGTTATATAATGACCAGGTTTTGAGCACGACACCATCCCCTGCCTATTGTAGTCGAATTTAGCCCAAACGTTCTCATTGTAGCAGGACTTGTAGGAATTCGGCGCCCCTCTGGGCTTGCAACACCACGCTTTCTCAATATTGTGCAAATTTTGTCCTCGTGAACGAGACAGGCCTGACAAATAGTACCCGGTTTTACACAAGTTCCATGTGTTTTTTCTATATTTATTAAAAAAAAAGGAATAGTTTTCATGACGCAGTGAAATTTAGTGAAAAAATCAAAACACAGACAGTAGGAAATAACTAAATGAAGTAAAACCATGTTTGAAGGTTTCCTGTTTCCTGTTCGAAGGTAAACTGAACACTGAGTTCTTACCTTGAATTAGCTAGCTTATATATGATCTACGGTTATTGGTTGAAAAGAAAAGTAATGCCAGTAACCTGAGTTTTAGATTATTAAGGCTGTGCAAAATTTTTATGCAGGCAAGGATTTTTGTTCCCTAACGATGATCGTTGTGACATTACAAAGTCGAATAGATCTAGGATAAGCGGTGCTTTCTATGAATTCCACGAATTCTAGTGCATAGATTTAGTAAATATAAGAAAGAATGGGACGATAAAAAGAAATGAAATAAACTATGTGTTCGGAAGAGTTTCTATATGATGAAATTAACTTGAATATACCGACGGAACAGTTTGATAAGATCCTGAATGTATTGAAAAAAACGAGCATGCAAACTTCAGTCTGATATATTAGGATCGAATAGGTAGGCTTATACGCTATAATTTAGTAAGCCAAACTTACCTATCAAAACTTATGGTCCAATCCACCACCAAACATTCACTATTCATATACTTGTAACCTTCACAGCACTCGGCTTTTTCCAGATGAAATATGAAATCATTGAATGGAAATACTGATCTGCTTCGGTAAAAGCCATCAATATAAGGAAATTTGCCATCACATTTTGACCATCCAGCTCTGTCAAAACTTGTCACCCAGTTTGCATTTGTGCATGAGCCAGTAGCTACAACGGTTGCAGAAAATGGTTTTTAAGTTTTAACAGTACATCGGAAAACTAATGAGAAAGAGAAAGAGCCGATCGGTATGATAGATACCGCGAAATTGGTACGGCTTTATGACCTCGACAATATGCTCTGTAAAAATTGCACGATTTTATCTTTCTAATAAAAAAAATATAAATATCGTGCGATTTTTGCTGGTGCAATTAAGGAGTATAGCACTCGTAATGTGTTTAAAAAGTTCATCACCTCGCCTTTCACAAGTTTTTCCAAAGAATCCGTAAGAGCATTTGCATGAGAACGTGAACTTTTCCAAGTCACTTTGACATCTTCCACCGTTTTTACATGGACTACTTTTGCAAGGATCGACTAAGAATTATAAATACGCAAACATTTTACAACCATAGAATTTGTCACATAAATACAGGTGTATAACGTACAGAAAGTAAACTCTCCCCAAAAAGTAAGTGACAGGAGAGAAAAACGTAGCTACAACAAACTAAGTGACAGGAGAGAAAAACAGGACGGAAATCCCAATTGACATTTTTGTGTAATTTTATAACAAGTGACTGAAAAGTAACCAACCTTTTAACTGACACTTATTGCCTTCGTAGTGTTCTGTACATTCACATTTGAAACCATCATCTGATTCGACGCACTTCCCGCCGTTTGCACAGGGAGAAGAGTCGCATGGATTGACTGCATGTAATTAAATGAATATGGTTACTACTCAATTTTATATATTCCCGCTTTTCATCTTGTTTGGGTTTTCAACCCGGAATTATTTTCGTTGCTATACTCGGTTGCTGTCGATGGGATGGGTTTATGCGTAAGTTTTATCACGAATATATAACCATGCACGGTTCCTTTAATAATCGAACTAAGAAAATTCAAATTATAACGAGAAAGTTGTTCCTTTTTTCGCTCTAAACACACAAAAGACCAATAAAAGAGAGAGTAAATTGTGCGACTTTACGTTTTTGTATAGTATCATTATAAGTATGACTAAATTATTATAGACAAAATATTCGTACCTTTCACTTCACATGTTTCCCCTTCAAATCCTTTCGAACATTTGCAAAGGAACGTGGAGTCTTTCATGTCGCTCAAACATTTCCCTTCGTTCTTACACGGAGTACTGCTGCAGGGATCAACTGTAAAAAGTTTGATTTAGCTAATTGAATGCCTGACCATTGTCGAGTAATTTCGAATTACTATAGCTATATCCGCAGTGTTTTGCCTTGTGTGTATAATTATAACAGTTAGAACAGTTTAAAAGATACGGTTGGAATTAACTGAGAGATTTGAGACAATCATTCCTCGTTTGATCTACGGCTTTGTGACAGATATGGAATACATCCCTTTCTGTATACCTACTAACTGATTATTGACTGAGCGTGAGATGTGTACTGTAAAATATCAGACAGAGGCTTTTTAGTATGGCTTTAGATACTGGTTCAGATACGGAATATACAGACCACGGTTAGGGTATGGGTTTAGGGACCACTCGTCAACCAATCAGAATGGATCCGGAGGATTTTGAAAACCCATATAATAAACTCTTCCTGAATACGCCTCTTTGTAACATGATACTGTTTGCGGTTGTCTCTAAGATGTCCAACAACATATGTAAACTCCAAATTAGTGTGATATACCTATTGATTGACAAGTATCGCCTTCGAATTGTGCTGTACATTCACACTTGAAATTGACTCCATTTTTCACACAATTTCCACCATTTTTACAAGGAGAAGACTCGCATGGATCGATTATAAAAAATAATTATATTGGATTTAGTATAATTATACAACACTGTTGGACGTACAGTTTACTAATGAATACTGAAGGATAACTGCTCTGACATGTGCCGGTAATTTACCTAAAAAAGCAGTGCAACAATGCTCTGTAAAATCAGGTTGGTGAAACGATTATTTAAAAACTCGTTCTGTCAGTATACATCAGAAAACATCTCGTTTTAGGAATATTTTTCGTCAAAGCAGCAAAAATATTGGTTGTTTTAGCACTTTTGACAAATTGGAAGAATGAATGACTAGCTAGTGAAAGAAATTCATATTTTGTATGCTTGCTAAATGATGATTTGCTAGTTGTAAATACTAAACTGTTTTTTAATACCTATGGGAATTATTTTTAATACCTATGGAGTGCGATTATTCCTTAAATTGAGTATTTGCCATTGATTACAGCAGATATAAAATTATTGAGCTTTACTGTACTTCTCTCGACCAGTCAGCATCCCGTAATTTTATCATGTAATAATAAATGCTTAAAATTGCACCCCTATGTTCCAATGAAATTGCAGTATTTGTCACTGCATGCTCGCAGGAGTGTTTTTCTTCATTTTTTTAATATGGCGGATATGGCATCTATGAAGGGCATATACGACTCCGTTTTACCCATTTTTACCTTTCTTTTCACATGTGTCTCCTTTGTACTCCGTGGGGCATTTGCAGAAGTACGTGAAGTCGTGCAGGTTACTAAGACACTGTCCTCCATTTTCACATTGACTGTCCTTGCACGGATCAACTAAAAGGATACAGACTTCGATCAGTTTGAATTCTCTACCCTTTGCAAAAATATTGCACTATAACTTATATATTGAATCGGCTACGGTAAAGGTTGTAAACGTATCAAAGTCAGATTTGTGGAAAACTGATATTTGAGTGCTCGATTACTAAAGCCCTAAACCGGGCGGGGCCCTAGGTGAGTCCGCTTCTCAGGGGGGGGGCTTGGTTAATATCACTGAATCTCAAATATTGTATAATATAGGTGAAAACAAGAGATTTTCAAAATCTGATATAGAAACATTGTTAAAACAACTTTATTCCTCGTGTTATTTCCTGTCAAAATGTATGAATTATTCATATTTTTAACGGAGCTGCTTCCTCTGCAGTGTTCTGTAGTATGTTCAAAAGCTATAATATATAATCTCCAAAATTACGATGCACAATTTAGCGCACACAGCTTATGGATCTCGTGTTTGTGCATAAAAATCCATTGGAAGGGTTGGCACCGTAAAATGGTTTGGGGAGGATGTATAATCAGGGGGCCCTTCCTTAATAGAGAGGTTAAGATACCCCGGTTTCGGTACGGATACGGTACGGGTAGACATATTTTACTCATTGGAATTTCTTGTTGTTTGCAAGTTTCGTGATACAAATTATGCTTGCCTCAAGAGGCTAAAGTCCACTGAAAATAAATTGTCGAAGTAATCGTTGAAAAAATTGAAAAGTGATGATGGAAATTCAGCGAACAAAATAAGGCTATCTGTACCCGTATACCGGAACCGGGGAATCTTAACCTCTCCGGGGGCCCATAGTTGGAGATTTACGCCACTGAGTTCGCTCGATCTGGTGAAACAATAAGAGAGCACAAAGATCCTTGCAATTAATCCTAGAAATCCTGCGTTTACACCAAACCAAAAAGTACCAACCTATTGACTCGCAAGTATCGCCTTCATAATGCTCTGTGCAATTACACTGAAAATCATTTCCCTTATTTTTACATCTCCCACCGTTTTTACAAGGCGAAGACTCGCACGGATTTGCTGAAGCAAACGTGAAAAACATATTAATAGTCAGAATTAGCAATCATTAAATATATTGATGAAAATATTTAAATCCGCGAATGCCGCTGTATGTTACCTGTCTCCTCACAATGTTCTCCTTTGTAACCTTCAGAACATTTGCATGTGAAAGAAAAATCTTCCAAGTTGCTCAAGCATTGCCCTCCGTTCTTACAAGAATCACTTTTGCATGGATCAACTAAAATGGTATTTATTTGAACTTTTTCATAAATATTTCCGTGTCTCTGCATTGTGTAAAACGTTTTAAAACAGTCACTGCAAACATAATTATACACAATAGCAACATATTTTACCAACCTATCGATTCACAAGTATCGCCTTCATAATTCTCGGAGCATTCACACTGAACGTCTTTTCCTATATTTTCACATTTTCCACCATTTTTACAAGGAGTAGATCCGCATGGATTAGCTAAAAAAATTGGGAATAGAATTCAAGTATTATTGCAGTTTTGCCGTTGACAAACTCTATTTCATTTTCGAAAGATTAATGCGCCATTTTCTAAATGCCGATGAGTGTGAAATGTCAAATATTATGATATCACTGATTCCCACGTCAAACGTACAGGATTATCTTCCGAGTTTTTTAACCGCGATTGGGCGCTATATCTATATTTATTGTTACCTTTTTCTTCGCATTTCTCCCCTTCGTATCCTTCAGAGCAATTGCATGAGAAGGTAAAGGTTTCCAAGTTGCTAAGACAGTGTCCACCGTTCTTACATGGATTGTTTCGGCATGGGTCAACTATTTTTGAAAATTAGGAATATTTTAATTATTTTGATTAAAATCTTTTGGAAGATATTCATGATATATAAAAATTAAAAATTAACAAATGGGTATATTTATGTTTTCTGTTGTAGATTGGTACACGCGCATGTATGCACAGTGTATAGAAGAATTGAGCAGTGCTCTTGTATAAGGGGAAAAATTACAGAAGTCATTGCAGAACTTAACACTTTTGACACAAAAAGTACCAACCTATTGATTCACAAGTATTTCCTTCATAATGCTCTGAGCATTGACACTGAAAGCCATCTCCCTCATTTTCACATTTCGCGCTATTTTTGCAAGGGGAAGACTCGCACGGATTTGCTGAAGCAAGCGTGAAAAACAATTAATATTCAGAATTAGGAAACAGTAATTTTGAATCTATGAATGCCCCTATAACTATATTGTTACCTGTTTCCTCACAATGTTCTCCTTCGTAACCTTCAGAACATTTGCACTTGAAAGAAAAATTTTCCAAGTTGCTGAAGCATTGTCCTCCGTTCTTACATGGATTGTTTCGGCATGGATCAACTATATAATATGAAAAAATGAGATGTTTTAGTTATTTTCATTTAGAACCTTTTAGGAATATTTTTCACTTTAAGTAATATCCTCATGAACTGTTTTATATTGCTACCTGTACGCACAGTGTTGAAATGTTGTACCGCTGTTGCATGTAATGTACAAGGGGAAATTTTTTTGCTAAACATAAACACTTTTGACAAAAAAATACCTATCGATTCACAAGTATTCCCTTCATAATTCTCTGAACATTCACACTCAAAATCATTTCCCTTATTTTCACATTTTCCATCATTTTTACAAGGCGAAGACTCGCACGGATTTGCTGAAGTAAAGGCGAAAAACATATTAACAGTCAGAATTAGCAATCATTAAATTTGTTGATGAAAATATTTAAATCCGTGAATGCCGTTGTATTGTTACCTGTCTCCTCACAATGTTCTCCTTTGTAACCTTCAGAACATTTGCACGTGAAAGAAAAATCTTCCAAGTTGCTCAAGCATTGTCCTCCGTTCTTACAAGAATCACTTTTGCATGGATCAACTATAATAGTTTTTGATTTAAATTTTTTAATCTTTTTCACAAATATCATGATCATTGCAAAACAAAATTACGCACCATTGCAACATATTTTACAAACCTATTGATTCACAAGTATCCCCTTCGTAATTCTCAGTGCATTCACACTGAAAATCGTTTCCTTTGTTTTCACATTTTCCACCATTTTTACAAGGAGTAGACTCGCATGGGTTAGCTGTGGAAATTGGAATAGAATTCAAGTATCATATAGTAGTTTTTTTCTGCTGACAAACTTTATTTCAATGTCGAAAGATAGATGTGGCATTTAAATGCCGTTGAGGTGGAATATCAAATATTTTGAGATCACAGACTTCCACAGCCGCTTAAGATCATCTTCTGAGTTTTTCAACCGCGCATATACACTTGTTATTATACGGCTTTTCAAAATCCTTTATTCCGATTGGTTGACGAGCAGTCCGTATAAACTCATATTCGAACCGTGATCAGTATATTCCGTATCTGGACCTGTATACCGGATATCTGATTTTTAGCCATATAATAAACCGATTATTGACCTCGTTTGTTCGGTCAATGCTGTGAAATATCAGTCCGAGGTTTTTTCCATGCCTTGGTCTGATATTTCACAGTACAGATCACACGCTCGGTAACACATGTAGCTATATTGTTACCTGTTTCTTCGCATTTCTCCCCTTCGTATCCTTCAGAGCATTTGCACGAGAAGGTAAAGGTTTCCAAGTTGCTAAGACATTGTCCACCGTTCTTACATGGATTGTTTCGGCATGGATCAACTAATATGAAAAAAGTTCTTTTTAAATTCTGTTTAAAAAATCTTTTGCCCGACGCACTCCTTATGGTTACTTTATAAACGACGAATTTGACTTGGTATGCGTGGATTTACTGTCTTCTCCGCGTGCAGCGCTCTCGTATAAATGGTATATTTTACACAGTATAATCATTACGGAAAATAACCACTTTTGACACAAAAAGTACGAACCTATTGATTCACAAGTATCCCCTTCATAATGGTCTGAGCATTCACACTGAAAATCGTTTCCCTTGTTTTCACATTTTCCACTATTCTTGCAAGGATCGGACTCGCATGGGTTCGCTGTTGGAATAGATTTTAGAATTGAACATTTATAGCTTTGTTGATGGCCATCTTTTATTCGTAATTCAAATGAACAAATTCCAGCTTTACCTGTTTCTTCACATTTCACTCCTTCGTATCCTTCAGAGCACTTGCACGAGAAAGTGAAGTTTTCGAAGTTACTTAAACATTCTCCTCCATTTTCACATGGACTACTCTTACATGGATCGGCTAAAAGACAAAGAGTGTGAAATTAATCAAGAGTATGTTAAATACATCGAACGTCATGGTTCCTATCCACACTGAGGGTCGGATTTTGTATCTGTTCTCTGTAGTATGTTAATATACGCCTGGCATGCAAATGAACATGCCGATATACATTCTTTGAGGATCTTTGATACAAGACTCGTGTTTTATGACCATTATCCTTACAAAAACTGTTTGCCTCGACGCCCCTATACTATATATATATATATATATATATATATATATATATATATATATATATATATATATATATATATATAACTATATAGACATGTGCACATGCAACACGTTCCTTTCCCAGAGGTAGATCGCGCAATTAGTAGTATAAAAGTGATCCCCTTCTATCTGGAATTTTTTTTGAAAATGCACATTTTAACGTAATATAAGCATGTAAGTGTTTGGCAGAAACTCAGCAGTTGGGGCGTATAAAATTTTTCCAGAGTATCTAGTTGCTCTTTGATCTTTTTGTCTGAAAATTCTAAATAATATAAACAATACTAAATCTTAAATATATTTACGCTCATTCCAAGAATGACTTTGCTCTTACTACTGGGAGTGATATTCATGCAATGATCGCCACTTCTCTAAACGTTCGACCATGAAAAACTTATCACTAAATCAAACCACCTGTTGTAGAGTGAATTATTTTGGTACTTTTTTTTATAAATGGAAATAATTTTTCATATTAATAGGTGCTCAAATTTCCTGTCCCAATCTTCATCTTACAATTTTCAAAAAATACAGAAAGCTATCTTTTCGCATATCTTATATAAATCTTCATATAAAATTTCTTTCTGGAACGTCAATCACGAACAACATGATTCATGTCAATTAGCAATGTCGTTGACAATCATAAAATTGATAATTACAAACCTTTGCATTGACAAGTATCTCCTTCATAGTTACTTGAACATTTACACTGAAAATTCTGTCCAACGGCAGAACATTGTCCAGAATTTTCACAAGGCGATGGATCGCATGGATCAACTATAAAAACATTTAAAACAGTTGAATTCTCATAATTCTGTGCCATAATTCCTTCACCTCGATGGTATTTTAGGTGTATTCAAATACCGGATTCTTTCACAAAAAAATAAGCCATGAGGGCATATCGTTTATCAACATATATAAATCCTGCTAAAATTAATATTATCGTTATCTGGCAGCATAAATTTCTGGAATTTTTTCTAAAAAACGATTTCTAAAAAATAAGCATTGTAAACATCGTTGTTATACCTTCCTCTGCGCAAGCGATTCCTTCAAATCCCTTTGGACACTGGCAATAAAACTCTTCTTTTTCGTAGTCGCTAAAACACTTCCCATCATTCTGACATGGAGAATTTTTGCAAGGGTCCACTATAGGTAAGAAATAAATAACTTTCTTTGTGATTGCCGTATTTTCTGATGTGATGGTTGCTTTAGCGGCTGTGTACAATTCAAGAAGTATACATCCACGATCTAAGACGTTTATTAATTACCTATTTTCGTGCCACAATCGGTTCCCTTGTATCCTTCTAGGCAGTTGCACTTGTATGCCTCGCCGTCATTTTCACACTTTCCTCCGTTTTTACATGGCGAACTTTCACATGGAAGAACTATTTACGAGTAATATATACGAGTAATGTTACTCTAGAATAAGCTTCGAAGAAGAAAAGAAACTGAAACCATAAAATTCTCTAAGTTTTGAACGAATATCATCAACGAAAAGTATATATCGCATACTGTCGCAAGCATTGTGTTATTATTTCTATATTGTCCAAATATAATAGCACAAACTACAAAAGAGTTTGTCGTCAATCGCTTATACATACGACGATACGATAACATAGCATTATATATTGTAATGATGAATACGGTCGGAAAACCCGTGACTGTTACCAACCTCGCAAGCCAGGCTCTTTTACCTACGACTGTTACGGCCTCAGAACTTGGTCGCGCTCGTTTTCGCATTTTTTTAAAAATATATGTGACTTCTAATCGGGGCGGTTTTATACTATAACACTAACCTTTTTCTGAACAAGTTTTCCCTCTATACCCCGTTCGGCAATCACAGGTAAAATGCGATTTGTCGCTTCGACACACGCCGTTGTTTTCGCATGGGTTTTTAAAACACGGTTCCGCTAAGAAGGAAGAGAAAAGGTGTTATTATCATGTCTCGTGACACGACTGGATACTTGGTTCTATATTAGGTGGATCCACTGGCCTATTCACGACGCTCAAAAATAGGGCTTAATCGCGCCAGAATCTTTCCATATAACAAAGCATATCGCATTGACGGCGGAAATAGTGGGCGTGGGAGGGGCTAATATGTATATCCATGTTAGCAGACGGAAAAAGCAGTCAATTTCAAAAGGAACTAATAATGTTGAACATCAGTATATTTATATTAACCTTCTCCCCCCCACTTATAACTAGCCTTCTCCCCCCCCACTTATTACGATTTTTTGTCGTCTATGCTTCGTGTTACGATAAATGAATTTATGAAATCATGTAAATTTAGAAGTTATATACAACTATAATACAGAGAAACAAATAACTTTTCACGTTTGTAATAAATAGTTTAATATGTCGGCCTCAAAATGGCATGCTTCGTGCATGCATGCACTAGAAATATATTCGATATGATACATGTCAATGCATGGGTTATATAGCCAACACATTAAAATTTTCCGGACAATCGGTCATACAAAAACCTCCTGATTTCAAGGATCAAATAACCATACCATACGATCGGCAGTTTCCTCTTGGTTCCCTATTAAAGTATTGGACAGACGATTTCGTGCCACACCATGCGTTCGAGTCCCAAGCCATTGTACACGCGTGGTAAGTATTTCCCCCGTACGTGAATGGGAACACGCAGCATTCGTCATTTGTAGTTTTAATTTGGCAAGCTAATAAGGAAACAATAGCACGATATAACTGGCTGCCAGAACCACACTTTTCAAATAAAATCTGTCTGTCAAATGCTAAAATTATTTTATGATTGCATGTCAATGATAGAGAGTATCAGTGCATATTGTAATTTAACGCAAATACTGTGCATCTTATGCATCACGAATGCACTAAAAAAACTCTTCAAGAAAAAGTTCGTTTTGCCATTTTGTCTACCGCTATATTTCGCTATCTCTTATAAGAAGACTTACTTTCGTATTTGCATGTACCAGATTTTTTATCTGCGTCGTAATTCGAAGTCAGCGAACACCATGGTTTGATACTGTCTTTAAACGTGCAAAAGTTATAGGTTTCACCTTTGTAGATAAATGGAAATACGCAGCAGTCACCGTCCTCCGTTTCGATAGAACATTCTGAAAAAAATGAAAAAATATATGGGTTATAATGTGAACTGGCATGAGTGGGAATTGAGTGTACATAGTTTTTATTCTATGAGGCAGCTAATACAGGCCCCAAACTCTATGATCGCTTATATATATTAATTATGTTAGTTTTATATTATCTTATATTAAGTTAATATAGCAGAAATTAGCATTGACAGAAATTGAAGAAACATCGAAACAAGAACGAATCTAGCTATTGAATCCATTCAGTACCCAGTCGCTTTTTTCTCCAAGAAAAGAATAGAGTGCTTCATGAGGGGTTACGGGCTTTCAGTATAAACATGTTGGTTGTCATGCGATGTCAGGGCAGATTATGGAATTTTGTCATGAATTAGAGTAACACCTTAATTTTTTAAGGGCTTAAATGTTAATGCATGCAGCTAACTAAAAAAGGCCCCAACTCTAAGCGTGCAAAGTTTGTTGGAGTTAGAGGGTTCAAGCCTGCATGGTATAGAATGCATGCAAGACTTCCACTGAGAGCTAGAGTATTAATTTACCATTTCGTCATAAGGAATGGCCTGAGTTAAAATCTATACTATATAGTATATACACCCATACCGTTTCCACTCATGCCTAATACATCCATATTATGGGAATGGCAATTAGTATGGATATCACAAACCTATATATACTATTTCCAACTTATTACAAACTTATATTTACTATTTTCATGATACTATACTATTCCATAATGTAGATTTTGAAAAGAAACTCTAGTCCGTGGTATAAGCAAGGTAGCTCTTGGGTAGTATTGTAGGGGTACAGGTTATGGCGTGAGAGTTTTGACTTAAAATCTCTGGGCGTAGAGTTATCCTAATTCTTTTAAACAGTTTTAACAAAACTTATTATATACCACTAATAAGAAGTGTACAAACCTGATTTTACTTCGGTGAGAGAGACAGCCAAAACTACCATCGTCATCAAGTATCCTTGCTTCATTTTGACACTAAATCCTTCGAAACAAAGTTTTTATGTTTTATTATTAATGTGAAAACGTTTATCGGTGGAAGTGTCAAGTATCCTCGCAAGTATCGACATCAATGACATTTAAAACCTGAACTAGCTACACTGTAAAAAATGAATGGTTGAAACAACCAAAAAAAAAAGGTTCTCCTGGATGCAACCAGGACAACCAATTAAAATTTGGTTATTTTTTTACCAAATTCATTTTGGTTAAAATTACCAATATTAATATTGGTTGAATCTACCAATATTTAATAGGTTGATGTAACCTGTATTGAATTTGGTTAATGTAACCAATGTGCAATGGTTTTTTTGACCAATTATTTTAACCAATTAAAGATTGGTTAAATTATCCTGAAATTCAAAGCACTTCAAATCAAATTTTGTCAATACACACATATATATTATAAAAGATCTAATATAATAAATAATTTATCCTAATGGTTATTTGCACACATATATACAAGTTACTACATGCAAACACTTATCTTACTAGGATTCATCTATACTTAAGTCATTTCCAGGTTCTCAAAGCTGGGGTAAAAAGTTTTCAACTCCAATTGGAATGTTCCGTTTTCCGTCTGTTTGTAGTAATATCTGGTCCAGAAGAAGGAAACACATTCTTTGTCTACCCACCTCCAGCTTTAGGGTTCTCTGCGTTGGATACATACAATGCAGTCAGCAAACACATAACTTCATTTAAGATGGAAAACTGCTTGAACTACCATGCCTTCAGCCACAAGGTCTAGTGAATGTCACCAAGAGATCCAGTTAATAGCACCTTCGGGGATGTGCTTTTTTTGACAATAGTCAAAATTTCAACACCACTGTCATCCTAAAATAAAATTTAAAAATTATAAAACTTAATATTCCTAAGCTTGGAAATAAAACATTTACATATGGGAAAAATCCTGGGACACAAAAGAACAAGATCCTACACTAGACAAGAAGCCACTTGAGCATATTTTAAGTTTTTATGGCCTATAGTTTAATATTTACAGGGCCAATTTCCCAAAAAAATTGGCCAGGTCTTTTTCTGTCCCAACTGAAGCAGTGGGGCAGTGAAAATGCAATGGTTTTCCATTTCTATTAAATAAGTTTGATTACAAGATTCAGCAGGCAACATAATAAATGTGATTTGCATACTGTATTTCAACGTTGTATATTATATACATATATATCTGTAGATACCTTTTTCTTGTTCGGGTGACAATCCTCTAACAGACCAATAATGTGTTGGACATCTTTGTTCTTGTTCTTTTCCAGAGCAGCCAGCATTGACGGCTTCTTTGAATCAATGTTTCGGCATCTCAACCATGTGCATTGAAATGATGCTCTACACACAGAAAAAGTAAAAGTCAACAATAGCTAAACCAAGATATGTATATAAGATATATTAACTTCCACACATAGTTACTAACAATACTACTTACCACATATACTCTTAATTTTCTCTGGGTTGAGTTGGGGTTTTGCATCCTTTTCTTTAAAGGCATTTGAAGCTTTTCCAGGGATGGAATGACAGCAAAGTTGTTCTTGCATCCTTGACATGCCCATAATTGCCTAAACCAAATCTTTTACATTTAATTTTGCTTTTATAACTCTATTTTGACCTTTGGTTAATATGATGTTTGGATATAAGAAAATCTGTAAATTTTAACGGTTAATATGAAAATTAAACATTTAGCACCTTATTCACTCCTAGCATTATGCCATGATATAATAGCTATAGAATTTATAAATGTACTGCAAAAGCATTGACAGAAATAAATTTTAGTTGTAATTGTCCTATTTATAATGATATAAATAAAAGGTATATTATATTATCTATATGATTCACCAGAAGTAGGATTTGCAGTTGTTGAGTTTTGACAGCATATAAATACAATAATACTTGCCATTTCTGATTCAGCATCAGTCATAAGTATCTTGCACTTAAAGGTGATCTTGAAGCCTTGATGGAGTGAATAAAGTAATCTTTTAAATGACTCAGTGCATGGTTATACATAGAGGGCATTTTATATTAATTAATACTAATAGGCAAGTGAGTGAAGTGACAGCTGGACAAAGTTTTGAAAAAGGGTCCAGCAGCCATACAAAGTCTGATCTGAAAAAATAGTCAATATTTTAAATATAACATATACTATATACAAACACACTCACCACTGAATTATAATACTTTAGCTGTACACATGTTGTTGTTGAAATTGTAGATGGTCGAATGGAACCTTTGATTATTTTCTTATTAACTTTAGAAATTCCACATGGCCATGACAACCATCCTCGCGATCACAGTCACTATTCACAAATAACCGGATCTCCTCGCGTATTAATCCAGCCTGTTTCACCCATTTCGCATGACTACTTATTGACAAATTCAAATAACGCGTATTTTATGTTAAAATACGAAAGAAAAACTCACTAAATTCTACTATAAAACCTTGAACGGATGACAAAGAGTCAAAGACGCGCTCAAATTTGAAAATAACGCGTGTCGGTTGGACAAGTCCCACATGACCTTGCGGTCTTGTTTGGGCAAAACACCCGCCACCTTACCGCGAACAGGTATATTATGAAAACAGTTAACAGTGAAATATGTGTGATTTGTCCTTCCAAAACCGGAGCGATTTTTGCTGAGAATTTTAACTTTAAAATTTAATATTCTATAGGATTTGTAAATTCTATAGAATATAGCAATAGAATTCTCTATAGCATAAAATCATAAAAAGTCCTATAGAATATTCTATAGGATTTAGAATGTGCTATATCATATTCTATTGGATTCAATAAAAAAAAAGAACCAGAGGTGTACAAATATACTTCATCGACCGCAAAGAGTAATTGGTCAATTTAACCAAATTTTATTTGTTGCTACTAAATATATTTGGTTGTTTTTACCAATATGAGCTTTCATATCCATTTTACCAATTTTTTATTGGTTATTTCTACCATTTTAATTTGGTTTTAACCAATTTAATTGGTTGAAACAACCATTTTAAATGGTTGCAACCTTTTTTTTTGGTCATTTCAACCATTCAGTTTTTACAGTGTATATCAGCTGTAAATTAAGGGTTTTAAATTCGAGTGAAATAATACACAACTCGAATTCAAGCAAGGTACAGTTGTGTGTCAAAACTGTGTCAAGTATATCGATCCTTCGGTAGAAATCGAACCTTGCGACTGAAGTGGTGTGTTGTGTATTTATGATTCGTAATGCCTTCGAATAGGTGAGGGCCGGTAAAACAATTAAGACATTGTGGCACTGTGCTTTGAAGGCTGGACCATAAATTGGCTGCGTGGACTATAGAATGGCTACGTTCACACTGTTCCGGACGAATTTGGGACCGTGTTCGAATTTCTTTTATTTTCTCATGCATGCATGTAAACACGTAGGACCATTTTTATCTATTTTTACTGTGCCAACATCTTTACTGGATGAATTCGAGTGCGGTCCCAAATTCTTCTGGTACCATCTGAACGTAACCTAAGCCGTAATGTTACAATATCGTCTGCATTCAGTGTTAGCTTGCCATGTATAACAAGTATAGTTCAATTTGCACCCCAAAATGGCGTGAAGCCACAATGACGAACTTCAACTTCAGTCAATTGAGAGAGATTAAAAGACGGGTATGTCAAAACAAGTGTTAACACTACACAGATAAGGTTTCTGTCGTTGAAATGGGTATATCATACGTTTAATTAATTCTGTGAGGAAATATTTTGGAAAATAAAACAGTGTGGGTATATAGAGTTTTTCGTGTGCAATTACATTTTTAAAATAAAAACATTTTTTGTTAATGGCGATAATTATATAATTTATATGAATCATTAATTAAAACAAAGCAAAACAGTGTGGACGTGGTAGCTACTTAATTTTCGCGCGAATTCACTTCATAACATAAGACCCACACAGACAGGCAAATAAAGTTTAACCTTTTATCATATTCTTGTTGAATATTTAAGAATAATACATTTTGATTGCTCTGGCGCGTTCATAAGGATTTCAAATTTTGAATCCAGACCGATTTCATTTATATGCTTCTGAAGCTGATAATTCGCGTCGCGTTGCTGTATCGCGTGCGGTCTGTGTCGACCCTTCTTCTATAGGCGTAACTTTGCCTGCGAAGCGCCATTTTTTATTGTCTGCTTGCTTTCATGCAGAAATAATATCAGAAAACAAAGAGAAACTTCGCTACACGCGGAAAATTTTGCCTAGTGGAGAACAAGCTTAAAGTCCGCCCCACGCACGAGAGCTATCAGCTGAGCTAACGACCTCGCGAGGCAGTTAGATCAGCCCGAAAACATCCGCACACGTGAGAAACTTGTCCCTCGTGGCGAATTCCTTACGAAAACTATCACTTTGCTGAGCTAACAACCTCGCGAAGTCTTTAGCTCAGCTTATTGCTCTCGGGTGCGGCGAGCTTAACACTCTTGGCGCGTTAACCGGTACGCTCATAATTACCAATCATGCATGCGAACTACATTAATTATGCGTAACCAAGCCCATTACTGAGGATTTAGGAATCACTCAAATACTAATAATTACCTTCGCCGCTTCACTGTTAAGTGACTTTGAATTAAAATACATCCTACATCCTAAATAAAACACTGCATTGAATTAAAATACGTCCGCTACACAGATTAATTCATAAATATCTCAGTGCTTTAAAACGAGACTGCAGTTATTGACAACACACTTAGGAAATTGCAGAGAAATGGTGTCTAAATCAATGTAACTGTAAGCCAACCGTAGTGGTAAGTGTGGGCTGACTTGCATTGAGAATTTTTTCCTTAAGAACGGAACGGAATTTCCATTAAGAGGCGATAATCAAATGCAAAAATAGTTGCAGCCCGGTTTTATAGAGCTCTTAACCGGATATTGCGGATAGCGGTTAAATCGTAGTGAACTCTAAGGGCGATTGTGATTGGCCAACTATGTCACTGACAACTAGGTGCTACCAATATTGCGACCATTGAACTGCGCATATAATTGATTGGAAGTAGTAGAATTATATATAGCGTTATCGATATTCGACAAAAGTATGATACAAAATGAATTATTTGTGCACTTAACATTTTATTTCATTTTCATTTTACCACTAGGTTGTACAATATTAACAAGATCAATGCCAGCAGACAGTATACGTTTGGGAATTTTGGGTAACGAGCTAAGGAGTTATGCTGTATATAATTACTGCGTGGGGGTCACTTAACTGGTATGTAAATTGCAATTTAAGGGGAAAAAATTATCAGTGTATGTTTTTGGACATAAAATTATAATTGGTTACATAAAGTACATTGGTTACGTTGGTTAGTAAAGTTAAGGCGCTCTTACACGATCAAGTCCTCTTACCGGATGATAAACAATTAGATAAGTTTTGAAATGTATTTGATCATGCGCTTTGCATGCATGTGCAATTTTATTTTGCTGTGGTTGAATGCACATGCATGCACATACGGCAGGAAAAAAATTGCCAACTGAAAAAGTTGTAAAAGGGGTCTTACTAAAAATCGCCCGAGGCTTAAAAAAACCGCCCTTGAGAAAATATGATTTCAATAAAATAGAATAAAAAACCCCGGTAGAATAAAAAAAAACGTAATTACAGCTAAATATTAGTTACTCATACATACAGCCGAATATATATTCAATATGCATCATAGTATATATATTGTACGGTGCTATACACATCATGCATCATGCAATAGATCCCGAGAGATTTTACTAGATAACTTTGTTCGTGTTATCGGTTTTTTATTCCTTTCTTTTTCCCTAGTTTTCTTCCAACTTTTGGCGTTCTTGACGCAGTACGCAATCCGAGCGCAATTTCTGAGAGAAATTCTCATGCACGAACTGCAATTCAACTTGCTAATCTGTACTAGCTATAGTCGTGAATGGTTGACCGGTTCTTAGCACGTTTCATATTTACCAATATTAAAGACAAATTAAATGACTGCAATGCTGCGATGTTACAAGTATTACAATCGCTTCAGTTTCTTTCGGGCGGTTTTTTCAAGTCTCGGGCAGTTTTCTATACTCTCGGGCGGTGTCGGGCGGTTTTTAGCAGGACCGAGTTAACGCCAGAGATTTATTGGCGTGGTAAAGGCAGCGAACATTTTTCGTATACGCGGTCCTTGTTGTGAAATACCGAATTTACATGTGAACATGAATATATAAATATATACCCTCTGAATTAGAAATCTAACGAGTGAAATCTCCGGTCCAAATTTTAAAACTTAGTTTATTGAGTGAACATTATAGTGTGATTTTCTGCATGAAGTATATATTGGCTATGATAACCGATCAAAATAAACGGATTTATCCTACCATCGTTGAACTAGGATAAAAGGCCCGAGAAATATTTCACATTATTAACACGCAGATATCGAACTTTGATAAATTTCACACAAAGTTACTCCTGAATTACTGGACGGGCAAACAACTCTAGCACAATTCAAGCTACGTACGATTCCCATATGTATTGAATGGAGGAGCCGCTGAATAATTATAGTCTATACTGTATGAGTTGATACCTAAATAACAGGCTTAGTGCCTGATTTGTATTTTTACAAGATTACCAGTGATCAGGCGTGAGACGTCAAAAATTTAATCCTCAGCCGGTTGTAAAAACTTTCCAACGACAACGTGAACTGTAGCAAACTATACGCATGAACGCAATTATATATACTAACATGCCTGTCAAGTGTCAAAAACTACAACCATCATCCAAACATTTGGATCTTATAACCATATACTATATTTGCACGTCTTAGTTAGGATACTGAAGTAGAAATAATATCAACATACCTAGCACTTATTTCTGTACCACTTTCTCAGCTGACGGGGTGAAGCATTTGAGCACAATGTTAGCCTGAATCAACCATATCATATAATAGATTGTCCTGGTCGAGTGATTTTATGACGAACATGCATTCTTAATTAATTTCGCACAGGAAGAATGACCATAAGCGATATTCATATTGAAATGAAGCGTTGAACTGCATGCATGCGTGAACAAACACAGAAAATAGACGTAAAACTCATACACAGCGACAAACTGGGGTTAACTTTAACTATAGGAGTCTATGTAAGGCCTACTGACCTAGGTTAATCGTCGCATTTTTATGGTGGTCGAATGCAATTCAAACGATAAATAATGAGATGATAAGATGAGATGATGTATCATCAACCATCTCTTTTAATAGGATACTCATACCATGCTCCCTATACAGCATCCTAGATATTGTATTATCTTAGTTTTGACCTCCCATAATGATCAAGGAAATCAGACCGTTCAGAAGTGTTTCCAAAGAATCCTAAAGATAGGATATATTTTGTTGTGCCGAATTTTCATAGCGCTTCAGGGTATATGTGAACGAAGCGACTTTTTCCCCTAAAGGCGGTGTTCACTATGCAAATTTTCTTGCAACTTGCAATGCAATTCTACTTCTGAAGCATCTAATGTTGACGAGTACAAACATTTCTTACGATCTGCTAACGGTTTCTTATAGATTTCGAAAACTCGGCTGTACAAATTAACGTGCCTGAAAATTATAAATGCATTCCAAGTTACAAGGAAAATTGCTTAAGCGTAACAGCGCCGTAAAGCTCGCCGCACACTGCGCTACTAGCTGAGGTAAAGACCACGCGTGGCTTAACGCTCAGCAAGTCACTCTGGCGGATAGTTTTTCGTGAGGAATTCTCCTCGAGAGGCAGGTTTCTCACGTGTGCGGATGGTTTTCAGGCTGAGCTAACTGCCTCGCCGCCATTAGCTCAGGCTGCTCAGCTGCATGATAGCTCTCGTGTGCGGCGGGCTTTAAGCGAAATCATCGACGCGGAATAAAGTCCAAAAAAGCCAAACCTTGTTGTGGTCGGCCCTTTGATTTCTTTGTTTGAAACAAAGAAAACAGCGATTATGCATGCTAATAACATTTGGCAAATTTATTCAGTAATCTGGCAACCCTTATGAAGTACTCTATGTCCTCTAGAAATTAGTTCTGCACTAGTCCTGTTCCAGTCTCACGAAACAAATAGTTATACGAATTTCACTCCACGCGATCAGTTTCACCTAAAAACGCCATTATAATTCAACTTTGTCTAACCGCGTTAAACCTTCAGTATATCCGGTGAGGAACGTCTTGTGACAACGCATCATCCCGGCTTTGATACACAAGGCTTCGCACGTGATATCAGAGGCAATCATTATTCAAATATCTAATTACAAAATGTTGAATGTAAAATAGCCGAGTTAGCGTCATATGCAAAATTACCATTTCAATTTTTACCCCATTACATTATATTCTTTTACGCGATGAAATTTTTATTGGCAAATTTCTTCTCTTATCTCATGCAAACATGCAGGCAGACGAGTTTTGAACGCATTTGATTATACGCCCTGTTGAACGGCGAAAATTTTCATAGAACTCTTCTCGCTATAATGCCATTGCAACGTACATTATTCCCTACCAATTTTAATGAAAAATTGCACCGTGCGACAAGAACTTACGTCACCTGAACAACGTACGTCACATGCATGACCATGTCGTACATAATTATAATAGTACCCTCGCACGGGGCGGGGATAGATGTATAATGTAATCCTTTAAAATGAAAGGGCAATTTTTCCCCTTGCTTCTGCTGGTAAAAGGCACCACAGCTGGATTCGCGGCGTCACGGCTGTTGTATGTATTGTATGTACACTTTATTTAGAAGAGTAACTAATGTATGTAAACTTTATTCTGAAGAGCAACACAACGAGAACAACTGATGAGACCTTCTACCGAAAGATTTAATATAATTTATTAATGTTAACAACTTCTTTTGCTGGGACCATCGAATCACATTCCAAATACTTTAAAAAACGTTGGAATACCAAATCTGAACTTATGTATAACGTCATCAGTCATCTGGCCAAAGTCATTTGCAAGACTCAATGCAATCACACTCACGCTTGGTCGCACGTTAACCAGCAGAACTGTAAATAAGGTAAGAGATTATTCCACTTGTAATTAAAAGTAAGTTGTCATTTCGTGATGTCCTTCTATGACTTCTAACAACTACCTTCTAACAAAGAGAAGTCACCGAAAGCACGTTAAAGACTGGTTCTCATATGTCGTAATTCATCGGCGATGTTCTACGATTCATCGTCATTGACCATTGAAGTAAATAATTTCTTTCGATAGACAAAGCATTTTATGTATCAATAATCACCAGCAATAGAATATTACGCATCGCCGATGAATGGCGATATATGAAAACCAGGCCTAAGCAAACAATGCGTCTAAGTGGCAAACAATTTTACTCATCAGTGGATGACATTTTGACCGCGCAACAAATACTAGCACCGTATACGATTTTTGGACAGGTATAAGAAGTATTTATATACCAACCTGGAAATGAATCACAACTGACAGCATTTGAACTCTTCGATACAATACATGAGATCACAGGTGGATCAATATAGACCGGTTATATAATGACCAGGTTTTAAGCACGACACCATCCCTTTCTTGTTGTAGTCGAATTTTGTGCGAACGTTCTCGTTGTAGCAAGACGTGCATGAATTAGGCGCGCCTCTCGGCTTGCAACACCACGCTTTCTCGATGTTGTGCAAATTATTTCCAGATGAACGATACAGGCCTGACAAGTAGTACCCATCTGTACACAAATTCCATGTCTTATCCCTATAAAATATTGAATAGAAATTATTATAACAGGCCCCGTTTGGAATAGTTCTAGGAATATCATGCAGGTGGGTACGTTATTTAGCTATTTTTTTATTTACTATACGTATTACGCCTATAAATATTGCGACGTACTTATCAAAGCTTATGGTCCAATCTACCACTAAGCATTCACTCTTCAGGTTCTTGTAGCCTTCACAACACTTAGCTTCTTCCAGAAGCTGTATACTATCACTGGAGGGCAATGAAGTTTTGCTTCTGTACAAACCATTGATGTAAGGAGACGTGGAAGGACATCTCGACCATCCAGTGCTGTCAAAACTTCTCCACCAGTTTGCATTTTTACACGAGCCATTAGCTAAAAGCAGGGTTACAGAAAAGCAACTTCGGTTTCAAGAATATTATTAAGAATTAACGGATGGTGACGAATTTCATCATATTTAAATATATGTTGTTCACATGAAGGTAGCACCAGTATAACAAACCTTTGGATTGACATGTATCGCCTTCATAAGGTTCCGCACATTCACAACGAAACGTATTACCCGTATTTACGCATTTTCCGCCGTTTTCGCATGGAAAAGAGTTGCATGGTTCGACTGTGTAAAAATAGATAGGGTAGCACATCGGAATTTGTCGATTCTTGAAACACGACATGTGCATGAGCAATGACAGATTTATTGATCCTGCACTGATATCTGAAGTTTGCACCCCAGCTAATAATAATTGGTACTATTATGAGAAACAAAAGGCTTACTTCTCACTCCACATTTTTCTCCTTCGAATCCTTCAGAGCATTGGCAATGAAAGACAAAGTTTTGCATGTCGCTTAAGCATTTCCCTCCGTTTTCACACCGAGTTCTGCTGCAGAGGTCAACTTAATAATGACAAAATATGTTATTTTTTACCGTCGGGTTTGACTGGGCCCTGATGGATGTAGAATTTAAAGATTATTCCATTGGGTTTCCTCTCCTTATATAGGAGATGTACTAGTGGTCCTTTTAACGACCAATATATAGGCTAATTTATATCATCTGTGTTCGTTTCATCCAGGTATACTTGCCTCTGAATCGACAAGTGTCGCCTTGAAAATTCTTAGCACATTTACACTGGAAATTGTCACTCTTATTTACACACGTTCCACCATTTTCACAGGGAGAGAGCTTGCATGGATCAACTATATAAAAACAACAAATTATGCAGATATATGAATTATCCAAATTTTGTATCATAAAATATAGCAATTTCGTATCATAGGGAGTTCTTCGTTACAAGGATTCTCAGTTTTCCATTGCAGTTTGATACGTAATATCCAATCATCTTCCAGGTGTTCTGAAATAACCTAGCTAACAGCTTCGACAGGTATTTTATGTGCATAAAATTTAGGAAAGCGAGCGAGGAGTTTATCTCTGTCTTCCCCTGCCCCCCCCCCCCGTAAGGGGTGTAGCTAGACTGCTTAATTGGGGGGGGGGTGTATATTCATGTATTCATGTTTATACTGTATACCGTAGAAATAATATCGTACAAAAAAATCAATCGGGCATAAGACGAATATATGAATATACACCCCATTAAGCCTCTAGCTACGGCCCTGTACAAAATCACCTTTCTGCATAACATCTCGAAAGGTCGAATATGTCCATTTTAGGGGGTGGTTAAATCACATTTGACACGAAGTTGTCAGAAGACACTGCTACACTACTCTTTAACTTTGCATATTTAAATTAATGATTAACAAAAAACTGTTGAAATAAAATAGGTAATCAATATTGATATGAGCTAAATAAATTCTTTTCTTGCTAGTTTTTTCCAAATTGTGATGTTCTATATATTTCAACTAGTTTGATCAACTCGTTGCATTTCTAGTAGGTCAATAGACCGTCACCTTTTTCTGCACACGTTTCTCCTTTGAAACCTTTAGGGCATTTGCAGTAGATCTCTTCTTTCGCAGTGTCACTAAAACATTTCGCTCCATTTTGGCACGGAGAGGTATTGCAAGGGTCGAGTATCGATGACACTAAGGTACCTGCAAGGTAGGAATTGCTGCCGTCATTACAAGCCAATAGAAATGCATATGCGTATGCCTAGAATACGACTTGTTACAATTTCACTGGTGGTATTCTTGTCATAGTAAGTAATCGTAGAGAAACACAGTGCTGCAGAGTGACTAGATTGATTGTATAATTGTGCATTATTAAATTAGGTTTATGGGACTAGAGGTCACACATGGGACTGCAGGGGACTGAAATCCCCTAGCATCTGCATTAAGGTGGGTAATATTTTTCTCACCTGCTTTGATGCCGCAATCATCTCCATTGTATCCTTCCAGGCAGTTACACTTATACTCTTCGCCATCATTCTCACACTGTCCCCCATTTTTACATGGCGAACTTTCACATGGATGCACTATTAAGAATAATAGTATAAATAAATTTTACTTTCGATAATCAGTGGTATCATGGTAGTCCAATAAACACGAATTTCTAATAGGGCTAACTGGCTCTTCAAGGTAGTGAGTGTTGCGAAACCTTGTTCATTCACAAATGATTAATCTGTGTGCATTCTATCCTTAACGTGGGTTTTACCGATATTATTTTTTTACCTGCTTCAATGCCACAATCATCTCCTTTGTATCCTTCCAGGCAGTTGCATTTAAACTCTTCGCCATCATTTTCACACTGTCCTCCATTTTTACATGGCGAACTTTCACATGGAAGCACTAATCAGAATAATAGCATAAATAATTTTGGATAATCACTGGTATCATGGTAGTCCAATAAACACGAATTTGAAATAAATTCTGCAAGGTAGTGTTGCGAACATCTAAACCTTTCGAAACTTCTTAAGCCCCCTATTTAGACATTAGATTTGAGCTTCAAAACTGATGGATAAATAAAACTACCAGGTTCAAAGCAGGGCGTCTAGCTAAACCGAACCCAAAACACGCTGTAGGCTTTCCACCCAAAGATGCACGGACATGATAATATTATATCATCGCTAACCTTTCTCTGAACACGTTTTTCCTTTATACCCCTTTGTACAGTTGCAGTAAAATTGAGACTTGTCACTTTGGCAAACGCCACTGTTTTTGCATGGGTTCTTAAAACACGGTTCGGCTGAAAGAGGAAAGTATTATCCAGTTACGATCATGTTACGAGACGCTACACCCAAAATAAAACGCTTCATCTACTATTTGCATTTTTAGTGGTATTCCACTGTGGTACAAATTACAGAGCATATCTTGATCTAATTGTATACAAATTATTATAAAGAATGGTCGATGCTCAAACTTTCCACTAGCACTAAAATCAATTGACATGCCCATACTGGGGAAGGGCTTGGGAATTTTTAGTAGAACTTTGTACCTATTGTTAAAATGCCTTTATTACTGTAATCTTCGTAAAAATTAAAATGCCTTTATTACTGTAATCGTTTCCCGCCTTCGTTAACATGCCTTTATTACTGTAATCGTCTCCCGCCTTCGTTAACATGCCTTTATTACTGTAATCGTCTCCCGCCATGTACAACAATAGTTGTAAAGGTGAAAATGTGCGATATAGAATATAGATCAATTTTTATCGGACGAGGGTCTTGTGTATAGGGGTACCATTATTAGTATATGTATGCAGGCTGCTCAAATACCATATAATCGGCAGTATCCTCTTGGCTCAACTGTAAGATAATCGACAGAAGACTTTGTGCCACACCATGCGTTCTTGTCCCACCTAATTGTACACGCGTCGTAAGAAACTCCTCCGTATGTGAATGGGAACACACAACATTCGCCATTTGTAGTTTTGATTTGACAAGCTGGAATTCAAATTGACAGATGACAAATTGAACGTTGCAACGATGCATACATGTACCACAACCTCCCAGGACAGGCTCTTCTACCTACGCTCCACGGCCCACGCTGCGGCGAAGACCCTGGTGAAGGATGGTTTGCGATTATTTTGTTACGCTTCTCCCGTGTGGGGATGGGTGGGACATGGGTGGGACACAAATAGCGCATAAATTACATCAGTTAAAACAGCGCGTTTCTAAGGACTGAATATCGAGCGCTGTTGTACTGCAAAGCGAAATACCCTGTGTCGTTATTGTTATTTGACCTCTAAATTCACTCATTAACGCCCAAATTCAGAATATATGACAAGCCTTCGAGTGTCTATCGAATGTCAACAGAACTTGTGACGATACTAAAACTGATTCTATCGACGATGATACAGTCTACACACACACTTTGAATCTAAATTCGGTTTATTGTTCTTTGGAGTTTTCTGCTGCGCCATACTAGCTGTATTTATTCAGTTTATTGTGTGAACTGCTATTTTTAGTTGCGGCTGAACGCGTGGCAGTACAAAGCCACCTAGACTGTCACAAGTGACCAGCCTTAACCAGGGTCTTCGCCCCAGCGTGGGCCGTGGAGCGTAGGTAGAAGAGCCTGGCCTGCGAGGTTGGCATGCACCAGTGGCAATGCAACACGAAGGTCAGCCGATACGAAGAACGCCCATGCATGACATGCATTAACATGGAAACTTACTTTTGAATTCGCAGACGCCGTACATTTTGTCCTTGTCATAATCAGCAGTCAGTGAACACCATGGTATCTTCGCGTCTTTAAATGTGCAAAACTCGTAGATTTTACCTTTGTAAGTAAATGGGATTACACAACAATCGCCGTCGTCTGTTACAATTGCGCATTCTAAAAGGATGAAAGATGTGACATTCACTCAAATGTTGATGCCTCCGGCTGCTTAAAGGGCCGAGTAGTCCCATCTATGTGAGTTGACTCGCTTTGCCGAGTTGACTCGCTTCGTATATTTTTTCCCTATTGTTTTAACATTACGATTACCGCGAGTTGTCACGCTTAGGCGTTATCCCGCTATTCGCTTACCGAGTAAAATCCTACTAACTCTATAGTAGTTTCTACGTTTAGAAAAATTGTGAAGTATATCAGAGTGATCAGCGATGCTCAATTTCTTATCGTAAAGTATAGGCTCAACAGTTGACTTTTGTGGCGATTTAATCGATTTAATGAAAGAAATAAGATTTTACGAGTCACTCTACAATATATTGCCATAAAACACGGTGTACGTTAATAGTTTGTGAGTATGAATGTAACATTGAACCTTCGTTTACTTAGCCTTGGAGTTATCCCAGCCTTAAATACTCGTGTATGAATATATCTACACTTATACCTGATTTCACTTCAGTTAATAAAGCAATTGCCACTGCACACAACATGATCAAGTTAACTTGCTTCATTTTGACGCTAAATCCTTGAGAACAAATATGGACTGTTATTCATTTATTTCAAATCATTAAATCACATATAATTATGTCACATTTGAAAAAGCTAGGGGAATAAATCGAAAGAAGTTAGTTTTCCGCATCTTTTAGTATGCATTTGACACATTCGTTAAATAACAATTTGAAAGATTTAAAGTTATCCGCGCGTAATAAAACGAGTAAGTTGAAAGCAGTTTGGGGAGATTCACCCATTTTTTCGCCATTTTCACGTTGTCTTTGACGTTCACGTCCTGCTTCACTATGTATACTCTTGCATTGCAAAGGTAAAAAATTTTATTTTGTTTGATCGCCATGTTAGATTCCTAGCGCAATGATGCATAATATCTATATACACGTCTATTTAGCATGAACTGATTGGAAGCGAAATTAAGCGATACAGGTGATATACTGCAGTGTCATTCCACTTTATGATACTGTTGAAAGCGTCACGCCCTTAGTTTTCGATTAAGCCAGCAACAAAATATTTTAAACCTCGTCTCAACAGGTAGTATGTTAAGAATCCGTCGTTCGGCGCATGAAAAGTTCGACGTCCGAAATTTGTCCGGAGTACCGAGTACGCCTCAACTATGTGCAATAGTCATGAATGAATTGCCCCACCCTGGTATTGAAACAATTTGCTATCCGGCCAAGAACCGACTGTTAGCAATACACGTCTATGGTTATCGTAGTTCTGGATGTAGTACTTGACTATTTCCTATATAGCTGTTATTTAAGCTTCCTCACGACCGATTAATCCGTATATATATCTATGATTTATTGAGAATGCCTAAAGAGCTGTTAACCGACCGACTCATCACGCGTTTTGTGAGTGACAGGATTATAGCTAGCTATATAGTCATCTGGAATATGCCGCGGTAAAGACGTAAAAGGATTCCCATTTCCATGCAAGATAATGTATACTAATGCATGAATTTATATAAATTGGAATCTCGGTCGGGTCGGGGTGAGCTATGCGTCCTCTTGAATAAATTCAACAGACAAGGATCGTTAAAACGCGAAGCAATAGTACTGAACATTCATTTTTTGTTGTAAAAATATACACACCCATATTACCCAACTATACACCAATAGAAAAGGACATCTAAGTATATTACGGCACAAGTTTTTATACATTTAACAATCGTGACGGTTATAACTTATGGATAAATATTATAGAGTGGATGAGAAATCATGCTTTCGACAATCAACAGTATAATTCAAAGGCCGGTTTTGAAACTCACTACCTTGAACATAGCAAATTCAACCTTTTATAGCATTACACATGTATACCCAAGGATAATGCCATATTATTCTATGTAGTATTAACTTGCACGGCTAAAATTATAAAAAATTGATGCTTTCCTACCTTCTACTGATCTTCCAAAGAGACCAAGAGCGTGTGTGCTTGAATTCGGTGTGTAGAAGCACTGTATGCCCCAGGCTTTGTGTATTTAAAGCTCGATTGCAGTCTCTTTCCCAGGCGCTTTGTTTGCAACCTCCCAAAGCACCTCCGCGCTTAGTGCTTTCTCCGCGAAGTACTTTAAAGAGCATGTGAACGTGGATGGCTCGATTGCGTAGTACAGGGTGAGTAAAAAAAACCTGACACCTTTGAAATTCAAATTAGCCGCGAACTTATGGCTGGAATTTGACAATGCCCATGCCAGACCCATGTGTACAATTAACAGGACGTGGTTAATTAATGCAAAAGTGTTTTGAACTAATTCAACGTGGCGCGTGTGCTAGAAAAACGATTTGATAAAACTGTTGTTTTTTATCTACAAAGCTTAGAATGCATTTTGTTAGCATTTATCTACAAAGCTTAGAATGCAACTTCCAAAGGGAGCAAACTTTATGTTTTAGGTTAATTAATGGGTTCACTTATTTGATATGCTTCGTATACCTATGAGGTATTTTAGGCAACTTCTGTCACATTACAGCCACGTAATTTGAATTTCAAAGGTGTCAGCTAGCTTTTTTTTACTCAATCTGTATAATAGACCTTTTCGGTAATTACGTCACAACATTTTAACATCACGTTTTAAATTTAGAACCACCTTAAATGAAATGGATTTCAAGTTTTACTTTGACGAGCAAGTAGCAACGTGCAAACATACAAATATCCTTCTTGAACACATGCATGGAAAAGATTTTTTTATTTTGACCAATAAATGTGGAAACAAGCCATAACACGAAAACGAGGCTCAGGGGCCAAAACCGCGAGCCTCGTTCTCGCGTTGTGTCGTATTTCTATACTTATTGGTCAAAATGAAAAATTCTTTTTCATGCATGTCTTGAGGAAGGATGTTTTGCATCTTTAACATAGCTCGTGAGAGTAAAACCTGAAATCCATCTCATTTAAGGTGGTTTGAAATTTAAAGCGATAATGTTGTGACAGACTGAAAGAGATGGCTTTTTCTTTTTGAAATGAGAACAGTCTGGACCCTTGGCCTGAATTTCTAGGCTTGCAGAGAAATGATTCGCTAGCGAAATATTTGCATGAAATTATGTTTTTTTCAAATGAGAACAGTCAAGTTATTTATTTATTCTGTCAAAATTGCGAACTCTTTCTCTGCAAGTGGAAATTCACCGCCCTTATATTATTAAAGTACCTGTATTTACCGTAAAAAATTAACATAAGTTCTAAATGTTTTGCAGCGAGTAATGTGTCAAAGTGATATATATATATATATATATATATATATATATATATATATATATATATATATATATATATATATATATATATATATATATATATAACGAAGATAATCGTATTTCGTTAAGACTAAAAGAGTGCTCAATACTAAATTGAAAAGCAGAGCTATATTATCATTTAAAATCTTAAAATTACAATGATTTTTCGCGATATATATATATATATACACCCATTTGCAAAAACGTTGGCCGCAGATAGATAGATAGATACTCGAAGTCTAATTAGAATTGCATATGAATACATTTGCAAGGGATTTCAATCATATTACACAACATATGCAATTCTAATTAGATTTCGGGTATCTATCTATATATTTATCTGCGGCCATCGTTTTTGCAAACGGGTGTATATATATATATATATAATATAATATATATATATATATATATATATTTACGTTTTTGCAAATGGGTAAATATATATATATATATATATATATATATATATATTTATATATATATAATAAATATATATATATATATATATATATATATATATATTTTTAAGTTGACCTATACATAACAACACACTTATACTTTATACTAGAAGAAAGATGCATGCTGTTAATTTCTATGGTTGTCCCCTATGCAGTCTCTACGCACTCACTACATTAGCATTAGCTTCATTGGGAAATTAAAATATCGAATGACAACAGTGGCAAGTGGCAACAGACATTTGCAGATAATGGTGATAATGGGCACTTCAGTCAAAGCACTACTTACACTATCAGATCCACAACCTTGCATCAGGTCGAAATATTTGCAGTTCCAAATCCACCTCACATCAAGTTTCACATCCTTCTGGCTTTGTAGGTATGGCATTTGGCAAATCAACTGGTTATCACACTAAATTTCTCAAACATACTGCCTGCATTAATATCAACCCTGACCCCTAAACAATCATTTTTTCAACATCTGTATTTGTGGGTAAAGAGAAGTGGGGAATTTTGAGAGTCTAAACCACCCACCCCCCATTGAACACCTTGTTTATCGAGAATTTTCGTTTATTTCTTTTGAGCGATTTGGCGGCCCTAAAAAGAGCCTGTTGTTGTTTGTCTTGTCCAGTGGTCGTTGGCTTGAAGAAGCGAGAACCAAAAACTTCATTCGGTCTCGTCTGCTTTCAGGTGCTTTTAATCTTCTTGAGATTTCGTTGTTGCAGTCCGGTTTTGTCGTGTGGCATGTCTGTTGATGAAGTGTCTTTAAAATTCTTTGCTTTTAGCACTTGCTGAATTCTTGAGAGTGGTCCAGCAGTTCAGGAGAGGATTGTACGTGAAAATATCGTTGTTTTGGAGTAAGATCCTAGTTTGTTATACCTATTTGCCCGCTAAGTTGCCTAATGGTTTTAGGATGATTTAGTAGCAAGTTGTGCAAGTTCGTTCAGAATACGTTGTTGTTTTATGTCAATTCGTCGTTCAGGCTATGCCTATATATGTAGGTTTGTCTTTGTCTGACTATGTATACAAAAGCTAAATTTACATTTATACAATCTACGCATTACGAATCTAAGCTAAAAATATGTTACAGATTTACACAAAATTTCCACAAAAAAGAACGATATAGGCTATTTAGAAAGAGAAATATGCTTTTAGCTACGATTGCACTTTCAACATCTGTCTTATATGCATCGTCATGAGCGTCAAGTCTTGTATTGGTTGTGAAAACGTTAGCCAGTGTGCTGGCGGTAATGGTAAATTACTTGGATGTGGAGCCGTCTTTGGGCCGGCGTAGAAGGCAGAGTCTATGTCGTGAGGGACTGTAGAGTCAACAAAATGCTGTTCAAAACGAACTGGCGAAGTATCAACGACGCGAGGTGAAGTTCTGCTTCGACTTCCTGGCGGTGACAAAGCCTTCGACTGCTTCCTTCTTGTTAGATCGCGACTCATTTTTCGGTTGAGATTAACGACTCAAATTCACTTTGTTTCTTTGATGAGATTTAAGCTTTACTTTGAATACAATTTGTAAGAAAACAAAAGGATTCTTCCCAGTAAAAAGCGTTCGTAAAAGCCTACGAACGAAACACTTTAGAACAAATATTGCTATAAAACATACGCAATCAAACCGCAGCAGATGTTTTATTTCAATTATTTGTTTCGCCTTTGTAATATTGACCAATCAGAGCACGACGTCTTGCGCGTGACTTCGCCCAAGCGTCCAATCAGAATGATTTAATCTACCCCACCTGCAACATATAACCAATCAGAACGCAGCAGTTATAAATGTGTCATGTGGTCTTTGTTTCGCACAAAGCCAAGGTTGAGTTATGACGTGCAGAAATAAAAATAAATGCATCCTGTCGTCACAAAGGGTTAGGATAAAAGGTCGGTATAAAATACCGGAACTAAACAGGAATGAACTCTGGGAAATGAAAGTGGAACCAGGAATCAAAAGAATCAAAATAAAACGCTGGAGGGCAGGGCCCGTTGTGTGTATAAAATTGTATTTCATTTTTTTATTATATACGGTTCATTTTATATCACAGAAGTGAAAGACGTTTTCATTTCATGATATTCTTTATGATGTACAGAATTATTTATAAATAAGAAAAAAATGATTATTTTGCACTTTTTTCTTTGTAGATGACAATGCCTTTGTCTATCAAGTCTGGTATTTCCACTGCAAGCCATGGGCCAAGCTGAAAAGAAGAAGGATAATTTAACAATTTCTTTTGGCTATAGGTTAATGCACAGTTAATAGAATATACGTGGTTTAGAGACTACATCAAAATACAATAGAACTCATTAACTATATTGGGGAACATTTATGCAAAATATTGTTCCTTATTCGTCACGTGTCTATTGTATTTTGAGCAAATAAACCAATAGTAAGGTTTGAGTTAACATGTTGTTCAAGTCACGGTTTTGGAGCTAAGCCAAGCCATTGCTATTTGTTAGTTGGGCAAAAACACAATAGACATGTGACGGATAAGGAACCATTTTTTGCATAAACCTGGACAATAACATAGATAATGAGTTGTATTGTACTTCTATCTAGTCTGCAAACTTTGTATATTCTAATAATCATGGTTAATGCCACAAACATAAAGAGTAAATTAAACTTACACCTAAAGCCATTGCGTGTGCTATTCCAAACTTCGGCACGTTCCTTGCCCATAACGGTTTAAAATGTTCCGTAAGACAAATTTTTCCACCTCTATAACAGTCTTAAATTTTAGCATCAAAGCATCCGCTAAATTATGAATGTGACATTAGGCATAATGGGTCATTTTTTGAACAAAATGAAGCACATATACCTGTACATTTTTGCTGTTTTCCCATCTAATTCTGGTATTGCAATCTCTGGAGCTGTAGTGGGATATGTAACTGGTATCTATGAGTGGGATAAATACATGTGAAGTGATAGAATGGTCATTCCTAACAAATGACAAAGGAATATTTACAAAAAAATAAAAAAATAACTTATAGATCAGAGCCACATTATAGGCAAAATATTGTCAGAATAGTTGCAAAAGTATTGCAGTTTTATTAGAAGGCATTCTGACTCTGGTTTGTAATGATAACTTGGTTACTTGACATTAATAGTCAACTTTCTCAACATTTGACACTCACAAATCACACTTTTTGCTTTGTTGCACTTACGTCAAACTCAATATCAAATTCATACTTTAGAAGGTTGTGCACATACCAACATTTTCCAAACCACCTGCAGACAAAAGGGGAAAACCTTTTTACACCTATCCCAAACCTAATATAACATACAATGTAAAATGCACACATTTGAAAATGAACAAAAAAGACATGCCTACCTAGTCCCTTCTTTATTAGATTCTAGGCGAAACCAATCATTATCTGCCTGTTTATTATTGCCAACATACTGAATAAAATAATCATAGATAGTACATTGTAAGAATCCAACAAGCATAAATAATTTCACACAATGGTCGATCCTGCTCAATTTTTTGAGGGTGTTTGGTGAGCACCAAGTGCATCAAATTTTGCAATTTTCAGCAACAAGCTGTTATGTAAATGTACATCCTCTGGTGTATACATGTGATTTATCACAATAATAGTGAAATATTGAAATTGAACTCTTTATAAACACCAAGAACACCTCTGTGTACACTGCACAGTCCTTATAGATTGTCCACTGATGTCATAACAGTTTCCACTTTCCATACATCTAAATCTTGGTAAAATGCCATGATGGAAGTCCACAGGCTCTTGGTGAAATATTTTTTTTCATGCTTCATAGGCACTATAGGTTTTCATTCGAGGGCAAGTTTGGAAGTATCTATTGTGCCTAAAATATCAGGCCCTTACTGTATATTATAGTAAGGACGAGTATATTATATTATATTTTCCTTAATAACACGTCATTTAATTATTTAAGCTCGAGTATTAAATTCGTCTATGTTGCACACTGGCACGCAAACAGCTAGAAACACTAAAATCTAATTGCTTATAACCTTAATCAGTGAACTATATTCTTCCTTTAACCGTATCACCCAGGAATCTTTATCTCTAGGCCCAGCTTTTGTCTTTAAAAGTGGAATTGCAGCAAGAGTTTTCTTTGTCGCTTCGTCCACCATTTTTGTTTTCTGAGCCGCCTACCATATGTTGCTTCGCCAGCGGTTTTGTGGAAACTTGTGGGAATTTGGAAACGTGGGGGTCTGGGGTGAGGGGGATTTCTAAATTTGGAATTATATTAGCAAATTCAAACATATTTGCTACATTTAAGTTGTTAATCATAAACCATTAAATTGCTAATAAACCATTTAAGAAACAGAAAAGAATAAAGTGATTAGTTTAAAGTCAAGTAACAATTTATATTGTTATTTAAAATTAAATGCCAAAATAAATCCTTCTGGCAGAAATGATTTGCATCATTCTTGTGGCAGGCCATGGAACAATACTGGAAAATGAAATCAAGGTATGCTGTATGCATTGCCCAAACCATGCATTATGCTTAATAGACCCAGTGCCCAATAATTGGTACAGCCCTAAATGATACCAAGGGCTGTCATACACTCACCACGATTGGGTATGTTTATTGATATTATTTGGATCAGGAGCAAGTACATGAAATGAACTGGGTGATCATTGTTATCATCCAATATGCTAATGGTGGATCATCATTTTAGAAGAAAACTACTTATCTTACGCATTATAAATTATTGGTTATGCATATTTTGATTCCTATGGTGGTTAAAATGCACTCAAAACAACTGCCAAAAGTTAATCAAATAATTTGTATACATGTTGAACATGTACAAATGTACAATATATTATGAAAATATGATGTTTTTATTTGAGATGTACAGATTAAAACTGCATGTGCATGTTGACATTTAAATGTTGTCTATGATTGTGTGCATAAATCACAGCGCAGTCAGCGCTTGAGTGCTTAGATTCATTGTAGCATGTACCTGGTCCAAATTATTTGCTGTCTTCATCATCTTGTGCAATTCAGGATTCCATTCTTGATTTTAGTATTTTATATATTACATACTGAATCCCTCTTCATACTGTATTTCATGTACCATGGAGCAGGGGTGCTGGTGAGGCCATGCTCCCCACATTTTTCTCAGACAAAAGAATGGTCAGTTTGACATTGTGCTTTTCTGTTCTTGTCATGCCCCTCCCCCCAAAAAAATTAAACAGGCTCTATTACGTTGAGATGTTTCTGTTCTATTGCGACGGGAGCCTGCTTAGCGTGATGGATGCAAACAGTCAGGAGGACAAAAATCAAGAAATTATTTTTCCTCTATTGAAAATTGATTGAATGTTTGTGACATTAAAAATCATCTTGCATTGTCTTAAAATTTCAGAATGACAAGACCGGTGCATTTACTCATCTTCAAGGGGTCCCTAAAGCCTTACTTCCAGGAGTTGGTGGTAAAAAGATTCTTGATTTTTGGTGGGATGCAATCAATGTGTAAGTTTCTTATTGATTATACAACTTTTTACCTTTGGGAAGGAAGCGGCTAAATTGAAAATACTGGTATTAATGGCGTTGAAACAATTAAGCAGAGAGGCAAAAGAAGTTAAACACCTTTTCTAAATAGATTAAATGCGCATAATCTTTGACCTGGACCTAGAATGAACTCAGTTTCCCGCTAGTATTAAAAGGCTGCTCTCCAGATGAACGTTTTTCGTACGCAGGCTGTTGCGTACTTTCGGTGCAACTCTACTTTTGAGAGGTAAATTAACCCGGCGCAAATTTATAGTTGGATAGCATCCATTTTAAAAAAACGACCGCAAGAAAATACAAGTTTATTTAGTCTACCCAATTTGATATTTTTCGATTGAAACTGCTTCATTGTTTCAAAAGGTTATCCACTTGACCCCTATTCATTTTTCAACCGGTCAACTTTGTTCTATTTACAGCTTTACTTGATTTTAATTAACTAGTCCGGACCTATTGTCGTACAGTTATCCAAAAACCAACTATATGTTGTTACACGATGCAATTTTTCTTCCAACTTGCAATCTTGTTACTTTGTTAGATGGGAAATAGTTTCGGAACGTTTGTATATCAAACCATGCATGGGGTGTAATGAACACACGTTTCGTAGTTTCCATAGTCCAATCGAAATATTGCGTAAACCGCATGTGCGTAAATATAGCATAGGTAAATTGTGAACCAGCCTGATTCATGCACGCTAAGTCAAAGTGCTCGATTATATGTGCCAAAAAATGCATCAATCAGTACCCTAAAACTTGTTATTATGCAAGTATACTTGGATGACTAGTACATTACATTCAGTAAAAACCCGATCAAGTGGATCGCTTGCATTACTGGCAAGACTGGCATGCCTGGCATGACCAGGATCATGAACCGCAGTGGCATTCAGCGATATCATGGTAATACTTTTTCCAAAGTATATTGATATGAAAGCAAAGCTAGCAAACATGGGGCGGTTGTTCAAAAGCCGGCTAACTTAATTAACCCTGGGTTGATCCTTACATTAATTTTTTTATCGCTTGTTACAAAGTTGAATATCTTTTTTTTATAAATATTTTCTGGACCGATGGAATTCATATTTTTTTATATAACGAACAGTGGTTCAGAAGCATATAAAGTAAAACCGTGAGCAGTATGATTAAAATTTAACCCTGCTGAGGGTTAGCGCCAACCTAGCTTTGAACAAATGGCCAAAGTAAGCTAAATAGCCAGAATGAGGTGCAATAACAGTAAAAACCGGATGTTCTTTATGTATAGCTCGCAAACTTTGTAAGGTTTTTTCGATTCTATATACGTAACAAATTTGTGATGTTGTCCTACGCATGCGTAGCAACCTCGCCGCTGTACGTGCAGCGTGCACCTTGAAAATTTCCTGCATTGCGAAATCAGGAAGTCAAACTATTTCTTGGAATCCGTAAAAAGTATATTACCTGGAACTGTGTAGTAGCGAAAGTTTATATAATAACAAAATTAGGATGATTTATTTGCCCAATTTTTCCGAGGCGTATATAACGACTTGCTGCGTATTTGACTTGCTGTAAAATAGTTATTATGGTAATCATGTCCCAATGGCACTGCCAATGGCGCTAGATGGCTTTATAGCACAATACATATGTAAGTCAGTGCAAGTGTGTCTGCATGCATGCTAAGAGTTTTAACAATATCCCGACTAGTATGAACCTACTGAACAGAAAGTATACGCTAAGGTTGCATGGTTCTTATGTTGGTTGATTTAATGTGAAACAGTGATACAATATATATAATAAAGCTAGGCTAAGCCCGCTTGCTGCAGTATATAGCTAATGTATTTTTATGGACTGATATGAACAAAATTCAAGCTCATTCTTTGCTAAACAATCGCTCCAAATGTCCACAATACGAGTGAAACTACAGACTATAACCATTTCGCTAAATTGAAATCGACTATAAAATCGCGAACCATCTCATTGATAGACATGCCACCACGCCGGGTTTTGAGAGTCAGCAAAGGACGGCCATACTTATCGTACTTCCCGAACACGGCATACACCGTGTTCTTGCTTTTGTCTAACAAATATTGAAGTTGTGCTTCCTCCCACACTCCGCTGTCATCAAAATTATTAGGTTTATTACCCATACATAGATGAGCTAAGTAGTCTCGGGTCAGTTCACCATTCTCCTTGTTTAACTCCGGTGCGTCGTAGCCTGTCAAACGACATTTGAAGCGGACGAATTTTTCCATATCGTCGTGATAAAACACAACATCGCATGTGTCTCCGTCATATACTGAAACAACTTTAGCGAGTGCTTCGGTTCCATCTAGAGTGAAACGTTTAACATCGTGTTTTGTGATCTTTTCCAATTGTTGCTTCACACTCATTTCACTGAATAATATAAGGTTAAGTCGCTGAAATGGTTCCGAATTCTTCAGTTAAATCCGTATACAGCGTAACAAATAACGACTCAAATTTTTCGCGCTCAAACTCACAGAGGAACGAACGTCGCAGTGCATGATGTGATGCAACCTCGTACCCAGGGTCTCGCAGAGAAAAGACCCTGGGTACGAGGTTGGATGTGATGACATGCGTGCCACTGATCGCAGAATGATAAAGATAGCTATATAGAGCAACGTGATTACCATCACAGAGGAGAGATGGACAGAGAGTCGACTCTACCGATTTAATATTGAAACGAGTGTCCCCGAGTTTTGCCAAATATCACGTCATTCCACGCGCCACGCAAACACCCGATTCTCTTCTGGTAAGCTCTTTCGGCCAAATTTCAATACAAAAGTATAGAAAAAACGCTGTTCGAAATGTGAAAAATTGATTTTTTTTTAATTGGGTCGGATTATCTTCATTTTTGGATTAAAATTTTGGAGATTAACGGTAAGTTGTTTGTTTTGTTGGGTATGATCGTGCTGTTTTTAAAAGCAGTATTAAAATCCTTGTTTTGTAAGTGAGTTCTGATTACCCTTGTCGGCTGCCATATTTGTACCCGAATTGTCAAATTGTGTTTGCCAAAGTGAAACGTTGTCAGAGCTCCTTTTTTATTGTTTGTCAACTAGCAGGCAGAGCGTTTGCATATTTGTGGAATAACAATATAGGACGAATTTCAAAGAATACCTCTAAATTCGCGTTTTAATTTCAAAATATCGACAAAATACATTGCAAACATTTCAAAACAAAACAAAAGTTTTTGGCGTTATATAGCTTTAACTCGCAGAGGATATCAGTTTTTTAATAATTAGTACCATTTGATGATACAAACATACACTGAAAACATTCATAATTACGTATCTTTACTTCTCAAGCAGAGTTGCTTTTCGATTACATACTTTTTCAGTCATTTTTCAAACTTTTTTGATAAAATTTTCACCAAGCATATTATCCCTGGGCTTTCTAAAGAAAATATGTTTTAGCTCTTACCTTACACTACAAAAAACGTTTGGAACATTTTAGCCAAAGCGGTTAAATTTTTTTAAATTGCATTTTTACTGGCAAAAATTCCATTTTTCCTTATTAAAAATGTGTTCGGAGCTTACCAGAAGGGAATCGGGTGTAAACGCTTACTAGCGCGTGCGAGTAAAAAAGTGGGGACGCGTGGAGCCGCGAGTCGACTCTCTGTCAATCTCTCCTCTGTGTTACCATGCACAGGTGTGACTTGCGGAGAATAATATTTTCTTAATGTATGTAAGTCAAGTCTAGCTCAGATTGATGTGTAATATATAAGCACTCACTATCGTTCATTTTTGTTACTCTCGTCCCGGTCGAAAAAGACAAATTTCTTCTTCCTCTCCGCAGTCTTATATAATACTAATAATCAGGAGTATTAAAAAATTAGTTGTATTTTAATTTTTTTATAATTCTTAACTAAACACATTAACATGTGTTAATTAGGAGACAGTATTTCACCGCGGTATACTTGGTGACAAATGCAGACAAGTAAGTATTGGCTGGACAACATTCGATAATTCAGGAACGTTGTAAGACTTATTTATCATTGTCTTTGCACCAGTCTTACTGTAAGACTGGTGCAAAGACAATGATGTTGCTATGATGAGTATAAATTTTTAGTGAGAAGTTAATATACCAAGTTGTGGTAACAAATTTATTTCTCATCAACCCGCATCGACTAGATACAAGCATTACGAACGATGGGCGACAGCCCACGATTTTCCAAAGGAGAACATTGTGAACGATGGATCAACAACGTTTCAATCTAGGTGAGCCGCTTCATCATTTGTAGTGTGTTCAAGCATTGAGCAGTAAACTTTAAAGCCTGATAAATTCCGTTCGGAAGTGAACGGCAACCGCGATCGTATTTTTTTCTTTGCGGTCGTCTGCGACCGCACCCGAACCGCGACCTAACCGCAGCTGAACCGCAGCCGCAGTGTTAGGTTATTTCTGGACAGTAGTGTAGTGTATACAATTATGTGCTCGGATTTTCAGACTTGGTTCTGTCGCCGACTTTGAGCTGGTATTGCGCAACAAGAATATTCAGGACGATGTTTTGGTGGTAAGAAATGTTGTTGGTTCGATTCACTGAATCCACTTGTACAATTTTAAAAAAGCTGTTTAAACTTCAGAATAGGGATAAATTCACGCGTTTTCACTTTCCACAAAGATTATATCTTTGTAATGCGGTATATTCACATGTAACTTTTAAGGTAGCTGGTGACATGCTGTTTCAAGATCAAAAGTTTGACATATGTCAAGTAATTAACTATTTTAAAACAAAGGTAAAAATCATCTTGCGAGTCTCGCATTCAAATAGTAAACTTAGCCTGAATGTTACGGAGACAAAGTTTATACAAATATCCAGGGCCGCTGGAAGGGGCCCCCTACTTTAGAAAGAACCTTAAATTTAAGCACCTTAAAAAATGTTGTATTATTCGCACACTAGTCCTAAAAAAGTCCACACTAAAGTACGAGTGACAGTCATTGTTATCATTTTAAGAGACGCAAAGAGAGATCCCGAAATTTCTAAGGCTATATATTTTTTCAATTTTTAAAATTTTATTAATTTTGGGGAACTGTACCAAATACCAATGCCGATGATTTTTCAAGATCAGCGTTTGGTTAATAACGGAATGGTTTATTGATTGATCTTTCAGAAAGGAGAACTTGCAATTTACTATGAAATGGATGAGGGTGAAAGCACTCGATCACGCGGAATCATTGAAGTTTGTCCTACAACAAACAAGTAAATATGCGTTGCATTTTTGTGTGAAATAAGAACAACGTTTTTGGCATAGTGACAAAGCCAATCGGAATTGGAATCGTGTATTTTGACACTCCGACTGATTTAACTACGTAAACTTTCCAGTTAAAGAGTTTCATTCAACGGCATCTGGGGGATGAATAGAACGATTGTTCATCTGTTTTTTTAGAATTTGTAAATTTCTTGAAAAGCCTGAACCCCATGAAACGAAGTCGAGGTTAGCTAGCGTGGTAAGGATTAAACTTTACTTGTTAAAATATCCAGTAATTGATTCATTGAATTTCTGGTTTAACTGACCAAAATTTAAACGGATCAGAATTCTAGAAGACGCTGCCACGCTTCTGCGTTGTTATATTGGAGCCAGTTATATATATTTTTAGGTTTTTTACTGTCTTCGCAAAGAAACATTGTATACGGTTGATACATTTCTGCAAGAAAACCCGAAATCGGACCAAAGAGTGTTTGGAAAATACATGGTATACATATGAATTGCATGCCCTCGCTATAATTTTGCTTTGTCATAGTCTGCACTAGTATTCCACTTGATGGCAAAAGTAGCGCGCGCAGATCCTTTGCAACAACAAATAAGAAATTAGCATGTATATATAGTTCATGTGCTCTGTTTTACTTGACCTGTCTGGACATGTCTATATAGGTTTTATGTTCGGATTGCACGAAACACTTTTTACCTGATCCATTAATGCGTTTTGTTACTTTGTTTGACATGTTAAACTTGCTGTATATCTTGGAAGGAATGGCTGGTGATGCAGACCCCAGTTTTTGGAATGAAATTACCAACAGGATTTCAGTTGATAGGACAAGTGGTAAACGATAGTTTGTACACGTAATTTATTGTGTAACTTGATAAACAAAAAAATAGCATGAATATTTTCTTATTTAAATGCTATGCGTTTGCAATTTATTTTACAATTCAAGGGTTACCAAGTAGTCCAAACTAATATTACTCTATAAATACATTCATTCAGAATCCTCTCGCTTTTAGTCGAATTATAATAAACAAGTCTTTCTATACGAGTGATGGGACATTAAGACTGAATGCAGTTCTGCTCATGAATATTAATTTTAGGAGGGGTTTTTTTCGGAAAAAGTGAAAACGTTTGTACTGGTGAATATTAAACAATCTATAATTGCTAGGCTTTATAAGTAAGACCTCAATCAAGCATGCACAACTCCGGCTGTCAACGACACGTGCTACAAATAGATAATTCAAAGCTTAAACATAGCTATGTACTAGTTAACAATTAAAATGATTTCAAACGAAATTAACGAAATTAAGGCTACCTTGTATTAATAATCTTTTTTCTTGAATACGCTAATTAATATGATTTTTGAATATTTCACCTATAGGGTCTGTCTGATTACAAAAGATGGGTTGCTTACTTTGCGGGTATTAAAAATCAGGCTGTGAAGAATTCGTTTGTGTCACGTGTATATGCAAGGTTAGAATATAAGCTTTACTATATGATGGTGGCCCAGGCGGAGGTCGAAAGGCTAAATTGTTCATAAAAATTGATAGAAATAAGCGCCCTTTGCAACAAGTAACCCTTAGCGATGTATTTATAAGGCTGGGTAAGGCCGTTATATAGGCTAGCATTACACTCCGCACCATCTATTTGTCAATACTGAAGGGACTATTAACATTTGGGCCTTTCACCGAACTAAATTAGCCTAACAAGCATACACAGAAACTCATGCATGGGCAATATGTTGGGCATATGAATGATATGCATGCATGGGTTTTCTTGTTTTATGTATTTTTTTACATCATGCATGTTCATGTTTACTATGTGACATATAGGATAGGCTTGGTTGGCAATCCTTCCGATGGTTTCTATGGTAAAACAATTTCTATGTCAATTTCAAACTTTTGGGCTGAAGTTACAATTACAGAGAGTGAAAAACTAGTAGGTTTTAGTGCGTAGTTACCGGTAGCTTATTTTCCGTCGTATTTAAATATAGGTACGACACCAAATCTCTCCAAATTTTGTTTGTTAAAATGCATGGTGGTTGCATGACCGAACAAATATATTGTGCATAAATGCGTGTTTGTATATAGTGATTTTTTATGCGCAGGTTTTAGTTCCACATCCTTTGAACGATCCAACAGAGTTTGGAAGCTTAGGGGATCTTCATGGCATAAGTAGAAAAGAGGGGTACGTTATATATATAGCAATGTATACAATAATAAATTAACAATCTGTCACTGAACAGACTGATAGACGGATACAAAAATAGAAAAACCGAAACTGCTGAAATTTTGTGTACATTTGTAGAGTTGATTGGGTTGTGTCTGATGGGAGGCAATTAAAATAATTATAAATAAAAATAATTAAACTATTGTTTAATGCTTTCCCACAGATATTTTGGTGGACTGCGATTGCTGCAAGCGACGTGTAAGAAATTTTATCAATATTGTTCAGAGCAAGGGTAATTACTCAATAATGTCTTTATATGCGTGCATATATATTCTTTTTAAAGTTGGGAAAACATGGCTTATGACTAATTGATTATAACTAATCAGTTCAAGATATTTTCCGCTATCTCGCAGCTGATCCAAAAACATCAGAATTTAATACCTTGAAAGGTTCTATTTTTCTTTTTAAAAGGGCCTATATATTGTTATTTTTTTAACAGCTTTTCGTATTTGGCATTTCTGTCAAATACGTACATAATACGTACATATATTTAATTGACAAGAACTATTTTGGTTCGTTCATGTCCTGCTTTCAAAGTGACATCCGACTTGCAAAATATTCGCTGAAAAACAAATCATACATTTTTACTGTGTAATCCATCAGGATGCTGGGAGAATTCGCTGAGCGAGTTTTCTTCACTCTTGTTGAGCAATTTCTTCTGGATTAGCGCGAATGGAAGTATTTTCCTTATGCATGATGAGGAAATTTATTTTTCACTTATAGGATTGCGTTAGCAAAAAGGAATTTTACGCTCAAATATGACACCAACATTCCTCGTCAAGTAGTAAGTAAACATTGTGTTATCCAGGCCTTCTCCTGCATATGCTTTTTCCTAGAACGAGGTTATCCTAGTTCTAAATCAATTATATGACATGAGTTGGAATGCAGAACACATATAGACATGCATGCAGTCGAATATATACGGATTTAAAATAGAAATATACATGCATATTGTCAAAATTTTCATGCATGTTCCCCGATGATCAGCCTCGTACCCAGGCGCTTCAGTAGTAAAATATATAACTTTGCATTCAGCTATTGTGTAGAGGTCAGCTTAAAAACGTAAGCGTGCGGGGGTGTTTGGGGTGGTTTTGTTTAGCGGGTTAGGGCCTGGAAGAAAAAGACCGATATCTGAAAAACGTTTGTATTTTTTTTTGTCATTATTTATAATTTTTTTACTGCAATCGACCGTCGATGCATCTATGCATGAAGGCAATTTAAAATCATTAAATGCGTGTATTGATGATTGCAGAGTGACTTTCTCTACGTATTGTATGATGCATGATGCATGTGAAACCGACGTACACGGTACACCAGCTTGGCAGTGCCCTGGACAAAAAATGTCGATAGATTGCATGACTCATTGAATCTGGGGAAATTTCCATTGGTTGGCCGTATGCCGTATCTTTGATTACGATAACCATTATGCTGCTGCGTGGCAAACCAATCAAATTCCGTGCATTTCTTACATTAATTATATTTCTAAATTATATACTGATTTAAAAATCTATCTTTAATATAAAGCCCGGTTGCTTGTGAATAAAAAAGTATAACTATAAACCTAATTTGTTTTAACAGGGATTAGCTGGAAGCAGGTGTGTGTTCATGCAAAATGTGCATTTATAAATCCCTTTACTATCTGATTTATTTGCATGTATATATATTATATATATCTTATCTTGAAAAGTGCCATTGTAACCGCGACGTTGAGGTGTCTAATGGAGTTTTTCAACCTGAACGATCTGGTAAGTGCACAAGATTCTAAATGTGCTAAAGTATTATTGCGTTTTACCACTTTTTCGATACACATGCAGTGCCATTAATTTTATGTTACATGGTTGCATGAATGAAAGGATCTTGAAAAACCAATCCAACCTCGATTCATATTAGACGTTGAGAAAGATGAACTCTTTATAAAAGCTGGTTTACAGGATCGAGTGATTCAGGTATGTTATTTACTATGTATATATAGTTTAGTGTGGTCAAAAATAGTGTAAAACTTGCTCACATCATATACGGAAAGCGCTTGGCTAAAATTTATATTTATGTTTTATGTCGTTTCCTTCCACTTCAGGTTTATGAAGGTCTTGTTTACATGGACTTCAACAAAGATCTGATTGATAAACAAGGATACGGTATGAATTCGGTGTATGGTCAAAATTGACCTGCATCTAAAATAAAAAAAAAAAACTAAACAACACCGTTGGCGTTCGCGCAAATATTTACATGCCTTTATATATACATATATTCGATACTTATAGAATTTTGTAAATAAAGTTTTTGTAAACTTAGGTGACAACATATCAAACATTGTTATTAGTTTTCAATATGCATGTCCTTGCACTGACAACATTTTTATTATGTGTTTAGGAAACTATGTCCATTTATCTGTTAATCCAAAGCCAAACTTATGGCTTGCTTATGTCACAGATCCCAGTGATTCAGGTTAGTATAAATGCGGTATTTTGTGATATTAATTTTCTCTACCAAAAAATGATATAATATTATTGATAACTGCAACATTTCAGTTAATATACGGCTCAGTTAGATTCAAATTAATCAATTTCTAGCATAATATATTACGATCTGGGAGATATTTCATGGCCATACAGCTTTTTTTGCATGTGTTGTTGACATGCATTATTTCTGGACTTCAATCTCATTTTTTCCTCGGTCCTAAAGTTTTCCCCGGAAATTAAGTCCTCACAATCCAAGTTTTCGAAGTTTTATCTCATATTTTATCTCAAATGTTATCTTAAATTTCAATAACAATTCCCAGGTCAAGTTCCTTACGACTCTCTTCAATTCAGTTCAATATATATACAAATTCGTATTACTTCCAACAGGAAAATTTCACAGTGACGTCACGCAGAGATGGAATCAAGGTAATATATATAGGTTTTCATAATTAATGTCTGACTCGTTGTCACAATCATATGCATAAATCCTGTAAAATATGCTTAAATCTATAGGCCTATATAGGATATATATACTTTGCATTTGGTAGCGTCGATGATCGAGCGAGCTTTTCAAACTGTAATTTTTGTCGTAGCTTTTAACGGTCTTTGTAACGCACCAAATAATCTTTGAATTAATGCCAGGTGATAAGGATGTTGTCGCTGCCATGAAGGAATTTGGAGATTACACTGATCAGGCGAGGTTGGTGTACACAATATTGAACGAAGTGTGGAAACGACAAACACTGAAAAATTAGGGCAAGCGTGGACACGATACACTGAAATTTATTTGCAAAATTTGCTATACCCATGCACACTGTTTCCATAGTCATAGTGTATGAATGGTATGGAAACAATGGCAATAGTATGGATGTTTTTGAACTTCCATACTAGTTCCATAACATGTATATAGTCATAGTAAAGGAAACGTGCAATCCGGCTTTCGGCCAGTTTCACTGTTCCTTTTATGACTCTCTATTTAGTGAAATTTAAGCATGGAACAGAAGGAGGGGTGGAGTTAAATGGTTTAAGCTCACTGGATAGGGTTTTCGAAAACTAATCATGCACTGCAAATGGTCAAGGATCTCCATTAACACAAACCAGTCCTCAGTCACACAGTATAGTCGTACACCGTGTAACAATGCCACAAAAAAATTTCCCAACGCCCTTTCTTTCCCTGTTAAGCTAGGCACATATCGGCTTCGAAATGATTAGCTTTTTATATCTATAAAAATATGCTAGTTTTTTTCTGATTCGCAACTCTCAATGCGTGTATATATAGGGATGCTCTTGAAAAGAAGGATGTAACACGGTAAGTGAAATATTTTCAAAAATAAGTTAAAACTCTCATGGGCTTTTTTCATTTAAGTGTCTCCGTAAGTATTTTGATTTTTCAGTATAGCAGTTTTTGTTTGGTTTGTGCAGTGCTTGGAAATTTGTACTCAAGTCATTGCTGAAGCCATCCGTCCGCCCCTACAGCCTGCCCCAAATATATATACAGAGTCCGAACGCCGGCGAGACTTGCTATAGTTGAAACGAAACCTTACAACTTTAGGCCTGCTACATGCATGCAGTTTTTCCCTTTCTGAATTTCCCTAAAGAGTAGCATTTTGAAAGCCGCCGTTGAATTTCTTTTTTAGTTTTACATAGAACCCGCTCAAACATGACTATATATGATAAAATCATTTTGTATAGCTTGGCAAATATTATGAACAAGAATTTTGATTTGAGGAGGTAAAAATTATACACAACCATTGCTCAAGAATATCTGTACGTCCATGATCATCAGTAATATCAATAAGTCAGGATGTGAGTTTTTGTCGAATCTAAAAAACCGAGGAATTTAAACCATGTATAAACTCTTCATTTTACTATAGCCATATTTGTTGTAAAATGAAATTTCATATATAGTGAAAGCGTGTTTTATAGAGATAGTAATGTATTACAAATTAATGTATTCGATTCGATGGGCTGCATCTTTATTAGTAACATGCATACATCAAAAATGAATTGGACCGAACAAACATGCAAAATTGGATCGTATGAACAGACCTTTAAATGATCTTTTTGATAATCGCGGGACTGCTTTGCAGGAAAATTTACGGCGATTCTGCTTTGGGAGAGTCGAACCTACGGATGGTTGAAATCGCTCGTCAGGTAAACTATTTTTGAATGAAATTTAACGGCCTAATGAAATGGTTGGTCAACAATAACTGTACAATCCAAGACAAATAACATTTGGACAGTGATTAAAATATACATCGCTGCACCGCCTGCAATGTAATATCCTGGATGCAATCTATTTATATTTAATTGTCTTAATTGGAATTTTCATAATTCCGTTTCTAGTTTGGATCTGCAGTTAAATTTCCAGGAAGTGGAGGAGCTGTAATTGGCTTATGTCTAGATAACCAGCATAAGGTATTTTGATTTATTTTCTGTCCATATTTCTCATTTCTCGGGTTTTTAGTGTATAAATGTGGAAACAAAAGATTTTACCAGTACGAATCACACGGTCGACTAATTTTGTTTGATGCATGGAAGCAGCAAGCGATTTAGATTGGAACTGCAAGATTTAGTCTGTAACTGACGGTTTAATTTCCCACCGTCTCTGTAGCCAATGTGAACGCGAGTTAATACGAGGGACACTTCCCTTTCATAGTTCTTGTTGGTCGTGTTTGTTAGCCGACAATAGCATGTGCTTGTTTCAGTTGTTTGGTCTCAAAAAGACACATTCTAACACTTCAGTCATGTCAGGCTTTGTTAAATCTCGGGTAACCGGCGGCTCATCAGAGAAAGTTAAATCAACAGTAAAACTGACATGCATGAGACGTGATATGCTGTCCGTTTTGATTTTTGTTATGACATTCATATCCTTCGTATCTATCATATTTATAGAGCGAACTTAGAAAAGCGTTTCAAGCTGAAGGATTTGTATTTTGTGATATCATTCCATATCCTCCCCCTAGTTAATGCTCAAACTCTGACTTCCACCGCCGAACACCGCGATGTCGAAAGTTGAAGATACACATATACTTGTTATTTTACAACACGGCTGCACTGCCACTAGGATACCAAAGACTTTGTCTTTTACACATAATTTCGAGTATAAATGTCTAAATTTTTAAATAGCCTGCGCTGTTGGCTGCTAGGATGTATATTTACGACGTCAACGAGTTGCAAAAAAGCCGCGGGCATGCGGGTACAACACGCGATATTCGCGAAGACCCCGCGAATAGTAGAACTGCAAAACAGAAATAGCATATCCAGGTAGTCTAAATGGCGAGAAAGGACTGGGACTAGTTGTCAAATTGAAATCCATTTTTTACGCTTGAAACATACTATATTTCGGTTTCAAATTTATGTCAGAGCTATAGTTTTTATTACTAAACACAATCACAAAATTTCGACTGGTTTTATAAAGAACAACGATGGATATATATAAACGAATACATATTGCAAAATGGATTTCTTTTTTGACTATCTTTTGCGCGTTGATTGGCTGAAATATGCATGAGATGAGCGCGAGGTCGCTCTTTTCAAGTACTTTTCAAGAAGAAGAATATTTATTTTTTTACAAATCAGCAGCGGGCGGAATCCTAGTCTTTCCTGCAATTTGATTGGCTGTAGCAGCGGGCAGAATTTTACGATATCTAACCACGGTCCGGAATCCTATATTTTCTAGAGCGAAAGCGTCTATTTTGAAATATATGCATGCACAAATGATTATCACGATAAATTGAAGTGAATTTTGGTATACGAATGAGGTTTTGGTCATGATTGTTTATGTTTTTGTCCCCACTGTCACTGATTGCTGAGTCTGCATGACTACACAATTATAATCCGACCGAAAGCTGCCAGAATATTTTTCTATCAGGACCTTGCAGCCAGTAAATAACATATAGATTTTATACTGACATATATCCTTCAGTCATCAATACTTCACTTGCCTATAATATTTTACTCTGTGTAATACAAGACATCTTTAGAAGAGAATTTGCGATTCCAAATTGAAGATTTTTACATTTGTAGTTTAATGTAAACTTCAGACAGAAAATTACCTCTTAACCCCTTTACAGGTAGCCTGCTACCAGGCGCACACGCCGTAGTAAATAAATAATATTGGATGAGGTTTTTCCGTTTTTGTGATATGCGGAATAATCAAGGTCGAGGTAAGCTTTATCAGCCGAGCCGAAGAGACAGAAATGTCAACACATTGAAATTATTGAATTGTCGAGGTAAGCGTTGTTAGCCGAGCCGAAGGCGAGAATTTTATGGAATTATCAAGGTCGAGATGAAATTATCAAGGTCGAGATAAACGTTATCAGCCGAGCCGAAGGCGCATATCACAAAAACCGAATTCAATAATTATTTTATTATACATTTGAAGAATAATAAACATAGTGAAGTTTGAAAATCTATCCATATTTGCTTTTTTCTACGACTACGTTTGTTTTCCTTTAGAAATAAATATCGCTTGGTAACCACCGCAGGCCCACTTGCAGATAACTCATCTGCTAGCAGATAACTGAATTTTGCGTGATTGCGCGATTTAACTGTCAACTATTAGCCAATCAAATTGCTTTTGGAAAATGAGTTGTATTGCTTACTCGAAGAAAAAAACGCGGAAAATACCAAAAAATAATAAGATAAGTAAATAATTGGAACTGTTCGCCACCGACAAATCACGATATTTTGTGAGACCTCGTCCAATAATTGATTATTATAATCTATACATGTAAACATACTACGGCGTGCGCGCCTGGTAGTGGCCTACGCTCAACCTGCCTATTTTTGAATCGTACATTGAATGTCTGAAATTTTAATTCGAGTCGGTTTTAATCTTGAATTTGTTCCTTATTATCAACTGGTTATGACTCATGGTTTCTGTTCATAAAATACTAATTCATTTTTAACACTTGACAAGCGACAACCCGACAATAACAGCTTTTACTTATTGGTGACTGAGGAACTGTCCCTTACAATACAATCATTGCCATGTGGTTGTCATGGTTGTCGCAATATATCCACGATGGAATTTTGATAGGTCCTTGGTATAGTCTTGACAACCAAACGAGAGATATTGAATTTGGTTTCCATACTTTTCATATATTTCAATAATCTCTTGTCATACTGACCTTAGTCCTTACACATTAAAGTAATGTATCTCATTAAAATATTAACTTTAAAAATACCACAGAATCAAAGCATGATGAATTGTCCATATCCACGATTAAATGTCTGATTTACGCAGCGATATTTGTCTATACGTTTCCTGAACTTTCCTCGATATTCGCATGACAAATCTTGTACAAAGCAAGTAGATGTTCTTCGTTACAAAAATATAGCAAATTCAAATAAGGCTAGCAAGTTTACTAATTAATACGATAAAGTAAATATTGTAACTTGAAAGCGATTCTATATACAGTTAAAGTAAAATGCAGTTCCATTAATCAAACAAAATAGTTCACAATTCTTCTTCAATGAGTAGCATTATAAATAATGACAGCCAGAACAGCAAAAGCAACAAGTAAAGCCGGTAAAGCGACTTTAAGTCCAAGCTCTTGGCCACGCAAATTTCCCTTTCTCCGTTCGCGTTTTTCCCTCTTCGATTCTTTCGCTGGTTTACCCTTAAGTTGCCTCATATTCTCAGGAGATTGTCTTCACTTTAACAGGCAAAACGAACTGCACTATTAAGTAACCTTTGTGAGAAGAGTACAGCAGGTTAATATGGCCTCTTTATTACAACATCCTACACGTCAACATTAACAACATTGTAAGTGTGTCTGCGATGTTTTGACGGCGTACTCCGACAACTTCCGAAGATACCCACTGTAACAATTCTCTCTCGCACGGTGTTTTCACGGCATCAATCAAACTCCCAAGCAAGGGTTTTTTTCCTAAGTTTCCTAAGAGTTTTTAGAGAGTTAATCATTATTAGCTGGAAAACCTATTTTGAATGGCAGATGAATAAATCACTTATATAATAAAAAAATATAGCTGACTTGTCCACCAAAATTCAAGGTATGCCCAGCGACAATGGCCAATGACCTTATTCTAAGTTCACTGAAACTAGAAAAATTCATACGTATAACTCGGAAAAAAATCCGCATAATTAAATGGGAAGGTTTGGCCGGTAAATATTAGTATCTATTATTAACACCAACAAAAATAGCCAATAGAAATAGTTCACCGTTGCTAAATTCAGTTAAAATAAATGCAGTCAGTAAACCTCATTGGAATTTGTCTTTCAGAAAAAGCGTAATGCTTATTTTAAACCATTCAGTCTATTGTTGAATCCGCATTTTCTATATTGTTAATTCGCCACAAAAATCCAGGGACTCTTAGACACTGCACTAACTAAGGATTGCTATAGTTTGTAAAATATGAACTTCCGGGTCGATAATTTCTTTGCTATTTATTTATATATATTATACATGATACTCGTTGATATAATTTTAATAGATGCTTGGTATATACAGGAAATTAGAAATCTTGAGTCTTGACGACTAAAGTCCTGCAAACGAGATATTTAATTTAATTTTCATGCATGGTATAATAGTTATATTTCACTGAGCCCTTGTGATACTGACCTTACAAATTTTTAAACGTCTGTCTCTTAGTTGAAAAATATCAACATTTAAAATACCAAAGTATGTAATATAATATATAGTATATAATAAATGATGAATATGAGATTATCATTCATGGGCATTGCACACTGCCTAATTAAAACCACATCATCATCAGGCGAATTATGCAGATAAGTAACGATATAATAAAAACTTATCGTTTCAGACTTTTAGTAACAATTTGTACACTCCAGTGTATACGGTTCTCTATTACCGTATTACGCCTTTCATGGTGTTCAACTGATCATCTATGTAGAACTGTAAATGGCAGCCTTGGGATCTGAACACTAGGACTGACGCATGCACAATTAAGGTCCTTTCTCATATACTCGGTTCCTGACTCTGCTACCATTTTTCCTGAATTCCTAGTAAATTACACGATGTATTGCAGGATATGACCATTAGTTCTGGCTGAGAACACACAGACAGGAACCTCGCTTTCCCGTGAAAACAGCTTTATATCTAGATTTTGTAGTATTATCTATGCCCGAACGCCCACTCAAGTCGTCGCCCAGCGCACGTCACTATCACAATGCATGCACTTGAAGCCCTTGTTGCCAGGTGATAACCCTTGTCATTTGGGCTTGGTTTCCTTATCATGTTTGGAATGATATTAAACAGTCCATTGTCTGTACCGAAAGAAGAGATTCTGTCGACAATCAGACCATGCAGGCCATCTCAGACCCACCGTCTATATAACTCTATATATGATAAGATCATCGCATGATATAAATCACGATGGAAATAAATCAAGTTTTGTTAGTAAATCCTGCACACTGTCTGAGGTTTAGTTTAGTCCATATTCATACACCCATGAAAAACAAATTTTTGTATATAGTAGGCCAGGGTAAATTATTGGTTTATGGCAGTGCGCCAACCAAGTGATTTTCATTTTATGCTTTGATCGATTTGACTAATGCAATTACATCAGGAAAAGACAGATTGTTTTTATCACATATAGACAGGATGTGTAAAATGGGAATTACCCGTGTAAACTAACTCCTCCCAAGTCTCAGCAGGGTGTAAGGTTCATAACCAACAACGCCAAACTCTTACTCACCATGAAAAACAAATTCACAGCCTCTATTTTAAAAGGTGATGAAGGTATATATATAATAGTACAAGCAATCGTTTTAACTGAATTACTGAACCAAATAAAATTGGAAAATTTATTTCTTTTCGGTTTTCTAGCATAAATATATTCTCTATTTGGTGTCATGAAAATATCTATCTCTACTCTTATATAGTCTATACATTTAAAACTCGCCCCCAAATGTCAATGAGTAAAAATATGAATTAGTATCCGGATCAACATATAATACATATACATATTAACTGTACAATATCTAGCTATGCAGCCTTTGTTTTGTCCATGTTGTCGATATATATAGTTTGAATAAGAAACACTAACGATAGCCAACAATTTAAAATAATACAGATAAAATTCGTAGCGTGGTTGGCTTTATACAAATGTTAATTGGAATTATTGAATGCGTGCCTGATGTATTCTAAAATACGAACACTAATCTATAAACATATCTCACAATTTCCGTTGATTGAACAATTTAAAAATTTACAGGCATTGCTCAGTAAACTTCAGTGACCTGCTTGGGAAAGTAGTTCGTGCTTTTCCAGTGGAAACGGTCGATATAACCTCGTTGTAATTGCTTTAGTTGCTTGCTCGTCAGTTGTGGGTATGTGATGGTATTACTCTGTCCCTTCCATTGGTGGTCAAATGCGTTCACAACCAAGGCATTGGTATAAACGGGCTTGTACAGCGACTGATTCGAAACGGGAAATTGGTAACTCACGGGCAATGGTGTACATTTGACGTTCGTAACACTTCTGTAAAGGGACATTACGTTTGAGCTGTGGCCAGTTCGATACGAGACGTCTCCGGGATCCACCCACAACGCAAGCCCAAAACGAAACACGGAAAGGAATATATCCTTCGTTATATCGCTTACTTCAGCAGCTTTTATCAACATTGGGTCGACGATTTTCGTGTCCTTGTCTATGTTCACGCAACGAAAACCGCTTCCTCGGATTGGTTTGCTAGGATACCAATGATTTGTGAATTTGTCGACGATCAGATCATTTAAGACTGTTCTAAAGGTCTCCAATTGTCCTTGGGTTAAGGTTATGTTACTGTCCGAACGAAGTTTGGAGCACAAGAACTCGCACGCGCAAGCGATTTCCTCCTTCATGATATCGTGTTGTTTGTTATGAATCTGTACGAAATTATTTTTGACGGTGTCTTTTATTCTGTATATGAACACTGTGTGAGGTTGGTTGGATATCGAAAGGCTGTCCTAACGCGTCGCTTTAAAGATCCAGCGCGAACGTTCTTTTTCCTTCTTCGCTGAGGCAATATAACATAACGAGTACGTAAGCCACAACAAAATATTATTGTCTGAATGCGTAGTTGCACAGCTGGCATGCCAAAAATAGCAGTTGGCGTAAGCGTTGACCAATCAGAACGCGACATCGACATTCACACGTGTCATATTGCCAGGTGACGGGCAAGCCCCTCGAGAACGCTTACGTAGGCGCAGTCAAAACAAAGAACGGCTGCCGGATGTGACGTTCGCCCGAACATGGCAGGCATGTTTATCTGTGAGGATTTGTATTTTGTACTTTGTCATGGTGCGATAACAAAGCCAATATATATATTTTACCTTTTAGAAAATAGCATATTTCAGTATGCTTTGATAACCCCACTTACCACTAACCTCATCTTATGTTTAAGGCCTGCTCAAACAGTGCAATTATATATGTTGTATACGAGTCCGCGGGACTTGTACGAAATCTGGATCAAATATATTTATGCAACCGGATAGTGTTTTTTAAACTGTTTTAAATATGCATGTGTATAGCTGATAACCGTCTGATGAATGCATGTGCTTATGCCACGTTCTATATTTAATCGTTAATTCCGGCGAAGGCTATAGCACGTGAGTTTCGATCAGTTACGCACATGAATTTCCAGGGCACGGAGCCGGTTTTCCACTACTAGCGATAGTTTTCGCGCGAAGTAACATTTTACTTTTTTTCAGAGCTCTCAACTGCAACCATCTGAAACGAATTGCTCAAATACCAAGGAATAAATTCGCTTCGCGTGAAAAATATCGCTAGTCGAAATCGGGCATTATGCGGAAGAGGTTTTGCAATTGCATAAGCGCTTTTGCGTGCACGTGTAATTATTTAGCGTTTTAAACCTAGCGAGTACAGGTTTTAACTGCACGAGCACAGTTAAACGAAGCAAGAAATGACTTTGAGGTATTTAAATAAGTGTAATATGTTGATCCGAAAAATAGCTTTTGCTTCTTTACTGATTGGTTGCGAGGCCGGCTATTTCTTTACCGTAAAATCTTCTCACGCTTCGTTGAATCTCGATCCAGTAACTGCGCTCGTGTGAAATGTGAATGTCCCTCATAATTCCTAATTGAGATTCAGTTTTATTGTTTGGACAACAAGGAATACAGTAGTTTTGGATTCTACGACTACAAGCTCGTTCACAACTCAAGCGTATTTTCTGGAAAAAAATCCAGTTCCAATTCTAGAGTCACCATTGTTGTTTACAAAATTGAAGCCAATGCGCATGCTCAGAGTATTATTTGCACTCAGCTAACCTCAGCGATAACATTAAGAATACGATAAAGAGAATGATAATACCCATCACTGGCTTGCTAAGATGAACATTTGAATGAATCTTCGAATGAATCTGAGTTCGCGTATCCTTGTATCGGAAACTGTATTACGGCGTTACAATCACTGAGAAAAATAATGGAAAATAAATTTATACAGACATGCATTGACTGAGCAGTTTGTTTCCAATTTGCAGCAACTTTTATAATTTTCTGGACAGTTTTACCCTCCCCACCATTACAAGGAATATTATCATGGGGCTAATCAGGAATTGAAGGTTAATAGATTATAGACTAATGGAGGAATGAATAGGCTCAGTTGCATTTTCATTAATTCATAAGACCAGGGACGCCGGAACGATGTGAGGGCAAGGGGGGCAAATTTTGGTAAAAGGGCACTCCTGTAGCGGCGCACTGATAAAGAATGTTTGCAAAACATCGTCAGTTGAACTTCGTATGGTCGTGATTTCTCTTTCCAAGATAATTTCTGTGCCTAGACGATTGTGTTATTCTTGATGCTCGTTTCTGGCACGTCTACTTCGGATATAGAATGTAATTAATCTTTTAAAATGAAAGGGCATTTTTGCCCCCCTTGCCCCTGCTGGTAAAAGGCAAGGGGGGCAGTTGCCCCTGCTGCCCCCCCTGTTCCGGCGTCCCTGCATAAGACATATGTTTGATAGCACAACTAGTACCATAATCTTCTTGGTAACATATATAATCAAATTTTTGTTATTTACCATAGCGTTTCCTTGCATTATCTGGAATATGATTCCATATCAAATCCTTGAGTCAAGCAGGGAACCATTTGAAAGTGCATTACTTGGGATACAGCTAGTAAGATAGGGGTAACTTATAGCTATAATGACCTAAATGAAAATATCCTATGCGAATATGACTTGAAGTACTATTACTAATCAGCCGCCTAGCATCTTGCATGAGGTTTGGCCTTTGTTTCCTTGAATGGGCTGATATGCATATTAAGCATGATGCTCTAAGGAAAACATCAAATAACCACATATTTTCTGCCGGTAACCTTTAGTCGGCGATTGATATCCGAAAGATAATCCAAATTTCCGACAAGACTCGAAAAATATTCAAGTATTTTAAAAATTTTATACAGAAATGTATGAATAATGAAAATAAATAAATAAATCAAAATTACCTGTTAGCTATAATCGTATAAAAATCCTTCGTGCACAGTCGAACGTTCATCTTATAGCAAGCAAGTAATGGGTAATGTAACAATTATTCATTAACACTGAACATAGCTTTCTTTTATTGGTTTAGTTTCTTTAACAACACGCGTAACTAGGTTCTTTATTTGAAGTACTCCTTATTTGAAGTACACTATTTGGGTTTGAATTCATAAATTGCTATATGGATAAATAGAAACTTATTATTCTGACTAATAAAACGAAAGATTTTAACACATTTTCCTCGGCCCTTTTTTCGACTTTTCATCTCCTCGCGAATTTTAAGGCGGGCGAAACGAAGCCATGGCCGCATCTCATTGTTACCAATTTGCCTATCGATATCGACCGTTATGCCGTGCATGGTATTGCACGAGGGCTCTCTCAACTCCTAATCTTTGATATATACCTGTGAATAGCATTTACATTTACGCTTATTTCTTAATCTTAATATTCGGATGAGTGTATTTAACTAACTTTAGACGGGTCATCCTATACATTACAGCCCCTTAATCATATATAAAGTATAGTCTATTTAGAACGTAGAAACTGAAAGGACAACCATGACATTGATTTAAACTGTAATAAGGAATGACAACATATATCCAGGAATGATATTTCTTTATTTTTCATTGCAATAAAATGGTGCATGCATGGGTTTGTTTTTGCAGGATGTGCCGGTAAAGTGTCTACAAATTGAACTAAACTGTATCTGCCTGTATAGATTTATAATAAAAGAGCCTGATATAATACCATCTGGTACCATATTAATTGCTTTCTGAATAGATTTACTGTGGGTTCAGACGGTGAAATATGTTAACCACTAGTTGAAATACCACAATGTGCATGATATCGGCCGAGTGAGATGATCATGCATGGCATCTTAATGTGTAGTGCATACCGTGGGCCTCGAGGGAACTATGGGAAGAGTATGGGAAAGCTCATAATTCCGGTGCTATGTCGAAATCGAGGCTTCAAAGAAGGAGGAAAACCCAATAATTTAAATCCCATGACTAAAAATATCTTTAAGGAATTTCAGCAATATTGCATGAAATTCGCCAGGCTTATCCATATAGCAAGCATGCCCTGCTCCTTGGATCACCTTCACGACAGAATGAGGTATGTTTAATCGAAGTGTACTTGAAGATGTCTCGCCTAATGAGGTATCTTTTGAGCCCCGCACGATCAGTGTTGTTGGAAAATTCTTGTATTCCTTTCCAGGCACTCTGTCTGTGCCAACCGCGGCGATAGAAACGAACCCATTCAACACCTCTTTGGCTGAATTTTTCAAAGCAGTGATATAGGGAATACTGTATCGCCCGCTTGACGACGGTGATACAATCACCGGCGATACGAGACCAACTTCACGCATAAAATTCGCCAAAAACTTCGCTCTGTTTTTGTCGTTTGAATGAACTTGGAACTTGTATGTTGATTTTCCTTGACCTGGCAAATCCATCGCCACCACGCGATATCCACGAGCAGCCAAAATATTCATAGTATTCAATTTTGCCCAATTTGCAGATGTAAACATTTTGCCGTGTAACAAAAGAATGTGCAGTTTAGGTGCAGAAATCGGGTTGATTTCTCGGTAAAATATAATACCCCTTTTCCATTTTAGTTTCGACTTTCTAATTACTGGTTTTGGTTGCGTTTTTGGCACGATCACAGTAGTCGGTTTCATTATTTTATAATATCTGCTGATGTAAGAAACGTCATTAGCATTGCGAGGCGACGGTTTGTTCAGTTTGTTGTACGGCATCTTTCGGTACAGCCTCGCGATTCTGGTACTTGGCAAACTTTTAAGAACTTTGTACGCAAAAAGACCAAGTGCTATCAGTAAGATGAAAAATAACGTCCATCTTATAGAGCTGGAGTTGTTCATTCTTCGGGTTATTTACGAATTCGACTCCAGTGGATGAATCCAATATACCTAATATTGGCGCTGTATTGTTGTTGTGACGTCTTGAAAAGTCTTTGTGTTTTAAGGGCTTACAGACCTTACATAAGAGCTGGAGTGAGAGCCTGAAATGTTAATTTCGCATACATGAATTTATGAATAAGATACTCTCGAATTTAACGTTTTCTATGACATGACCTGTACACACATCGTATCGAACCAGGGTCCTGATAGGCTAAGTCGGGGGAAGACGGCTCCCCCCCCAGGTTTCACCGCAACTCCTCCTCCCATACATAGATAATTGAGATAATTATGCGATAATTGCCATTGCATCTTCCTGTAATTTAAAATTATTTAAAGACATTTAAATTAACGTCCCTCACAAAAGCCAACAAAGCATTCAGTTAGCCTGCTCGCAGACCCCGCCTGGAAATTAGGGAGGGGGGAAAAATAGGGGCCCTATTTTCCCCCCTCCCTAATTTCCAGGCGGGGTCTGCGAGCAGGCTACATTCAGTCAACTTGTTTAAATATTTACTGATTGAGAAATAAGCCATTGCCATAATTATCTCAATTCTGTGTTGTCCCTATAACATCGACCTCTCACTGTTCACGCGGCCATGCACTCAAAATTCACAAGTTAAAGCTTTATATAATAATAGAAGGTTTCAATAACCGACTTTTAATAAAAATGACGAGTAGCGTTAATTCTCTGTAGATTTTGATAAATGTCGAGTATTAAGTACGTGCAAATGTATTTTTCAATTCATTATCACGCTAGCCTGCACCAGGCTGATACAAGATATGCATTTTATATGCGGGGGGGAGGGCTTTGCTCCCCAATCCTACACTAGCTTTCATGTGGAATTCGTTTTTCATGAAGTGAGCCACCCCCCCCCCCCCGCAGCTACTGCGCCGTCCACGTTTATATAAAGTCGCTTGATGCTCGTTAATTATTTTTATAATCTCTTGAAGGAAAGGCAGTGTCAATAAAATGGTAACCGGATACAAACAAAGTACACAGTCGATCTGACTGGCTCATTGCCTGCAACAGCCGTTTAATTGGCTTGGTCACACGCGACACAACCGTAAAGTAACTATTTGAAACGATGCTTCTTGTCGATATCGCATTTTGCACTCAATTGATCTCCATATTCTTAGCGAATATTGCTACATCTTTGGAGTTGGATGAAACATCGAGCGCTGACAAAGTAACGAATAATGATGTGCCCCACACAACAACATCAGTTCGCAAGCCGAACTTCGTTGTATTTTTGGTCGATGATCTTGGTGTCGGAGATATAGGATGCTTCGGCAACGATACAATTAAGACGCCAAATATCGATCGCATAGCAGCACGTGGGGCGAAGTTAAATCACAATTTGTCACCGGAATCCATCTGTACGCCAAGTCGTGCCGCCATGTTAACAGGTCGTTACGCAATACGTTCTGGTATGGCGTCGGGACCTAACGAATTAAGAGTGTTGTCTAACCTTGCTTGCTCAGGTGGCTTGCCAAACAATGAAACTACCTTCGCAAGGGCCCTACAAGAAATCGGCTATCGAACAAGTATGTTCCCTTCGTCTTAATTCGCAACACGTATGAGGGTAAACTAATTCATTAATTTAAAACAAAACGCCTGTTCCGGCGTTAGGTCCGGCGTGCTTTGCGCGTGCCAGTCTTCAATATAAAGCTCGCAGCTTCTGAACATAAACAATGCATTCATACTCATTTAGATGCCTTGCGAACCTAAAATCCAAATGTTGTTCGATCGCGACATTCAGAAGCACATCGTACTTTAAATCTAAACTGAAATCTAAATAAACCGCATGATACGTGCACTTTGTCTTACACTTTGGTACTCGCGCAGTCGCGCTTATATTAAATCTTCAATCCTGTGCAAACTGCGACGTGTCAACGCCCATACACGACTACATCTTGTTGAACGACGAAATAGTAGCGATATTATTAAAATAGTCTGGTTGTTTTCACTTGCGACATAATCATAAGCATATATAAGGAAGAAGGCAAAACAATAAAGAAGGATTTAAGAAGCGTGCGACACAAGCATAAGCCAAAACACTTCACTCTTCAGACAAGACAAAAAAATTCAAAAGAATATATTTCCTGCTTGTCTCTTTTTCATATATATTTAAGTCCGGCGGAATTTTAAATCTCCTACACTTATGTTATGCTATAGTGAAATCAAAAAACAGCATAAACGGCATTTTGTCTGATTTTAGCCTTAGGTCAGGTTTTAGTGAGGCATTCACGAGCATTTCGTTGCCTCGCCCAACTGTTGTTAACTTTTTTACTCCGTTTACCCCATACTATGCAGATTCAAATGGCAAGAGCCACAAGGTACTGAGTTAAGGTAGCTTAAGTTGTCCATATCTCTATCCTCAGAACATTTTTTTTCATTTGACGGATCATGTTAAAGCCAACAATCGTGCTATATCAATGCGTTCGGGCGGTAAAACTCGCTTCCACTGTTCGACATGGTTAAATTATATGTCGTCGTGACCATATGAAAAGGCCTTTGTTTTTGGCTTTAAAGGTATAAGCAAAGAACACTACATATTAAAAGGCAGTAAAATATTTTATTTTCAAACATTTGCCATAAATACACCAAATCTATCCAACTAATAACTATTTACTATGCTCTTTAAAGGCCACAGAAGAATCATTTTTTTTTCTTAACTTTTAGGTTTGAACTTTTCTTTCCGAATAATATTTTGTAGCTATACCCGTTAAAAACAAGAAAATACACACAAATTCCATTTCGTTCGATACTTTAAATACTAGAACGCTTTATAACGATTGTTTGGTCTATCCGTCTTGTATATTTTCGCCTGTAAGTTAACGGGTATGATTATTTCAAAAGTAATTTTTTAGATTTTCCGACACAGTTTGATAATTTGGCGCGTGCGTAGACGGTTTTTCGCGATGTTTTGGCATGCAGTGTGTATGTGGCAATGTAACCAATAAGAATTGATAATAAGTTGGGTAATTTGGCCTGACTTGGTTGGACCCTAAGCGAAAATGTCTAGATTTTTTTGCCCATTACGTCAGACGGAGATGCGTAGCCCCCTTGCCCCAAAAGATCATTTGCCCTGCAGGCTGCATGCATGCCTATTCCGAAACAATTCTTTAACTGAGTAACCCCCAGTATATGATTGCTTTAGGTATGATTGGCAAATGGCATCTTGGCTTGCATTGTGAAAGGCGTGATTATTGCCACCATCCACTTAACATGGGTTTCGACCAATATTACGGACTACCACTTACAAATTTACGCGATTGTGGACCGTATGCGGATGGGTCCAGTTTCTTGCAAGTGGTGCAGAGGCCAGTACACCGTGTTGCTGTAGCCTTCGTGGTTCTGTTTGTAGGATTATTCGCCACTAATGTAACATCCAAGAGATTTACCGTCCTTTTCGGGTGCTTTGGTGTTCTCTGCCTTTTGCTCTCACCGTATGTACTTCGGATTATCTATTCAAGACTGTCTTGCATTACAATGCGTGGTTTTGAAACTGTCGAACAGCCGACCAATCTTGAGAATCTAACAGTTCGGTTCACGAACGAAGCGAGGGGATTCATTCGCCGAAATAAACAGGAACCATTCCTTCTTTTCATGTCTTTTGCAAAAGTTCACGCGGTGTTGTTCACGTCGCCGAGGTTCAAAGGTCACAGTGCGCACGGTCGCTATGGTGACAACGTCGAAGAAATGGACTGGAGTGTGGGCGAAATAGTTTCAACACTTGAGGAGGAAGATCTCTTGGAAGATACCTTGGTGTATTTCACATCGGATCATGGTCCATTTTTGGAAATTATGTCATCCTCTGGAGAGCATCTTGGCGGTTCAAATGGACCGTATAAGGGAGGTAAGTTAATATAAGGCATGTAAGAATATAATGGCGAGTGTATAAATTGTTTCATCATAACCGAAAGAAAAAAAAAACAGGCTGCAGTCGTTTCGATGAAACGATGACAAGTCCACGTTCACACTGTCTTTCGTGTTGATGATATCGGATATCGAGCAAGTATTATTGACAAAATACTTGGAATAAGACCCAAAACAACCTCGTACACAGGTCCTTTGCCCCCCAGCGTGAGCACAGAAAAGACCCTGGTTACGAGATTGGACCCAAAACACACCGAAAAGTGGTAATACTAGTATGCATCGTACTATTAAGTGGCAAATAGATTACGACTAGGTAAAACCCATCACCCAAAGGTCCTGGTCCAGGCAACCTTCTTCTGTTCGCCTGGATTATGTGCCATATGTGGCCAGACCAGGTCCAGGCGACACCGCGGAAATTGGTAAAATTGAAAAATACTTAGCCGCAATTCTCAATATTAAGGCTTCAAACTTGGTGAGAAAAAAGATTTATAGATACTACACAAAATATGTCTTGCACAAAAGATTTAAAGCTTGCACACGGCAAAAACGAATCATCTGAATTGATAACCTTAAATGTGTATACTTTAAGCCCTCGAAATGGCCATTTCACAGCTGTCAGATGTGTATGATTAGCTGTCAAAAGATTGTAGAATGCGTATTCGGAAGAAAAACCGAACTTTTTAAAGTTATTCAATAGTTTTCTCTTTGATAGCGATACAGAAATGCACATTTTTTAACCAGTGATTAAATTTTCAGATTGATCTTCATAAACACCAATTTCTGCGGTGTTGGTCCAGGCCTGGTCTGGGCCTGATAAACAACGTTCACACCTAGCTCTGGTTCAGGCCAGGTCAAACCACGTAGACGTAGTGTAAACTCGGCTAAAGTCAGATCTTTAAGCTAAATGTAGGCCGCTGCATGAAGAATCTATGATGGTTAATCTACAAAATAACGTTTGATTTAACTAATCATTTCTCTACATCCGTTTTAAAGTAAAGAAAGGATACTTTTGTCTGAAAGAATATCCACTCGAGCATCCACTTGGAATCCCCTAAGCTGCCAACGTTCATTAAGAAATTACCTCACATGATCGGCAAGCCAGGGTCTCGTGAATCACTTTCATTATTTTTATAGCTAGCGGTAACTGTATTTATACGATATTTACTCGTGTTAAATGGACTGAAAGTGATGTTGCTTTCCTAGGAAAAGCCCAAACCTGGGAGGGAGGAATACGTGTACCAACCGTGGCGATGTGGAAGGATCATATCCCAGAAGGAATTGTAATCAACGAACCAACAAGCAGCATGGACATATTCACAACGATGATTGAAATGGCTGGAGGAAGAATACCAGAAGAAAGGGCGATTGACGGTAAAAATATTCTTCCACTGTTGCTTCAAGAACAAGCCGTTTCCCCGCACGAATTTATGTTTCATTATTGCGGAAGTTCTATTCACGCGGTGAGATATCGACCTCGCTCAGGACTGAACGTGACATGGAAAGCACACTTCATAACTCCTGTATGGGCACCAGGTAGAGAAGTGTGTGATAGCTCGTTGGTTTTGTGTCCATGCTTTGGTGATCACGTTACCCGTCACGATCCCCCATTGCTCTATGATGTAACACACGATCCTTACGAGAGGTACCCACTTGAACCTTTGCTTGAACAACATCAGGATGTCATATCAAAGATGAAGCAGGCTGTGAAGAACCACCAGCAGGGAATACGACCGGTTCCAAAACAACTTGGTTATTCTAGGGTTCGTCCACAGCTAAATCCACTTTTTCAGCTATGTTGTAATTTTCCATACTGTTCTTGCGTCGAAACCGAGTGAATTGCATGAGATAAATTTCATTAGTTACATCATTATTTAATGACTGGCTTTGTCTGATTCACTCTTCTTGCAGAACTTGACCTTTTTTGGATAAAATGGAGCAAAAACGTTTACTTTCTTTGATCGCCGCAAATGAAAACCAAGATAGTTTCTCTCTTTTAAATAAAGGACAAAAAATAACAAATATTTTAGTTTTCTCTCGCAAAACTGTGTAAATTTGATGTTGTTGTTACGGTATCTGGGTTGATCTGTAGCATTTCGGACATAAATGAGTCTCTTACTCTAACTTTAAGGTGGTTCTTACACAATAGAATTAAGATTCGAAACAATGCGGCTGAAATGGGAAACAGCCCTAATTCAAAAGTGTCGTAGAGTATACTGTTTGGTGCCCCTTTGTTAGAAGGTTGTTATCCCAAAGCCAGTGCAGAGCGCCGTACGAGGGCATGCACTAATTCCGCCCAGAGATTTTAATTATACCCTTGTATAATTATGCTACATAGGTAATGTTTGATGGGTAATAATGCTATATAGGTAATAAGCGGAAAATTTTGTATGAATAGGCATCAATACTTTCGACATACGCATATGGCATCAGTATATAAATATGTTGTTCATTTGTTACCGTACCGATGTCGGTTTTCGATAGAATTATTTTTTACAAGATTTATGTATCCTTAATGCTACTTTGATTTGAACATGTAGAGGGACGAAAGACGTTCATGAGAGGCAACAAATTGAAAACGCAAAAAGCGAAAAAACGAAGTGCAGCTAGCGCGCACGAAAAACAGGAAGGTCGGGCATGCGGAAATAGAATACTCGTGGTATTCATGTGACTTGTTGTAGAGGTACGCTGCAGTCATATGATATCCGCTGTCAATTTCATTATTAGACAAAATGATCATTTATAACGACTACCGGTCCCTGCGTGCCCAACAATGCATTGTTAATTTTGCTATGACACGCACGGGCCTGACATATGATGTAATATTTGAAGCATTATTATTACACATAATATTTGATTTAGATATCATTTCTATTATATTTTATGGACTTGTTAACTGCGTATAGCGCATGTCCAGTCCTAGTGCTTATGACATGTCCAGTCCTAGTGCATGCCATGCAGTATTTGACATTTCATCAGTATCGCGAATTATTCCGAGTATATAAAGGTGCATGATTGCACAATACTGTGTCTCTTCCGGTAATTCGTTTTAATAGCCTCACGTGAAAGGTATTAGGTGTCATACACTAATCGATCGTTTCACTTCACAGACAGGAGCCAGGCGACTTTTAATTCGTTGCAAATTTTAAAACTTCAACGATATCACTCCATCGACAGTACGATGGCAGATAATTGCTGTTGTCTTTCTCTATTTAAGGTAAATACTTGCATTACTACTTGTAGATATTTGTATTCCCGCGGCCACATCACATAGCTGGGCTACATGGTAAGCGTAATTTCCTCGCGTTAGTCAGGTTTACCTGTTGATATTTCTTAAAATCATCCCGGCAATAATCTTTGTCTGTTCGTTCAAATTTCAATCAGTTTAAATTATACCGTCAATGAGAATATTCTGTCCTAGTGCCACTCATAACGTTGTTGGCCCAGTTTAATTCACAGCAAACTTTGGAAATAGTTTGCATCATCCCGCGTATCGTATATACGTATAGATAATCATATAATACACGTACATGTTCTTTGCATGGTGTTACGTTTAGACACAATGCGTGTACACGCTTTGACAACATAGACGAGCACGACCATGCTTGCAGTTACTCAATTTGGCTCTGCATGTGGCAACATTTTATATCAGACTGATCAGTACCATGTTTTCAGCTATATCCTAGCTATGTCACATACGAAAAAATATCATTTACACCGACGGCATTCGATTGGTGTACATACCATTTTTAACTGTGCTCCTACAAATTTTATGGTACAAATTTAATGCCTGCGCGTTATCAAGTATTGATCGTAGACGGTTCTGTAATGTATGCCACATAATATGCTACTTCCGCCATCGGCGAGAACGTTTGTATTGTATGTACCAACTTTGACCATAATGACTTTTGTATTGAAACAGCAATTTGGCTTTTTTGACATTCATTAGCATGCTTCAAACACATGCTTGCAGAGCAAAGTTTACATAGTTTCACTAAAGAAACTTTCTTTGACAAATTTTATGTGACAAATATTGCCTGTGTGTTTGGGGAAAATGTAAAACATAATTTTTTACGGCAAGTGTGTTTAGACAAAGATTAAATGTTAAATTTTTATTTAACAAAAATATTTCCATGTGTAAAATGGTCTTAATTTGAATATTAATGCAGCCGTGTATACCCGGTATAAAACCAGATTAAAACTTCAAAGCAAGCTGTTAATTGTGATATCTGACCAATATTAACCCTGCTAATAAAGTTACAAGAAAAACCAGCGATACCTAGACTTTGAACTAATGACGTAGAATACAATTTTTCAAGATCTTTCCGGTTGATATTTACTAATCTGTGAATAACCTATTCTGCGGAAGGTTCTAAAACCTGTTATTCAATTTTTTCGAAGTAGTTTGGTGAATGTTTTTAATCAGACCAGCGAACTCTATAAACACTGGAACGATAACTGATGGTTATTTGGCTGCCATCTTTGAAGCCAAATTGAAGCCAAATATAGAGTACCGCAACTAGCAATCGAGGCAAATTATAACCGAATTTGTATTGTACAGTTTAATCATACCATAAACTCACAAAGCTATTGTTTGGCACCATTTGCAAATCTCGTGGAATGTTAATTGTTCTTTAGAACTCGCAAATTATCCCATACGAATAATAAATGATATAAACCAATAAATAATATATTTGAATAAAAAAATGTTGAACAAAAGATTATCCAAAGATCAAAACGAAAAACCACAAAGACCCGAAAAACATGTGTTTTTCCGGTAGGTTCCGAAGTTCCTACGAAGACTCCCGAACATTAATTTTTTCCGAAATTTCTTGATATGCATGTATTAATTTCCAAGGTAAAAATCATTTGATTGGAAATCATATCGGAGTTTTTTTTTCAATCCTCTAATCTTTCTATCGTTTAGTGTAAACGTGAAAGTCAAGATGGTGAAGGGGATAAGGTGAGTTTTGTAGTAGGTATTTCGGCCATGGCTCCTGTTTTTCTTATCCAGGATCGTTTTACAGTGTTTGCGCATAACTAAATCTCTACATCGTCACACGGCATTTCTCGTCTAATTTTTAGAACGAAAAAAGTCCTTTAATCACTAGTGCTGGTGAACAAGGAAATGAAAGCGGTTATCAAACAACTGGCACAACGGACAGCCAAGGCAGTCCAAACTCACAGGTAAAGATAAGGAGAGGATATCTTTAAAATCTAACTGCAAAAACTAGCAGAAGCTATATAATAAGAGCTTTTGCTACGCCATTGATATCTTTTCAAGCCGGCGTCTACTTTAATCAGACCCAGCCACGTCCATGTCCATTCACAAAGTTAAACTATGAGAAATTTAAAATCTGTAAAATCCATAGTTCACTACGGTATAAGTTATTAAAAATGCTACGAAACATTTACGAATGCTACGAATTTGTTTAAAGAATTCAGTGTCGATACTGTCGAATTCCACTCCTACGTCCGTCACTTTTGTGCATTTTAAGTGTGTCAAAATGACCTACGTGACCAAATTTTTCGTGTATAATTACTCATATATTTTTCTAATATTTTCTGCAAGTGGCGATACATTTCAATTATGTTTGCGGACACGTCAATAACCTCTACTAATGAGAAAATATTAATCAATTATTGATAATAAAAAACAGGCAAGAACTTACGTTTTTCGATCACTACATTATAAGCGAGAAGATCCCGGAAAATAAGGTTCTGCTCTGTCGGTTGTATTTCTTTTTATATAATAACGTTAAGAGTTCAAGCGATTTTACTGATTGGTAGAGAGCCATGATCTATAAGAGGACAGACGCACGGAATGACCTCCCAGTTAATGCTAACGAATTTACTCAGTAATCTCTTGTTTTATTTTGTAAGCCAATCATATATATTTTAGCACGTGTCTTAAGCTAGCCAATAGCATTTCGTCTATCCTATTGATCATGTACGGTGATATCTGCAAATTTTCTACTTTGACAATTTTCCAAGTGTTGGGGAAACTTATCTGCGTGTTTAATTTTGGATTTTTTTCGATTTTATTATATAAAACAAATAGATAACATCGAACCGTTGTCTGTTCACTTATACACGGATGACGTAATTTGTGATAAGAACAAAAGAGACCACTCGCCCCGGTAGCTCGAGGCAACTTGGTTTTGTTCTTATCTCAAATGACGTCATCCGTGTGTCTATATTACTGAACAGACAACGTTTCAATGTTATCTATTTGTTAAATATTTCACAGTTGAGCTCGGTTCCTTACCCGACCGACATATAAATACATGCAATAAACGAAGGTTGTATGCGAAAACATTTCAGTGAGTTGAACGACAAAAAAGCGAACGACAGTTCCCAGTGGCGGCTAATGTTTTCGTTGTCACGCGGAACTAGGAATTTTACTTTAAAAGTATAATTATTGTTACTCTATTTTGTTTAGCAACATACCAATAACGGGTTGGAAAACAGTCGTCGAGCGCAACCTCCAAAGGTGAGTACACCTCAACATGGAACCAGATAAACTGCCTTAGCTTGAATTTATTTTTACTCAATGTATTATGATAATTTTAGGATGTAATATATACCATTTGAACAAATCCCCTGGTAAATCGTAACTCTATTTGACCAGAAAAAAATTTTATCTTGGTGTTCACTGGTTTAATAACTGTACGTCCATAATACGGGCACTTCTTTGTACATTCCAAATTTCTACCTTGCATAAATAACGCAACGACAACGCCTTGTAAAGATAACGCAAAGATAACGCATCTTTTAACTATTTTTTAAGTCTGTCAAGATTGAAAGGATTCAGATGAAACCTCTTACAGTGAGAAAAGTCGATGAAATCTTCCAAAAATTCCAGAAGACTTTCGATGAATTCAACAAATGCCAGATTGATATGCAAGATGCGATGAAAAAGTTTCAAACCGCGTGTAATTCGGAAGAGGATTTCCGGGCCTGTCTCGTCCATTTCAAAGAGCAATTGAAAGGTCAACGCGTTGTCATCAAGAAGTTGGCTCTAAAATTCCCCAAAACTGTCCAAGTGAACGACGCGAAGGCACTAACTAGCATCTTTAAGACATACGAAGATTTGGAAAAACTCTCAGTAAAGGTGATCAGTAAGAGCATCGAATGTTTTAAAGATGTCATGTCGCTGGACGAGAGCGAGGTAGCGGGTGAGGAATTCCGGGGAAGCGGATATGATTTCGAGAAGTTGCCAGAACCGGTAAAAAGCATGCGCGCGAATGTCAAAGAGCTCAAAAAGGCGCCGAAGATCGTCAAGGATTTCTTCGAATACGCGAACAGCATTGTGAATGATGTGATAGAGGAGCTAGGTGAAGACAAGAACAGGGAAGAATTGAAAAAGAGGACGGAGAAAGTGGCTGAAGATTTGGAAAAGAAGATTGAAAGCTTCACGAAAGTTGCCGAAGGATACCCACCGCCGGAGGAAATCCACTTCACTTCGCTTGGAATCCCTGATGTTGATCGACTCTTCAACGATGTTGCCAAACTGGTGAACCCGGTGGTGAAATTAAGCATTGACATGTTCAACGCCAGGAAGCGAGTCGAGCAGGCCGCAAAAGCCGTTAGCGAGTTCCGCGATGATCCATCGAAGGCGTTTGATGATTATTTGGAAGACCTAAAAAAGAGGCTAAGAAAAGGTGAGCCACGTACTATAAGTTATATTTCCCCAAATTAATAGACCACGCGTACTTGATTATTTCTGCACGAATATGTTTGTTTCCGAAGATATAAAGGCCAAAAATTTGAATTTATATTAATGGTTGGGCATTTTCATTATTAAAGATGATCCCGTTGCTAGAAGTTTTAGTATTCTCGTTGGTATTCTATATAGTATTCTCGTTGATATCGTGTTCTTCGCATAGAGCGGTAGCGATAAGCAGGGACCGCGGAGCAGGGTGGCTCGCTGGGCTTTAGCCCCACCAATAATTTTTCCGTAATTAGTCTTTAATTTCGAATATTTTTTAGTTCGCTCAAATTTACAAGCAATACAAGCGCCAAAATGCTGGAAACTTTACATAGGGCAAGCATTTGACCATTAAAACAGCGTGGTTACCCATTTCAAAATATTTGACATCATAACCAAAGCATGCATGGTTATATTGTTTAATGTTTGTATATGAGCGTTAAACATGCTGGAAACTTTACATATAGGACAAGCATTTGACCATTAAAACAGCGTGGTTATCGATGCATATCAAAATATTTGACATCATAACCAAAGCAAGGTTATATTGTTTAATGTTTGTTATGAGCGCCAAACATGCTGGAAACTTTACATACTATCTATTATTTTCCATTAATCCTTAAATTGAGAGGCATTTGCGGCGATTTCAGAGACCAGTATATTTCAAAATTTTCCCGGACTTTCCTAGCAGGCGCGCGGTTCCGAGCCCCAGCAATACGAAAAACGCTCCGCGGTCCCTGATAAGTAATAATTATTTCCCTGATCTTGGTATTGAAAATCTAAGCTTTCATGAGTAGAACTTCGATTTAGCAGTATGCGATGTACATTTGATGAAAAAATAGAAATTACTTCATGGTTCGCGAGTGCATACAATTCAGTTTATGAACCATTCATTACCAGAAATTTGCGACATGATAATTTGCATTTATACTAATTTGCATTTAACTTTAGCATAATGGCCTTCAACTTTTACTATTAAATACATATAGTAAATATACAAAACCTAAAAATGCCGTTGCCCTAGACCTTGCGTACTGTTTCCCGACCTCTGGGTCAATAGAACAGCCGTTTCCCAACGTTTTAATGATCGAATTACTTACCTTAGGTATTTCTACGTTCGGCCAACTGATTGTGAACAAATGTGCATATAGCCTTCGTACTGTTCAAGTTCCTGATAAGACTGATAATATTTTTTAAAGTGATTGCAGTGAAAATCCGAGCCGTACAGAAAAGTTTATTTTCTTTAACAATTTTTTTTTGGTATATTATATACACGTCAATTCATCAACTACCTGAATCGAGATATTCGAATCAATGTGAGCGATTTTATAAGTTCGTTGACAGAACACGGATAAAACTTTTTTAAGCAATATATTTTTAAATTTGGCAGATTGCAAAAATGCCCAAGCTAAAAAATTTGCTCTCCAAAACGTTTCTAAACAGCTGCTCTACCCATCTAGAGGTCGGGAAACAGTAGGCAAGGTCTAGGGCAACGGCATTTTTAAGTTTTGTATATTTACTATATGTATTTTATAGTAAAAGTTGAAGGCCATTTTGCTGAAAGTTAAATGCAAATTAGTATACATGCAAATTATCGTGTCGCAAATTTCTGGTAATGCGAGTTATAAACTCACTCGTATATACGTCTACTCAGTGGCCGCAGTGTACGACATTTTCTAACTGGTGAAAATCGTACGTCTAATCGGATTGCATAAAGTTGATTTATTGAGTGAAGAACTAGCATTTTTATCTTATCTTTCCACTGTGCGAATATCATCTCTAGATCTATAATTATACACGTGCAATAATACAAACAACCTTTTTATTTTTGGCTTTCTATTCTTCTTCACTGATTGCGAGGGGGCAACTTCTGGGACAGCTCCTGGATTTATTGAATTTTCACTCTATAACTTTAGTAAATTTCAAAATTGGTAACCATTTCATTGAATTTGGAAAAATCGGAAAGCCGGTTCTAGATGGGAGGGGCTACTTTACCCCTTGGGCTCTTGCCGTGCCACTGACTGACTGATGAGGGGGGGGGGCTTACCGGTTCCACTGACTGAAAGCAAATTTTCTTACCATTGCAAGTATGAATCGGCCATTAATTGATTTTTCTATCGCGTGAATCTGTATAGAATATTGATAGGCATCCCTATAAAAACCTCTCCATAACTAAGGGTCCTCCTATCTAGGAAGGTTTTTTAGGATGTATTGGGCGCGAATTGAGATGCTAAAAAGGGTGGGACTTTAGATCGGGAAAGAGCGAGGTGGGTTGGTTTCATTTGAAGTAATGCGAATATTTTAAGAGTTTGTCAGTATAGTGCTAAATATATGGACATACAGTTAATTGAAGCCAAAATTGACTTTAAAATATTGGTTTGAAATAGGCCAAGTTCATATCGTAATATCGGTAAATGGAAATCATGTTAAAGTCGAAAAAGTTGAGGGCTTGGAGCCGAAGGCGATGCAGGATATGCGGGATGGTTTCAATGGAGTTTTAAAGAGTGGTGGTGAGTTGGTCGATCTATTTCCAGATTCTATCCAGAAGCTAATCAAATTATCGAAAGATATCCTCGACATCTCGGTGACGGATATCAAGAATCATATCAAAAGTTTGAAAGAGTTGAAGAGCACAATGACGGCTTTGAAAGATAATGCAAAAAAAGCAGAGAAAATTCCGGATGACCTGAAATTCTTTTTCAATTTCGTGCGAAATTTGGTCATGGATATACTCCAATTGTTGCACACGAAGAAGGAAGAAACTCAAGCATCTCAAGAGGAAACTACTACTGATTGAACATAAACGATACATGCACATGCACTTTTTACAATGTGTTAAATTTCTACGCTATAACAGGATACAATGAATTACACATTCTATAGATGTACGAGAAATTAATTTTGAGTAACCGTAAAATATTGATTTTAACCCAGGTCTAGCACGGGCAATTTTTATTCAACTGGTGAATTTGTGCGACGGTTCGCACTTCAATAGTGACCAATCACATTTTTGTTTGTTTTTCAATGTATTGTTTAGTTTTTAGTCAATATTTTTATTTTATATGTAGTTGACAACAGCGTGTCCGCATAATGTCCCAGATGATCCCTAAAAGTCCCCGAGCAACATTTTGTTTTGTACTGAGAGCAATCTTTGTCGCGTATCGAGTTTTGTATTCACGTTTCGTACAAAATTTTGCAACGTGTTTCAGTCGAGATATTTTGTTGTGTATTTCTCAAATTTGTCGCGCACTGAAACTTTTCTACGTGAACTTTTATTTTGATTTGTGTACTGAACATTTTGTTTTGAATTGTGACTTTGATTTGTGTATTGCACATAGGGGCCACCGTAGCTTGTAATTAGATGCCGTATTTACACTCACATGCACTCTCACAGACGGATGATCCGTCCAGACGAACTACGCATGCACGTTCGTCTAAATAGACGAACTACACAGATAATTCGTCTTGACCCCGCGTTGTTTGCCCGCGTTTATACACAGACGAACTAAAAGACGAACTATCTTTCGCTTGCCCAAGTTGGTCCAGACGGATGATCCGTCATTCCGTTCTCTAGTATAAATCAGGTCAATCGAATAGACAATGAACTGAAATTATGAAAGGGTCGATTATGTATACGCAGTTTAGAAAAATGAAATTAAAGATATAACTGAAAGGTGAATGTTGACGTTTTCGCTTCGTGCTTTGCCTTAAGGCTTAATAAACAAACGTCTATAGTATACGGTCTGATTCGCTACACCGTATTCCGGCAAGTGAGGTGGACAGCCAGACCGAGAACGGTTCATTACTGTGCAGTTACACACCCCCAAAAATAGTTTTTAATTCCTAGTGCCAAGTGAGTCACTGCTCATCGTAGAAGGTCGTAGGCAATTATCTGGCTGCTGGCATGACATTATCGAAACGAATTTAGAATGGGGTCCCCCCCAAGCCCTAGGGACTTCCTGCCATTCTGGTTACCCAAGCCGCTGAGGTGATGATCTGTTTGAAAAAAAGTTCTGGTCATGACAAGATTTTGGAAGGACATCTCAATACATTTAAATGCTATCAGTAAATTAATGGGAAAAATGAGGTCCGTTCTAGCCAAATAATTTTCCTATAGCAAACCATAGACAATCCAAAAGACTTTTGCGAAAGCCCCGCAGGTGTTACGACAGACCAGTTGGGATACTGACAAGCTTCCTTTGTTGTGACTTTTATTTAATTACCAAACTTCCAATGTTAGATGTGCCATTTTTAAAATGTCACCAGGATTGTTGTGAGCACTGATCTGGGGCCGGTTGTATCAAGCCCGTTTAGCTTAAACGGTGGATAAGTCCAAAATAGAAAGCAAGTCTATCGTTTTATTCAACAAGCGAACTAAATGTTTTTGACCGTAATACAAAGATACTGTTTACAACTACAAATTCAGTGCATAATATTCAAGTTACTCATTCAAGAGAGACGTTAGAGTGTTATTTCAATTTGACTCAAGGGCATAGGAAGCATCCAGAGGTTGGGGGGGGGGCACCAGCTTCTAGGGGCACTTTTGGTTAATAAAAATGACGGTTAAAATGGTTAATAAAATATATATACATAGGGACGGTTTGATTCAGGGACCGCCGACCGCAGAGCATTTTTCGTATTGGCTTGGGCTTCGTACTGTTAGGGGGGTCCGGGGGAATGCTCCGCCGAGAAAATTTTGAGATATAGGCCTCTGAAATGGCCGCAAATCCCTCTCAATTTAAGGATTATTGGGAAATAGTTGATACTTTTTTATTTCTTTTCGCTTCCCAAAAAGGCATTTTTTTCACAAAAAGGGCACTTTTGGTCCCTTGAAAAATCTTGGGGGGGGGCACGTGCTCCCAGTACTCCCCCCCCCTTCCTATGCCACTGATTTGACTTATCCGCTAAACGGGCTTGGTGGTTGATACAACTTGCCCCAGAGCAAGAAAATCTGCATATGCGCAGAACGGACCTTAAAATGTATTGTTTGAACAGCCCTGCACGAAAAACGAATTTTGGGACCCCCCCTATAATTAACTATGGCTTCTAGTTCCAGGCCGTGAATCTCCCCATCCTTTCCCGCTTTGAGGAACATGTCGCACAAGCCCGAAGATAGACCAGATTCAGGGTATGTGGATATATTTCTTAAAATGAAAAAAAGAAATCACCGATTTCACCCCTCGTATATAAAATAATAGTTTCTGTGCTTTATTTGGTAGTATTTTAGGGTCTATTATTCGATTGTTTATACGTTAATAAACACGATCATTTCGCCGACCTGAGCAGGCACGAAAGACACGTGTTGTCTTTGGTTTGTTCTGCTTTGCGATTGACGGTGTTTTAACTAATATTTCGACGATATTTCCCCATGTTATAGTATTCCAGGCGATATACCGCCAAGAGATCACAACGGTTCGAAAGATGGTCCACCAGGACAAGAAGGGCAAGCTATTGAAGTAAAAATGTATTTTCTAAACCCATAAAATTGCCGGTGCGCTTGTCATGTTTCATTGAATTGAACAAATTGAAATGTACATCCTTTTCTTGTGTCACTTCTAGTCGAACTGGGACGAAGTATGTGAATGTTTTGATGATATGAACTTAAGAGAGGATTTACTCCGTGGAATTTTTTCTTACGGGTATTGTTCCTTTTGTTTATGAGATTTATATGGTCACTTTTGTGAAAATATTGAAATTTTGCCATAATTTTATGGATATATTTTTGTCGTCATTAAACTTCGTGTTACTTTTGTTAATAGTTTTGAAAAGCCATCAGCAATTCAACAAAGAGCCATTATCCCATGTTGCCAAGGTATGATTTTGATCAGATGTTAAGCTTTCATTTTTTATATTTTATAATGGTTGCAAAGTTTTCTTTCAATTATTGCGCAATAGGGTAAGGGTTGGGAAAGTTCAATAACGGTGTTAATGCCAACATCCTTGGCCAAAGTTTTCCCTCATTGATTAGCCATTTCACCATTGTGGTTTAAAGAACCAATCCCCACAAGCAGAAGCAATCCCATTGTCCTTGTGTAAATGCAGCTTACTTATTACGTCACATACTGCATGCTAAGTATTGATTGACACTGTTAATATTGAATGAGATTGCTCATTTGGTTGGTTATTGACAGCATGTGCAATGAAGCAGCTTGGCAATTTTGCTGGCAAATATATGAAGGGTTTTCAGTGGTGATACGTTCGGATTTTCTTCAGCCTTCTATTTTGCTTTGCCAGTTTTTTTATTTTAGTTTAGTCCCAGGTAACTTAGGAAGTGCGTATGTCCAGTTTTATACTGCATCTGATCTATGCATGTAAGCTGATATGTGTGTCGGTTGGCAATTTCATTCATCATATCAACCACTGCACTAGAAATTATCCACAGAACCAATACCAACACAATACATATAAAAACTGTCTAACAAAGATCAAAACACTTTTCAATGTTTTGACCTAAGAGGTTTTATTGAATTATCAATGTTTTGACCTAAGGGGTTTAATTGAAATGTCGATGTTGTTGTCTATTTTAGCCAGTTGTTATACTGCATTGCATCACATATCTTCCAATTCCGTGACATTTTGGCAAACTTTGGGCTTCAAAGCAACAGTTCCATTACCTTTTGTTGTGCTTCAAATTGAATTCAAAACCCTGTGAAGTTTCTGTTCAATTGAGCTTTGCTACAATTGTTTTAAACAAAAATGTCAAATTTCATTACGAAGTTTTTGTATAATTCAAATTTTAATTAGGTGATTGATAGTATGCAGCTTGCGTGTGTCGCAGACTGTGATTGGGCCAACATGCCTCGGGGCTACCTTTCGTTTAATACAGCCCTGTTGATTGGAGAGTTTTCATCTTTGCTCTCTATGAAATATGAATGGTTTTCTTGCCTGCTGATCCAGTAACTTTTTGACGACTGAAAATATGACCAGTCTGACTATTCTCTTCAGTATTTATCCAGTAGAATATATTTCTAGACTATCAGTAAGTCAGGCAAATATATGCCTACTGCAATGATTATTTTTAAAACACTGTGTGACCTGCTTGATATCTATCAATTCCCTGCTATGCATAAGAAATATTGTTCCCATGAGTTTCTTTTTTTATTTTAATGTGATGCATTTGCATGTAGAAAACCATAATTTCTATAGTGAGAGGTTCCTAAATGAAAAGCAAGGGCAGGAATGGTTAAACTGGTTTAAAAAATACTCTCATTTTATTTTTAAACTTTAAATGAGTTCAAGGTAATACAAAAATTCATGAGAGCAAGTGGCTAGATTTTGGACATTTTTGCTGATTTTTTCAATTGCTAAACTTTTGAACTTTGTAAACTAAACAATACTAACATTTTTTTCCAACTTGTTAGCTTTGTCACATTCATCTACAAACATGATTGTGATCTTTGTTATGTACAGATTTTTAATTTGCTACAATTTACATCATCAGTGAAAGGATTGATTTGCACATGCACCCTGAAATTGGAATTTTATTTTTAAATATGAAATTTTAAGAAAAAATACATTGAAAATAATACAGAGAATGCCAGCAGGCATGTTTACATGAACAGGCTGTATAGTTATACAGAGGTACTTGACCAAAAACCTAAAAGGAACACCGACATGGCCCCTGAAGCTGAGCTTCCACTGAGGACTGAACAATTTATACTGTATGAAATTCAACAGTTCTCTTTAGTATAACATATTTCTTTGTTGATATATTCAGAAATTTATATCATTATTATTATAGTAAAGTTTTCATGTATATAGGTATTGTAGTATAGCAATAATTGGTTATTCTACTTTTATTGTAAATTTTGGGATCTCAACACAAAACTGATTTTAATCCTGATGACCATAATTTTCCAGGTCGAGATGTCATTGCACAAGCCCAGTCGGGTACTGGCAAAACAGCCACATTTTCCATTGCAATTTTGCAACAGCTGGATTTAGAACATAAGAAGCCACAAGCATTAGTGTTGGCACCAACAAGAGAGCTTGCACAACAGGTAGGTAACAATTCTGAGAAATAAATTTGTCATCATAGAATAGTTTCGTTGCATTTTATGACAGCTTTTTGAGGTTTTCGCTGGAAGCTGTAATTAAGTTCCAGCAAGAAAACAGATGGAACTCTGTAACCACATCCAGAAATCAGTTCCACAGTATTCTTATAAGTAGCTACACATGTGTAACTTTATCCCCTTTGCAACAGGCGAGGGTACTAATTCCACAAATGTTTTTATGTTAGTGCACCATTAAAAATTGCAAGGACATAAAGGAAAATTAGAAAGTTTCATATGAACCTAGAACAGGTTACAGTAAATACAGTATCACTATCTACTAACTGTGTGTCATTGTGCACTGTAATAACTTGACACACACACTCTTTTAGAATTTAACCAACTCCAATATGTTCTTCTTGGTCAATATTGGTTTGCAATGCCAATTGTCTGTTACAATCTCTCTCGCCACTGCACAATTATGGCCGAAATATTAAGGCACAAAGCAGCAGTATAATTTTAATTTTCTGGTATTTAATAGTATCCTGGAGCATTAGGGGAGAACAAATACATATGTTAGACCTCTTTTTTAAATCCTGTTTTTCCTGACCACGTTTTGTAGTAATGCATTTTTGGGTAGAACATTTAGTCATTCAAAACTGTGATCGTTTGCAGAATTCGTATTAATAGTATTAATAAGAAATTGAAATCCCTTTATTACTAGCATTAGTATTAAGGCCCTCCTACAGGGTGCAATTTTTCTTGCAACTTGCAATGCAATTCTACTTTAAAGATATGAAAATTTGGCAACTATCGAAGCTTCTTCACTAATTTACATCTCCTAAAAGTAGAATTGCATTGCAAGTTGCAAGAAAAATTGCACCGTGTAACAGGGCCTTTAGTATGATTATTTTTGTTGTTATTACAAACGCCAATAATACTTTTTGGGGGAACTCAAAATCTTGATCCTGGCTAAAAATTCTTTCATACGAAAAACTTGAAATTGATGTTTTATCGTTTAGATTCAGAAAGTAGTTATTGCCCTTGGAGATTATATGAATGTGAAGTGCTTCGCCTGCATTGGTGGAACAAACGTGGCTGTTGGAATAAACAAGTTAAAGGAGGGCCAACACGTGATTGTTGGTACACCAGGCCGGGTTTTTGATATGTTGAGTAGAGGCCTATTGGGTAAGACTTATTAATTAAACCCCATTTAAGCTTGGTTTCCATATGACGCTGTAAATGAGGCTGTCAAAAAGTAGATTTGCCAAACTTTACACAAACCCCCTCTGCACAAACTCCATTGCAAAATGCGTGCCACCACCGTCATTAGGTTGCAACATGCTCTACTGACATCATTTGGTTTTCGTTGTGTAGAACGCGAGTCTATTAGATTTTTCGTGCTCGATGAAGCAGATGAAATGCTGTCAAGAGGGTTTAAGGACCAAATTTACGATATTTTTCAGTTGCTCAATAGTGATATTCAGGTAAATTAATTTTAGTAATGACAGCTACAGTACAAATGATCATTAGATACGAGACTGTGTCGGCAAGCCGATTAAAGAGATTTGTATATGTATAATTCTCTTTATAATTCTCTTTCTCATCTTTTGCCGATATTTTTTATAATATCTAATAACGTTCAGTCAACTCTATGTGAACTGGAAAGATAACTCGGTCGCCATCTTTTGAAGGCGATTTGAAGCCGATTTGAAGCCTAATTCTCTGTTAAAGGAAATCCTGTGCATTGCATCTTGTGTTTTCGTTTCCCACGCTCAACCATATTACACTGTACAGGTAATTCTTCTATCTGCGACAATGCCAACTGACGTACTCGAAGTCACAAAACGTTTCATGAGAGATCCAATTCGAATCCTCGTGAAGAAAGAAGAGCTTACCCTAGAAGGCATTAGGCAGTTCTACGTTCAGGTCGATAAGGAGGTTAGTAAATGGTTTGATTTTTATGTTTTACTTCGAACACTGCACCGTGAATGCTATTTGAAATTTATAGACAGTTTTTTTTTCGGGGGGCGGGGGGCTCGCTATGAACGGTATGGCAGGTACGGTATATTTATATCATTCTCGCTTGTCTCTTAGGAGTGGAAGTTTGAGACGCTATGTGATCTGTACGAGACATTAACTATTACGCAGGCAGTAATATTTCTCAATACACGAAGGAAGGTCGACTGGCTTACCGAAAAAATGCAAAGCAGGGATTTCACAGTTTCGTCAATGGTAAGTAAGCTGCTTGATATCCCAAGACTTCGATTTTGTCGATAAGCACAGTGTTGTGCTACATTTTGCTTCTAGTTTTGTTTTATGGAGAGGTGCAAGGGGGGTATTTTTGAAATTTTGTCGTTTTGGAACTAGAACCGGGTTAAAAAAGGCCGTTTACTGTAGCTTATAAACAATGGGAGAAAGAAGCTAAAATACATTGAAGACATTTTGTGCATTGTTCAAAACGCATGATTCGTACAGTTAGCCTTATTTGCAGTATTTTACTGTATACAATAGCACTATCACTTCTGCCATCTAACCATTCTTCTAATGGAAAACTAACTAGGAAAATCAATCCAAGATAAAATCAATTCTTCATATCACTGTTTTCAGTGATTTAATTGAGTCTGTTTCAATGTTCAGAGCATTCATTTAACTGCTTTAAATTATGCTTATATATTTGAGTACAGTGCCTTAGTCTATAGCAGTTAATGTAGGATATTTTAACCCGGAACTTTACACCTATAAAGTATAAACTAAAGCAAAACGAGTTTCCTTCCGTATAAAACCAGCTCATCTGTATAGTATGCTTATTTTGTTTGGATTTTTGCAGCATGGTGATATGGATCAGAAGGAACGAGATATTATTATGAAAGAATTCCGATCTGGGTCCAGCCGAGTGCTCATCACTACCGACTTACTTGTATGTATATTTTAACAGATTGTTATTTCGCTTTGCATCTATGGCTGATAAGAAAAAAACTGCATTTTCAATCATGCGGTGAATATTGTACGCTGGGCGCACTAGTTCTGTGCAAACTTTGACAGCAGGTCTTCTTATGTCCTTTCTCTTTAGCCATTTCCCAATCGAGCTGGGTACTGGGTCTTGTCGCGATCCGCAAAGAATATATGGACTGTTTGGAGGGACAGGAAATAATCATTTGTCCCTCCAAACAGTCCATAGATGCTTTGCGGTTCGCGACTAGACCCAGTAGTACCCTGCTCGATTGGGAAATGGCTAATTATCCTCCTCCCAATTTTAATATCAAATTCCGACCTTGTGTATACCGTATCAATGTAGCAGTACATACGAAGGATAGTGAACTTTTTTTGTTTAAAATGTTTCCAGGCACGTGGTATTGACGTACAACAAGTTTCGTTAGTAATAAACTATGACCTCCCGGCTAATCGTGAAAACTATATTCACAGGTATGTGTACATGTAGTGCCAGAACAGGTTGTGCTAGAAAAACACTAGGCAGCATATTGTTTGTGCATGTGTAGGGACCTTCAGATTGCGTCCAACGGGAATTCGCATATTTAAAGAAAAGCTGATATATAACCTCTCACTTTTCCAACCATCGAAGTTCGAAAATCGCAATTGTCATTCTTATGCCCTATTTACATAATTACCATTATACGATTGGTTGTGCGCGATGAAAGATAAAGATTCCAATGACTTCCTTTCTTTTTTCGCTGATGACGAAATTTAAAATATTAATCCGATCACATACACCACAGTGGAGATCGTATACGAGAAATCGCGTATGTAGCATAGATAGGCCTTTAAAGTTTATATATTACCTGAGATAGTTGTTAAAAAGTTTTGCTAGTGGTTACATGCTCTCAACTTTTCTCATTCACATTTGTGATGTTCACATTAATACTTGCACTGGTCATGATCTGATAACACACAGGATGTAAGCAACTATACCAACGAAAGTCAGAGTAGAATATAATGAACTTGCAGAAGACCAGAACTGCATGAGGAAAATACTACGCGTCGTTATCTATACGCACAATTTTTGTGATCGATTTTGAACCTGACACGAACCAAGGCCCTACCCCATCAGAAAGCGTAGTTAGTTGTTAATTGTAGTAAAGATTCTTTTTGGAGATTACATGATGCATTAAATCTTTTTAACTTGGGCATTAAATGTTTATTAATTTCGCTTTCTAAGTGCTTACTAGTATTATTAGATCAGTCAATGCATGTCTTAAAATAGTGATATCAGTGTGGATTGGCAAACAGGTAGCAACTTGTTGGTGTTGATAATGTCTGTAGCACATGTCTTAGAAGAAGTTCTATCATATCCTACAATCTTGTTTAGAATCGGAAGAGGAGGACGGTTTGGTCGTAAAGGTGTGGCTATAAATTTTATCACCGAGGAAGATTCGCGTATCTTGAAAGATATCGAATCTTTCTATAACACCGAGATAGAAGAAATGCCGATGAATGTGGCTGACTTGATTTAAACTAATCACAATTGACATTCTTTCTCCGCTATGATATTGAAGTAAATAAGACGTATTTTGTTGTTAAGATATTTCTATATTAAGTATGTAGGAATAACAAGCACTGTTGTACAACGATATTTCATGCAAACGAGTTAAATTATCCAAGTAGAAATACCATGGGACTAGGGCATATAGTGTTAGCCCCTCTTCACGTATCTGCATACAGGCCCGCACCACGATTTTAAAGTCCTGCATGATCGAAACTAAAGTTCTAGGGCTCTGGGTCTGTTTTGATTTTTTTCCCAAATCACTATCACTTTTAGTTTTCCTCCAAAACATCGAGCCTTTTTATCTCTGCAGAACTCGCATTTTAGATGTTATAGTTTTACGAATAGTTGTTAGTGTAATTTGTTTTTTGTGTTATTCCGGAGACGATTCAACGATAATACTCTCCTGATTTTTGTTAACCCCCCTCCCTTTTTTCCTTGGGACCGGGTGAAGACGCCACTCCGCCCCTAAGAGCGGCCCTGTTTGCATATACCAGTCTACTGTTGTTCCACTTCCTTGTCAACATAAAATTATTTTAATAATAAACATATGATGTATAGTACATTACTTTCATCATGATACGTAAATCCTCATAGAATTTTGTTTTATTAAGTATGTTTACAGCCTTGTATTCCACGGTATGATTTTTGGTTTGCTAAAATAATGAAATTAAAAGAGAGAATGGCTGTTTTGCAATTTACAAAACTAACGTGATCGTTTTCATTTCTAAAGACCATTCCAAACATTTAACTTCCATCGACGGTTAATAGAGACCTTGGTAAATAGCTCTTCAAAGTCCATGGTCCAGACCGTCCCAGACACATGAACATGTAGTGAATTTTTAACTATAGGACATGAAAAGATTGGCCAATCATGATAGCGTATCAGTGAGCTCTATTGTGCGCTGGTAACTCGGTCGTCATTTTTGAAGCCAAATTGGGTACTACAGTGAATAATCACGCGACGAAAACGATAGAATGAGACTGGCACTGGTACCCATTTGGATTTCAAATTGGCTTTAAAGATTGTGGCCAAACAACCGTTTCGTTCCAGTCTAAAATAGAATAGGGTTCATTGTAAGAGTTTACGATTGACTTTACTTCAACTCGGGGCAATTTCAATTTAGCGATATCTCGGTGTAGTCGCTAACATACTCATTTTGAACCATTGTAACTTGACCAGCCTGCTTTGCGCGCTTACGCTATTAATTGCGTTCGAGGTTCGACGAAGGAGAACGCATTCTAATTCTGACTCGCGCGGTGTTCCGCGTGGTTTTGCATGCCATTCGATTTTAGACTTTGACGCCATCTTGGATGGACTATGTCTCACGTCTCGTCTCGATTTTGTCTGTGAAGTACTCGAATTTGGAATCCTATTACTGTACACTCTCTAATTCTTATGCATGCAACCACTTGAGTTCTGCTATTTATGAACTTAAACTCAAGCACAAGTTCTTCACATTTTGTTCTGCAGTCTTTCTGCAATCCTAATTTTTTTTAAATGTTTTGTGACACTTAACCTATAGCCTTGTAGTTGTCTCGTTTATTCCTATATTTATTGTCACTGCCAATTGCCAAAATTATGCACTAGACTAGAGTTATATCTATTTCGCCGTATATTAGCAACAAAAAGTCCATAAAAAATTTAGAAAATAGTACAAAAATCGTTTGGTAATAAAAAATCGAACGCCTTTGTACTAGTATCAAATAACTGCTATACTCACTGAACTACGTTAAAATTCCCTCGGCTATATTAGGAATTTAGTAGAGCTCAGTGCCAGTGCCCATACGGCAAAGAAGGACTGAGGAGAGTGTCAAAGAGTGGAAAACGTTTTTAAGCAAAAGTTCGCAAGGGAAGTTTGTATTTTCACATGAAAACTTCACCTGAAAATAACCAAGTTGGCAAGTAGCTTACATACGAAAGCGTCAGGGGCAACAGCTTTCGAAATATTGGACAAGTTTTGCAGTGCAGGAAAAATACATCTCCTAACCTCTCAAAAAAAATTCAGGTAAACATACCTTTAGTTTCGTCAATCTCTTTACTAAAGTCCCAGTATAGTTGTTTATTTTAAACCTCAGTGAAGTCTGTTTCCACGACTGCATTTAACTTTTTGCGGATCAATTTGCCGTACAACTTAAAAGTTGGTGATCGGGTTATCTGTGATAGTTCTATTTTTAGAATCCACGAATTTAATCTTCAATAAGCCTGATTAACAGGCCATGATTACGAACAAGTTCGTCTGCATCCGGGTTTTAACCTATGCAGATCGCGTTGTCAAGTGTCGCAATTGACAAATATGGCGAATATTACACTCGAGAAGGTGGTGTTATTTGTGCTGTTTTTTGGTACTCTGGGTGGACAAACTAAAGGCGATTCTATATTTTGCAATGATGATAGCGAGTGCGCTGGATTAAGAGTGTGTTGTAGTTATTTGTGCCATGACAGTTGTATCAATCGATCTTGTATTCTCGAAAAAAACTGTGGCGGAAACAGCCATTGCTGCAGTGTCGGCTGTAAAGAAAGCTGTGTGGGATACTATTGCTCTTTTGATTCAGACTGTGGAGGGCCTGACGAGAACTGTTGTTTCAATTCATGTAAGAAAGGAGGATGTTTACCAGTTTGGGGCATCGTCCTGATCGCGATTGGATGTCTCATTGTCTTGGGAGTAGCTGTGGCTGGTATTGCGCTTTGCGTATGTTTGTCGTACCGCCAAAGATCGCCGGGGCTGATAGTCGGTGCTCCGGGAACTGCTGTCGCCGCTGGCTCTAATATCAATCCTGCCGCCTATGGTCCCAACTACCCTCAACCGACTGGCATTGCCCCATCATACTACGCAAACGCACAGCTTATACAGAAATAGATATAAGCATTAATCAGTTTGAATCGCATAGATTAGCAAGAACTGACTTGCAGTATTATATTCTTTGTATAGACATATTCGTGATTAATTATATAAGGAGGTTGTAATTGGGAAATATAGCTGATAAAATGTATTTAATAATAAAATATTGCCATGAGTTACCTAAGTACAGTTCAACAGCATCAGTGTGCATCACAGGAAGATTACTTATAATAAATCTCATATGTCATATAATAAGTCACAAGACTTGTGTTATCATTTTTAGTGAAAGGATACGGATACGGTTAGCCTTCAGATACGGACAAACGGATATGTGGTGGATGGGACAGATTTTTAGGCTTTAAAAAAATACGGTATAGGGCGAGCGTTTCTGTCGAGCAGTGGTAAAAAGGAATTTTTATAAGAGAATTATGATTCCTTTATACGTGATGATTTCATCACAAAATGACCCCAGCTAACTACCTACAACTTTCAATGCAACGTTTAGGTATGATTCATAGATGAAGTCTGGTGGACAAAAATACCGCCTTTGACTTTCGTCCGACATTCTTATTTCTTACCTCCGCATGTCGGGACGGGAGTCCTTCGTTTATTAAATAAAGTTATAAGCTAAGTACGTTTATTTAAGTACGTTTTTCCTCGATTTCTTTTACTTTTACTCAAGTCGCGGATATTTTAGCGAATACTTCTACTTTTACTGAAGTACAAAACAAAAGTAGTTTAGTCAGCCATGAACAGGTCCATGCCTGCGGAAAAGCCTGTTTGATCCGGGTCTTAGCCCAACTCAGGCTCAATGCGTGTCGTAATTGTCGTAATATGGCGACTTTTATATCCGCGAAAGTGGTGTTGTATGTGGTGTTTTTTGGCACACACTTTTTGTTTGGACAAACTGATGCCGAATTTTGCAATGACGACGTCGATTGTGATGGATCAAAAGTGTGTTGCAGTTATTCATGCTACGACAGTTGTGTCAATAGGTCTTGTTCTTTTAACTTAAACTGTGGCGGAAACAGCTATTGTTGCAATAGTGTAGACTGTCAAGAAAGCTGTGTGGGATACTCTTGCGATTTTGATTCAGATTGTGGAAACCCTGACGAGAACTGCTGTTACGATACATGTAAGACAGGATCGTGTCTAGCAGTTTGGGCCATCGTCCTGATCGCGATTGCATGTCTCGTTGTCTTAGGAGTAGCTGTGGTTGGTATTGCGTTTTGTGTATGTTTGTCGTACCGCCGAAGATCGCCGGGACTGATAGTCGCTGCTCCGGGAACGGTTGTCGAGGCTAATTCTAATGTCAACTATGGTGCCGTCTACCCTCAACCGACCGCTACTGCTCCGCCATACTACGAACACAGAGACTTCCCACAGAAATAAACATATATACGTATATCGGTTTGGCTTTGGGTCGTATAGCCATATCGATAAATAAATAATGCTGATTTGCATTATTATACTCTAAATATCCGAACATGATAGCTACATAGTCTGATTAAAAACGGTTGTAATTAAGAAATATTCTTTATAATATACGTTGTATTATTTGTATAAAATTTGTCATTTAGTAATCTGCAGTGCAGATCAACAGCATCAGTGTGTCACAACAAGATTACGTATGTATTACTTGTGGTATCATTTTCAGCTTTAAGGCACGGGTGGGATGCGGATACGGAAAAACGGATATCTGGCAGCCAAAATGTTAAGACATTTGTAACTATCGCTCGCGATCGTGATTTGTAATGCGAGTGCACGTGAACGCCCATTTAGATTTTATTTATTTTTATCCACATTTGTCAATTCAACTTTTCTGGAAATGGAGTGGAATTCATATACAAAAGAGCCCACCTCATTTAGAAGACATAGCTAATTCATAAAATTTCTGTAAAAAACAATATTTATGTATACATTTGTCCGTATATAATACATAAACATTTCTTCCTTCAACATCCATAGATAATAATGGAAGTAAAAAAGGAATAAAATCGCAAAACCTCCTGTGGTTCTTACCACTAAAATAAGCGATATAATAATTATTATATAGCTCAGTGGTTCTTACCCAAAAGAAATCACAGAGCATTCTTAGAATATTTGGACGGACAAAACTGATAACTGAACAAAAGCAACGTCAAATATTAGAAGACTATAAATATTAGAAGACTAAAAAACTGAACAAAATGTGCAGTTTGCAACCCGGCTCGCGTGGGAATCGCACACGTTTTATAGCGCCATGATTTACAGGACTTTACACGCGTGTCGTGAGCTAAATTCTCGCAAAATATTTCTCCACGAAGCACTATCCTCTCCAAGTACAGTTATAACTTATAAAATTAAAATATCAAATATGTTTTGGGGGCAAAAGTAAGGGTACCACGACAGTTGTGACACTCTTAGTTTGGCCACAGGTTGATCATATTTGCTTGGGTTGAAGTTGAAGTTGAAGTGGTCCTTAACTCCTTTTTGTATCGAAATATACATATCTCATGGTATAAAATGGCGACAGAGGCGATATCGACCAGCTCGCTTTCAAAAGGGTGCTTCGTTTTCCGCCCAAAGAAAGCATCGAGTTCTAGAAAACGTAAATCAGAGAGTAAACATGAGGTGTACAAGTCAAGTGATGGTTTTCCCAACGGCCCAGGCGAGTCAGATGAGCATTGCCGCATGAGATTTGAGCTCTACAATGACACGTGGAACAAAGTGGAAGAACAAGTGGCATCATTGCATACAAACCTTAATGATAAGGTGTTTGGTAACCTGATCGAATTCATAAATAGGAGCATCTCCACAAATAAGGTATTGTAGCACCATGATATAGTTGTTACTTTAGATAAAGGCAAGCAATGAATTACTATTTACCTTGCACCTAAGGCACCTAAGAGTGATTTAGCCCCTGTGAGGTGTATACTGGAATATACTGGAATATACTGGGCATATCCCAGGGGTCAGTATGCAACCAATACTCTGCAGACAATAGGCATGCAATCCCATTCCACATCTGCATATATTAGGCATGCAGCCCCATACTCAAGTCTGAGTAGAAAATTGCCAAGAGATATCTAATATACACTGACATACTTGTAATGATTCTCTCCCTGTGTATCGCAATTAAATCTCCCTTACATTTGTCAGAGGCTGACAAGGCTGAAGAAAGTTCTTGTCAAGAATGCAAGTCCTGCAACCTTAAGTCATTGCATGGTATTAAGATCCAAATGTCAATAGACAATTTGGTGTATCTCCAGATCAACACATTTGCTATAGCATGACATTCACACATTGTGTGTATAATTCTGGTTACTGGTTAGATTGCAAGTTGAGAGTATTTAATGTTAAAAAACATCAATAGGGTACTTGAGGTGCTAATAAATATTGCTAATCTGACAGCACTCTGTTATTACATAAACACAGAACTGAATCCATTTTTCCACTAGTTTTCAATTGTAATCTGTGAAGGGAATCCGCTACAGTTGAATTCTCACAATTGAAAAGAATATGAGGTGAAAAATTTCGTTTGATTGAAAAATTCCGCCTAGTGGAAAACTGGCTTAACTCACCTAAACCCTTATAAATTTTCACAACATTAGCTGTAACCTGCCACTGATATAATATCTAAGAATTAAAAAAGGAATTTTTCAAAAATTCAGAAAAGTTACTTTCGACTTTAATGTTAAATCAACTAAACTTCACTACTGCATCAATGGAAATAGGCACTGGTTGACATTTGAGGGACTTTGGGAGGCTTCAGGGGCTGTTAAAAATGTCTTTAAAAATATAAAACCTGGCACAAAAGTTTATCTCAGACATAGGTATCAAGACTCGTTACTTTGAAGTGGGGGGCATGTGCCGAAGGGCCCAAAGTCCCAGCTTTGCCTGCCCAATCCCTGGGTATAGTGACATGTATGTGATGTCAGATATACACATCTACATTGCCAGTTTTCAACAGCAGTACCCAATAATAACAACATTGGCAACAAGCAAGCCAATTTGGAATGCCACATGTGGTGACATGCCTGATGGGGGTTAGATGGCCAGAGAAACTCTCTAGCAGAGTTGGTAGTTGTGAATCCAAGCAAGATAAAAAGATACAAAGCCTAGATAAAAATTGCTATTAATCAACAATTTGCTGCTTATCCAGTGTATTTTAATGAGAACATATTCAAAATTCTCAGCACTTCTCAATTTGACTGGCATGCTTATATAAAATAATTCCTGTGTATATAGTCAAAACGTTCTGTACACAATCATGGGAAGTGGGAAGTGATCATGAAGTGAAAATTGTGGTGCCATGGAAAAAAATAAAAAACATGTGTTTCTGCAATTTATAAACGAGGCAGTAACAATTAAAATAATAATTGTGCATTTATGGGTTCATTTGTATATACCATACAACATATACTGTAAAACCTAAATGCGCCAAACCATTAAGCTTTGGAACAGCACCTTAATCTCTGGCCATTCTAATTACCTACTTCTTTAGCTTTAATTTCCGTATTTATAAACTAGTTGTTAAATTAAGATGCAAGATGTGATATTTCATGAGTGTAAAACTCGCCATAAGAATGAATGTTATTTTTCAGTAACACCGTCAGATTAATCTAATCATTATGAATTCTTACATTAGTCACACGGAATGCCTGATCGTTATATGTGAACTGAACAATTTTTATTAAAACTTGTTGTAGGTCCCCGCGCAGCGCCGCCAGTTCCGCGTGCAGCAGTTACGTGAGCACTTTATGTAAATATAGTTTAGTTGTTTGTAAATACGTCACAAGGACACATTGTTGATTCGGCACAAAGACACGTTGTAATGTAATATAGCACTATTAATTAACGCTTGCATTGAATTTTGATACCATTATTGAGTCAGATCGTAGAGGAAGCATGAACTCACGCTGTAAATAGAATCTTAAAATAAACGATAGAATACAGTCCCCTGAGTGGTTTTTTACGTGGACCAGTGTGCGCGGGATCGATTGGGGATTCTGCAAAAAAACTCAAAACGAGTGAAAATTGCATAATATCTTCTCACACATCTCACACATATCTTCTCAATACTTGGAAAAACTGAATTTACGCCAACGGTCCGGCTGGCCTGATCGCTGTACAGAACTGAACCACTTTAATACAATCATACATTTGAATTTAGCTTGTATTCAATTCTATTCAGCTTTCATTAATTGGAGGAGGTAGCTATACCAAAATAGATCATACTAAGTTCGACTGGCACTTTCCTCACTCCCCAGATAAACTGTAAGCTATATTTAAGGTATTTTTTTTCTTAGTCAGCCGTTGTGAAAAACGAAATTCCAACCGGCGTGTTCATAACGGGAGTTAACATGCCCGACCACGATTCCATTTTCTCTCAGCTGCACAATGAAATATTGAAAATCACGCCGTACATTTCACGTATGTGCTCTAAAAGCTGTTCAAACATAAGGTTGATCGTAAAAGAAGCAACGAGCCAAATAATCGAAGCAGGATATGGTGATGATGAAGAAATTGATCCCAAGTTCAACCCTCGGAAACGAAACATTACTTTTGCGATTTTTAAACAGTGGTACGATTTACGGGAAGCTTCAAGGGGCGATTCAAAACGACCAATTGTGTTTATCCTCGAAGATTTTGAAAGCTTCCAGCTGAAGGCTCTTCAGGACTTCATCACGATATGTAGTCTTTATGTGGATAAGTGCCCAATTGTGCTGCTCTTTGGTATCGCCACGATCCCCGTCGTCGTTCACCAGCTTTTACCTCGTTCAATCTCGTCGTTTCTCTGCATAGAAAAGTTCCACGCACAGCCGGCCATAATCTACCTTCTCGAGGTTATCGATCGTGTCTTCATATCCTCCGAGTTCGCTTTCAAACTTGGTCCTAGCGTATTTCAATACCTGTACGAGAATTTCCTTTTCCACGATTTCTCCCTGCAGAATTTCATCCTCGGCTTTAAATTTTGCATCATGGATCACTTCTACGGAAATCCGCTCAGCCTCCTGTGCTCGAAGTCGAATGGCGACGTCGTTAGCAGCTTTTCTCACGACCAGTTGGAAGTCGTGCGAAAGTCGGCATCATTTCGGAAATATGCGGAAGAACAAGATCGAAAAGAGCTCCGTTTGATCTTGCTAGACGACGAGCATACCAAACAGGTTGTTTCCGAATTACTAGAGGAGATAAATTCCTACCATTGCCGTTTCTTTCCCGTGCTTCGCTGCCTCTCGGCGTTGGTCGTGAAACTTCCTGGCTACCCTATGGGAAAGAAGTGTCGTGATGTCTACGAACACTGTCTCAAAACAAGCGTCAGGGATTTAGACGTCTACAAACAAGCCATTAAGATGGCTGCATTCCTTGCGAGAGATGAGCTCGTTCCAGTTCTCGAGGAATGCATCGAGTTGCTTGACTCTGCCCTTAAAAAAAATAAAACGATTTGTGGCGATTTTCAGGGATACATCGCAAAGTTGATTACTGCATTGCTGGATTTTGAACAACTCTCTCAGCAAAGCAATGCATCCTTGTCCTCGGCGACGAATTCTAACTCTCAGTCGCCAAATGTTTCTTCAGTCACAAACAGATATGAATTACAGGAAAAGCTGAAAAACGCCGTTTACAACCGTAGCAAAGAGTCACCTTTTGAGAAAACAAGGCAAAGTGCAGTCTCGACGCTGGACGGGTTGTTCCAAAGATATCTTTTGTGCCCTGCAGAGCAGCCGTTACACGAAGCATTCTACTACTGCCAAACAGAAACTGCAAAGCAGCGCCTGAGCGGATGTCCACGCGTTGCTATTCAGACCGCGTTGAACGACCCGCGTTACTATTTGAATTGCTCATGCTGCGATATCGAGCCGGGCTCCATTCAAGACACCCTGCCTGATATCTCCGTGGCGTTTAAGTTACATCTTGAATGCGGTCGATTGATCAATCTTTACGACTGGCTGCAGGCGTACCTAACTGTGGCCGAACCTCCCGCCAAGGCGAAGAGGAAGGCTAAGGATGACGAAAAGGAGGCGCTTCAAGCCCGATTCATCCAGGCTGTCTCGGAACTCCAGTTCTTAGGATTTATCAAGGCAACCAAAAGGAAGACCGATCATGTAGCTCGATTGACGTGGGGTAGCTGCTGATGTTGTTAGAATAATATAATGAACTTGTTTTTGTACTCTTCTAATATAGTGTAATATAGTGTTCTAATATAGTTCTGACATAAAGTGTATATTTATAGCTTAACTTAGTATGTTTTGGTCAAATTATTAATCAATAATATTGATATGGTAAAGGTTTAAAACTCATCCTCGTACCCAGGGTCTTTTTACCTCGCCTAAAACTTTGGTACATATGTTGGTCCCTTGCATGCAATGACGTAATTCAAGGATACCAGTTGACGGTCGAATGTTGCAAAAACGGGTATTGTTGCATGTGTTTTGGCTGAGCATAGAAACAGTGTACAGCTTATATAAATCGACGCAGCAAGAATTTAATTAAAATTTGGGTGCAGAGAGATCGAATAATTTTCGGAGAACCTTCATGCAATTAGCTTGCAGCCAATAAAACTTAACCATTTCTGACCATGTGACTTGAAATGGGTTAATTTGCTTACAAGCTGAAAAGGTCTTTTGACTAGCATAAACGCACTTTGCCTGACCTAGAGCAGGAGACCTGGAATCAGCGCCACGATAATGCAAAAACTTTGCTATTGATCGTGCATTGCCCGATCTCTTTGGCGATTGGACATAAATTTTTTTTGGCTGGAAGGGAGTGAATGAATAAATAAACAACTGAAAGTCTCAAACCAAACCCACGTCGTTCTTTCTCTTAATAAGCCATAAACAAATGAAACATTAGAGGTACGCTACCGCCTACCAATCTTTGGCGGAAAGTAAAAGGCGCATATATTAAAGGCGACGAAAAATACAAACGTTCGCGTTTGTTTGTGCCGTGAGACTTTTGTTTGTGCTTAGATAACAATATTTAAATTTACAGCTTAAGCACCATGACCTTCAACATGTCCTCAATTCTCCAGCAAATGTAGGCCTATTTAGCATTTTATAAGTTGCGTTAATCCCCACGAGCAAAAATTCGCGAACAAGTCATTCAAATTTCAGGTGATTTCTGAATAGTTTGGGTTTTTAAGGACACCCTGTATAGCTTTTTTACCCAGTCTGGTCATGCATGCAGTGTTTTTCAACATGCCATAAAGTTTATGCACCTGAGTTGAGTTTAGGATCTCAAGCATTTAATCTTAACAGAAGAATTTTGATTACGTCAGTTGTAATGAAGACAATAAGATAATGAAATGCCTCATTAGGTTTTATTTTGAATTGTTTTGATCACATACCAGTCGACCGAAATTCAAGGTATAAAAAAGGCTTGAATTCATGTACGCGTTTCAGTGTTTATGCATATTCAAAGACAAAGTACTCCTCGAAGTAGCGAGCTCAAAGCTTTTTCACGATTGCGAACGGATTTCTTTGAGGAACTTGTTTAAAACAAGCTTAATTACGTATTGAAAGCCGAAGCATTTGCTATTTCAAATGGCTGGTGGAAACAAAAACACCAAGCGAACTCTACACGGTGTGAGATCTAGGTCTTCTCGTGCTGGATTACAGTTTCCTGTCGGCAGAATACATCGCTTTTTAAGGAAAGGTGAGAAATGCTAGAAGCGAAGGTTAGATATATGCATGCTCGTATTTGCCCCATCATTCTCGGCATATTCTGAGTCTGCATGAGAAGGGAGTATACACTTAAAGTTCAAAAACTTTGGCTTGGTTTGCGGCAAGTCGCCCTAATGATCAACCACGTGTATCTATTGTTCGCCCGATTATATGCACCCATGCACTGTCTCTGAATCCATAAACACGTAGGAAATAACGGGTCCTTCGTTAACTGTAGCCGAATTGGCAATACGTTTGATTAAAGAACCGAAATTTTTAAACCTTGCACGGCCTCGGGTATTCAAATCCCCCAGAATATTTGAAAATGTTGTGGCATGGGACTATAGTTGATTGACTTGTAGTGTATGTACCTCGAAAGTTCCATTCACCTGGAAGGGGGATTTCAAAGCAACGATATAGAAGATTTAACATCAAAAGGCGCTTTTACACTATGCAATTTTCCTTGCAATTAACTTGCAATATGCAATTTTAATTTTGAAATGTCAAGGAAAACGGCAGAAGATCGTAAGAAATGTTCGTATATTTGTCAACCTCAGACGTCCCAGGAGTAGAATTGCGTTGCAAGTTGCAAAGGGAAGTTGCAAAGTGTATACGACCACCATTTTATTGACTGTTTGTTCTCGAGGATGGTTTTTGGTATATTAATAAGGGACGATTGCTTCAATCACGTAGTAACTGATTATGACTCGAGGTAGAGGTTTCGTTGAATCGCAAACCCCGTCCATAGTTATTATTATAGAATGTAAACACGATCTGCGTAGGGACAACATGCATGGTGGTGATTTTCAGACAATTTTCAACGACAATGAATATATGCTTGTATTTGAGACCGAACAATACATAAACAGCTGCATTCACACCTAGGAAACTACGCGGAACGAATTGGCGGCGGTGCTCCAGTCTACCTGGCCGCCGTCCTCGAGTACCTGACTGCTGAAATTCTGGAACTCGCGGGGAACGCCGCGCGGGACAACAGGAAAACACGCATAATCCCGCGTCACATTCAGCTGGCCATCCGCAATGACGAAGAACTCAACTCGCTTCTTGCCAACGTAACTTTGGCCCAAGGCGGAGTGTTGCCTAATATCCAAGCCGCACTTCTCCCAAAAAAAACTCAACCGCAAAAAAGCCATTCCTCGTCTCAAGAATATTGAAACTTTTACTTGAAGACATTATTAGATGAATATTACAGATTCAGAGATATTTTAGTAAAATAAACCTTGATGTGTGTATCGTACGATACGGTATGTATATGATATGAAATATCGTGTTATAGCTTTGCGTAATGTGTGACAATAAATCGATTATATCAGATCAGGTGCTTATGTATACACTATACAGATACTTGTTGTTGTATCTGGAACATATTTCTATAAGTATATGAATGAATGATTAACGCGCATGGGTATTTGCAAACACCGTTGCAATCAAACTATGCAATTTGTCTATAGCATGAACAATCTTCAGGCCAACAATATCAATAAATGTCAAATAAGTACCGAAGTCAAGCGTTAACCCCACATACGAGTGTGCTCACTGTGCTGCCGAGTGACCGCTAAATACGGATGTAATCAAAGATCTAAAGGTTACATACAATGTAACCTTTTCTCGAGAGGTTCTGATGACTTTTATTAGCCCTCCACTTTTACGCCCCCAGTATTTCTTGAAAATTTGAAGGGAAATGAAATGTGATGGGTTGGTGCAAAGGAATGTTGTGTATTGCCTATATACTGAACAAGTCTGATAGCATGTATATGTTCTTTGAAATTTTTTAGTTTTTATCCAAACCAATTAAGTTTTGAACCACGTTTGCCTATCTCGTAATCATCTTCAATTATTGAATCATCAAACTGCTTTTTTATTTTTCACGTCACATTTTTCATTTTATCACAACAAAAATCACTTTGATCCAAATTGGTTATTACCGCATTCACACAAGAACGCGAGGCCGTAGCCTGGTAGCCTTGTTTCAGTTTCACGGCTTTTTTACACCTTTATTGGTCATAAGGAATGATGTTTTGCATCTTTGAACGTGGCTCGTTGAAATCCAACTCATTGAGGCGGTTCCAAACTGATGGGTGATTTAAAACTGTTTGTTGTGTCGTATTGCTCTTACTTTTATCGCTGAAAAAGGTCTATATTGTCTTGTGTGTTAAGATTTTCTTCAATTGTGCACTCTTAACTTTAAGAGGTATAAATTTGTATATGCATGCATTTGTGATAAATTGCTGCCAGTTTCCTTAATTAATGAGTTTTAATTAAACGTCTGTATCCACTCGGATGCATTTACAGTAGTCCCCCGCTAACACGAACTCGTTTAACTCGAACTAAATCCAATTTCCCTTAGATTTGGTAATGTTTTTTATAGTCAATTTACTCCGCTTATCTCGAACTCCTCGCTAATTCGATGATATATTTTGTTTTCCTTGGCCGAATACATCCGGTTAAAGGCAGTGTCACACTATGCAACTTTCCTTGCAACTTGCAATACAATTCTACTTCTGAGGCATCTAAAGTTGACAAATACGAACATTTCTTACGATCTGCTAACGTTTTCTTAGCATTTCGAACACTCTTTACTAATTAACATCCCTCGAAATTATAATTGCATTGCAAGTAGCCAGGAAAATTGCATATAGTGTAACACCGCCTTAACTCGAACTTTGCATGGTTTCGAATCATATATACGGATCGGCAAACTTTAAAATGTGAGAGGAATGGATAGCATTTTGACAACTGCATGGGAACTATCGAAATAACAGCAGATTAATGCATGGTGTATATAATTATTCAGTTATTGATCTAGCTTTTTTAGTTCTTTTTGTAACATATCTACTTACTGTCCAGTTAACTTTTATGGTGTCACTGCTTTAATCGGTATTTCACTTATTATATAAAGCAGGATTTTTTAGCAAATATAAACGCATGCATGAACTGCGACAATCCGTGAATGTACGTGATTATAAAAAAGTGTTATTTGACACCAACTCCGGTTAACTCGAGCCCCCGGGGTGACTCTAACATTTTCTCTTTTCCCTTGGGAGTTCGAGTTAGCGGATGAATATACTGTAGTCTGTATATCGAAACACGAAAATCGCAGCAAAGATCGCACCTGTGCGAACTGAGGGCCCTTTAGCTTTATATTGGCCACGACCGAGTTAGAAGCAATGGGTTTCTTATTAGGCGCCCTGGTTGGCTGGTTACAAGCGAATATACTGAAGGTGCGCTCTCTTGACACGTATATATTTCTAAGCAACCAAAAACCGGTAGCTCTTCTGTATTTTTAACAAACGAACGACAGTGTTCATATATAGAAAAGTGAAACGGACATGTATAGTATAAATTGAAATGAACCGCGATATTGCCTATTGGTCTTTCAACACGGAAAACAGTTGTTTTTTCAAAACCTGCGGAATGTCAGGGTCAGAGAACAATATGCTGTTAACGTGCCGTGTAGATAAGTTCCAATATAACCAAGGAGCAGCGTGGCAGCGTCTTCAAACAACTTAGCATCAAATGTGGTATAACAACTGCCTAAATAGACAAAACACTTCTGTGTTGCAACACAAAATTTTTTTTGGAGCAAATTTTGTTCAACCATATTGAAATCCTACAGAGTATTGTAGGCGTAGGTTCCTGATAACCAAAAATAATTGGCGCGGTATATATACCTACGTATTTTTAACTATACTTATTTCCTGCATTGTAAGAATGTGCATGACAACGATGAGATGAATTGTGTGGCACTTGGACATTTGATATGTTAAGAATGATGAATACATAAAATCGATTTCTCACATTTAAGCTGATTAACGCTTTGGATGGATGTATATATATATATATATATATATATATATATATATATATATATATATATATAAATTTTTGCAATAAGGTCCATACTTATTGTCTTCGAAAATCGAAATTCAGTGGAGACTAACAGAATTGTTGCATCATGCAATATTCAGCAAAAATCAAATTAAAAACGGGCTTCACATTGATCACTCAGAAATGAATTAAACTAGAAACAAAAGTATCGGTACTGTAGTCTTGAAAAAATCTACTTTAAATCACTGTATATAGGAGTATAAGACTAAACTCTCTGAAAGTTCTCAAAATAGCCAGTGCATGGCGAGGGAAAAAGTTCCGTGTACATGCGTGCGCGCACGATTATGCATCGCGCTTGAGCTCGGTTAGCCACCGAACTATAGGGCCAACCTCGCAAGCCAGGCTCTTTTACCTACGCTCCACGGCCCACGCTGCGGCAAAGACCCTGGTCAAGGCTGGTCATGTGACCTCCCAAAATATGGGAGGTTTTTAATTAGCGCTTAGTTCATATTCATGGGAGGAGTGGCAAAGTCGATATACCATTTCTGCTATTTTTAGCACTTGTCACAATCCAGATGACTTTGTACTAACGCAACTAAAAATAGCGGTTCACGCAATAAACGAAATAAATACAGCTAGTGTGGCGCAGCAAAAAACTAAAAAGAGCAATAAACCGAATTTAGATTCAAGTGCTATGTGTAGACTGTATCATCGTCGATAGAATCGGTTTTAGTATCGTCACAAGTTCAGTTGATATTCAATACAGACACTCGAAGGCCTGTCCTATCTTCTAAATTTGGGCGTTGATGAGCGAATTCAGAGGTCAAATAACAATAACGACACAGGTTATTTCGCTTTGCGGAAGAACAGCGCTCAATATTCAGTCCTTAGAAACACGCTGTTTTAACTGATGTGATCTATGCGCTACTTGTGTCCCACCCATCCCCACACGGGAGAAGCGTAACAAAAGAATCACGTGACCAGCCTTGACCAGGGTCTTTGCCGCAGCGTGGGCCGTGGAGCGTAGGTAAAAGAGCCTGGCTTGCGAGGTTGCTATAGGGCTCGGTCAGGATCGCCCCAATAATTGTGATATCTCCTCTCTGCTCATGCTCTCTCCTCCATAAAACCCTTCACAAACCCGACTAAAACCTTTGCGGAGGAGAGAGATCATCTTCAGTGAATATATATTATATACACCGTCTGGACACTTGGAATTCAAAAAGTGTAAAACAATGGCAACATATATATCAACACGCTTGCATGCAGTCTTACAGCGCGTATGACGGGTTATCATGGCAACGTGGCAACGTAACTTGCATGGCGAAGATAAAAACAATAAACTTGGTTTACTTGGTATAAAATCATTTTGTCTACAAATATGAAGAAAATTATAAGTAAACCAAGACCAAGTTTATTGTTGTTATCTTCGTCTCTCTGTCTCTGTATATATAAAGATATTGCCCTCTTAACCTGTATGAAGAAGTATTGATAGAATATCACCCAGATGCGGCAAAATATTCGTAATCATGCTGTGCACATGCCATAGAAAATATATATTTGTGGTTTTATCACTAGCATTAGCTACAATCAGCGAGGCACGTTTATAAAAATAAACACTTCTATTCAATCCGACAAATTTAGATTTGAATAACACGTCTGGAACGCATGATGATGCATGGCATTCACGTGTACTTCACATGCAAAACACGCAGCGGACGTCCTACTGTCCACGTGTGTCGATCAACCAATCAGAATTCAGGTTGTTACCTAGCGTGTTAATAGATCAGCGCGTTGCAGACTATGTTTTAATCTCACTAGCGTGTTGTAACAGCGGTGTTGGGATTTGTGAGAAAAAAATTCTGCAGGAATTCATGGCTACTGTCGACTGCGTAGTAAAAAAGGTATGCCTGGTTCAGAAAATGTGATATTGATCTTGTTTAGAGGCACAGACACTGTCGATCTCTCGTGCTATAAGGTTAATTGTTTTTGTTCTTACCAAGGATCATGAATTGGCGGTAGTTTGCGGGGAGAGTGATGATTCTGTGAACGAGAAGGCAGACCCATGGGAGCTGCCGGAATTTACTAGTACAACGATTTCATGGGGAGGTATTGGAAATATCATTATTGTAGATTAATATTTTTTCCGCAATATATGTGCATTCATTCTTTTGTAAGAGCTCAAGGCTTTTTCTGAAAGAAATTTCCTGTCAAATGTAATCGTAGAATATTTAATAATATGGCGCGCTTTTCAATAATTTCTTTAGCGTTATCCACTCGGGGAAAGGTGAAGCGTGCCACGATCGGATTTGTGAAATTCGTTCTTCTAACTGGTATGATATATTTGTTCATTTGCTCGCTGACATTCCTCAGCTCAGCGTTCCGTTTGCTCGGTGGCAAAACTGCGGGCGAGGTATTCTCGTCAGATAGCTTGCTCGTTAATCCATTGGCCGCCTTGGTTATTGGCATCCTTGTGACTGTTGTATTCCAGAGCTCGTCAACAACTACCTCGATTGTTGTGGCTATGGTCTCCTCTGGAAGTAAGTACAGTATATGTTGATATGAATATATATTCGATTTGTCGTTTACCGGCGTATTGTACAACATATAAACACGTGTGTTTTTAATTCTTGCGACCGGCATTTTTATTTTTTTGTCTTACAGCAATCAGTGCTCAATGTGACCCGATATGATTTGAACTGATGGCCTTTTTCCCAGAGCACTGTGCACTGTACACAGTTGTACAAATATGTCCTCAAAGATAAAAAAAACTTAAAAAATTTTCTCTCCATTCATGCAGTTAATATTTAACAAGGTAGTTTGGTTATTTGGCAAAACAAACATCACATCAAACAAATGCATCACAAATATGATGAAGTCTCTGATTTGCCTTGAGTGGTTGCCAAATGTAGGAAAATATTACCTAGCAACCATCTTTTAAACTTGAAGGGTTCATTGTTGGTTGATTAAAAATCGAGTGGAATTTATATTCTTCTAATTACACCTAACCAGTTAAGAAAAATTCAACAAGTACCAACCCTTTGACAAAAAACAAACCGAATCGCTCAATGAATGAAATGCCCAAAATTATATCTATAATTTACCCTTATTTACATTTGACATTACAGCACTATTATATACATGAATCTTGTGTTTGCCCTTGGTAGCTTTCTCCTTAGCCTCTGTGACCAGGACACAGGCTCTACAATTATTCCCAGAGGTGCAATGGTTGCCAATTTTTTTCAAATTCTTGACTGGTTGCCAAATTGAGGAAAATATTACCTAGCCTTTAAACTTAAAGGGTTCATGGTTAGTTTATTGAAAATCAAATGGAATTTATATTGTTTTAATTACACATAACCTGGAGCAGTTTAGAAATTTTCAATTACTATCAACCCTCTGACTTTACCCTTGTCTACATTTGATATTACATCACCATTATCTTGTGTTTGCCCTTGGTAGCTTTCTCCTTAGCCTTTGTGGCCAGATTCACATAAGGACATAGGTGCAATGGTTGCTAAATTTTTGCGAATTCTTTAAATTCCCTAAAATAATTTTGAGAGAAAGAAGCGAAGTAAAGTGAAATCCTACTATAATACCACACCTTGACTACCATACCATGCATGATTGAGATATAAATCAAACCCTTTTTTATTAGTTAAGTGTTAACTGAAATTCTATTGCCAAGGTTCCCCAAATAACAACTACAGTTCTGTGAAGACACAATGATGAAAATCAAAAATTTTGTGTGCGATGGTTGTCTGGACAACACTTGTTAACACACCCTAATTTTAGCAGCTTGACAAATTTCTTGGAATAATACTATGGTTTGCTGCTGTAAAAAGTTTAGTTCATTTCACATTTGTTTCTTTGACCAGGTGTATTTATTTCTTAACTCTACCATAAAAGCATCCCTTCAAGCTTGTTTGAGGTCTAGATGAAACATGTACTTATATGTCAGTGAGATGTGCATAAAAAGTTCTTATAAAAGCTCAAGACTGGCTAATTGACAATTAACAAGTTCCAACACATTGCTAAAATTCCACAAATGATACCTCTGTTTCAATTAAAAACACCCATTTATGAAAACAGGATTTTGTGCATGTTGAATTGTTGTCTGGATAAGAATAGTTAACACTCTGGGGGCAGGCTCAGCCAGCTGAAAGGGATATGTTATTGTGTGTTATTGTTTGTTAGAAGTATATTAAAAAATGGGAAAGATTATTAAGCAATCAGAAAACTCTAAGGTTGAACCAAACCTCTACCCTTGCTTCTTTAGTTTTGTTCAATATACAGTCATTGGTGTAATTTGCTTCATAACCAGAAATTCTGATCATGTTTTTAGGGTGCAAGATTTGAACAATGCACCCCCCATCAAATTGCATAATTAATGAAAGAGCAGGCCCACTGAGATGGAATTGCCTTTTAATCAACAAGAAAATAGACCAACTAGATAATGGCTTACAGGTTGAATCTAGTGCATATTGTTCATAGCACATTCCTGTTTAGTTGCAATATCGCAGTGTTCATTAACGATTTTTAACTTCGTTGCTAAACCTAATCGCTGTACGAAACACAGAGATGACTTTGTTTATCAACTATACCGTCACGATTCACGCGCTTGAATAGTAGAAAGGGAATGACCTATTACTGATAAATGATTAAAAAAAACAAGTAAGTCTGCATACCCGGCATGCACAGTATATGTTCGAGAAAAAAAATCAATAAGTTTCACCTTGGTTTCCCGCTAATATTTTTCAATACGTGCAGACTAAACTTCGGTAACTAAATTAATAAAAAAAAGAATCAAGTTTTTATAAATATCTATTTATATAATAGTCTTTATGGAAAACACCTTCAGGTGGGGGAAAACACCTTCAATTTCTACCAGTAGCTATTCCAGAAGCGATGACCATGCTGGGCTAGGGTTATAGAGATTGCATTAAACTTGTACTCGAAGCCTATGTATATATCTTGGAATAACTCATAAAAACTCGCAAAAGGACGTCTAAACTTTGAATTTCTGAAGAAGGTAGCGTTGACAGTATTGATTTTCAAAGATCGCAATTAAAACATTACAATAACCGGGTATCATACAGCCTCATTCTCATATGCCACCGACGGTCGGCGATGGCTATTGTCGGTGATCACTGATGAGGTGCTTTGTTATTTTGAATAATTTTCTTCCTCACCATGCAGCCACATACAATACGTCGCCGACTGTCAGCGACATATCAGAACCAGGCTTAAACAGACTTGGCTTATATTGCAGTTAGCTTAGGAATTGTCTCATTTAAGAATATACTTAGTCTGAAAAACTCGTATAAAACAGGCTTTCACACGGATGGACGATGGAACAGTGCCTTCATGCAAGAGGACGTATTCTTTACTATTCTCGACGTATCATATACACCATGCAGCAATAGAAAACCTGGCAAAGCATCTATCGCCGTCGACTAGTCGCGCGATAATATTAAATTAATTTATTTTATCTCTATTTATTTTACCATGGCTTAATCTCTCACCATGGCTTATTTTCCCGCTGTTAATTCTCAATTCATGCACACCAAACTAACAAACCAATCAAATGAAACTTTGTGTCTAGGAAAGAGAGCTAACGTGTTTTGCTAAAGAGGGTTGACGATGTCGATTATCGAAGGTCGCTATTCATTGAACATTCCTAATAACCGCGTAAACAGAACATATTTTTAGCCTTCAATTAATAATATTTCGTCAACAAGACGACGACCCATAATGTGATAATTTGTACGAAATATTTCCAGCGCAACGAAGTACCGGATAACTCCGATATACCTTATAATTTCAAGACATCTATTGTTCTGTGTTGTGTTGTATCAATTATTGATACTTGGTTAATACCATGCATGCATTCTTTGCAAAGGCGTTCCACTGAAGATATCAAGTTTAACTAAAAATAGTATAGGACGAACCAATAATAAAGAAAAAACATCAAGTAAAGGGATAGTTGATATTGATAGAATTTCCCATCCTTCGATTCTCTTTCCAGTTATGATTGCCTGCATGCGCGGTCGTCATTGGTATTATCCATTCATTGCTATATGTTAATTCAAATGTGCAAATATAGCATGGTCTACCTAATTACGCATTTCAATGTTAATCGAGTTAACTTAGTGGGAGTGGTATCACTTAAAAACGTATTTCGCCTGAAAGGTGATAAAATCAAGCCTTCGCATGAATGGACAATGAAATGATGCCCCCCAAAGAGAGTCTATTTTATTACGCAGGAGAAATTAAATATCTGCTAAAGCATCACCGTCATAGCGGCGCGATAAAATTGAGTTTATTTTCTGGGTCTTTACCTCTTAGTTTTCCGCTGATAATTCTTTCATGCAGACCAAACTTTGCAAACTAATCAAAGGAGAAGGGTTCTATAATTTTATATATATACTTATCTTAGCAAGAGATTAAAGTATTTGACTTTTATAAGATACCTCTTTATAGATATATGGTTTCGATATATGTAATTACCCGCGCAGACGATTATAAACATTTCACTCTGTTTCATATATCCAACTATTGGCATTTTGTACTTCTTGAGACTGTTCGGTTAATAACGTCGATTGTCTCTGAACAGTAATTGAAAGATCCAGCGTTATTAAACATCCCTTTATCACACAAACAGCCTGAACAGACTTTGGTATTTTATGAACTTAGCATAATAGCTAACTCACGAGTGTCGTATAATTACCGAGGTTGCGTAATTTTTCGAGTTATTTAAAGTTATTTTTGCCTGCGTGGTTGTTGTTCTATCAGCAGATATGGGAGAAAATGTTGGGGATGATGGGATTATTTTGCAGATATAAGAAATGATTCCGTGACGAAGCATTCATTTATCATCACATGCATAAAACCTCCGTGCGTCACCAGCATAATCTTAAATATATACATGATATTAAATTTCGTTTATATCCGAAGAAGTTTACCTGTAGAGATAAATTTACAAGAGAGGGGCTCTTAAACAAGCGTTAACAAGCGCGAGTCGTAAAAAAATTCTCGAGACTTTGCATGAGTATAGTGACTAATATGACTAATAGATTTTAACGCCCTGGGTGAATCGTGCTTTGCTTTTGAGGTCCGTCAATACCCGTTGACCAGATTTTCAAAGGCAGCTTCGCCTGCGCGGGCAAAGCAAATGAAATGGGAAACATCATTAATTATTGATCACAACCGTTGTAGAGATGTATATGTATGATAAAAATTTGTAAGTATAGAAAAATATTTGGTGTAGGATTGAGAACGGGCTACGCTTTTAACTGTACGCGTGTTGCATATACCATTTCTCTTTAATAATCTTGTAAGTTTGCATAATGACATCAATAAGTAAATTAGTTTGTAACTAATTTACTTATTCATTTTTCTTTAGTTATGCAAGTGGACCATGCGATACCAATTATCATGGGCGCAAACATTGGCACTTCAGTGACAAATATTCTTGTGTCGCTTGGCCATGCTGGTGAGAGGAACCAGTTCCGGCGTGCTTTTGCCGGTGCCACGGTACATGATGTATTCAACTGGCTTTGTGTCCTGATACTGCTACCGTGCGAAATTGCATTTGGCTATTTGTATCGTTTGACCAAAGCAATAATCGATGCGTCGGGGGCGAAAGGGGGCGATCAGGAAACAAAGGTTGAATTCCTGAAGAAGATCACAAAACCATTCACCAACTTGGTAATTCAGATTGACCAAAAGGTTCTTGAAGAACTAGCAAAAGGAGAATTGGATTCAGATAAAAGTCTCATAAAGAGTTGCAAGGATAAGGTGTATTTTAATGCAACAACAAACGAAACTGTGACAGTTCACGTGAAATCATGTTCATTTATTTTTCACGACACTGGGTTGTCCGATACTATCGTAGGCGTCATCTTACTGTGCGGGTCCTTATTTATACTGTGCGTCTGTTTGTTGGGCATTGTGAAAATTTTACATTCAATGTTGAGAGGACACTTGGCGGTCGTTGTCAAGAAGACAATCAACGCCGACTTCCCAGGGCACTTCAAGCACCTCACTGGTTATTTTGCAATCCTTGTTGGCGCCGGGATGACAGTTTTAGTACAATCTAGCTCTGTATTTACATCAACTTTGACGCCATTAGTTGGCGTAGGCATTGTTACAATTGAAAGGATATACCCGCTAACGCTGGGTGCGAATATTGGAACGACGGGGACAGCCATCCTTGCCGCTTTAGCTGCAACTTCGAACTTCGATGCGGCTATTCAGATAGCCCTGTGTCACTTATTCTTCAATGTGACAGGAATTTTGATCTTCTACCCAATTCCGTTTATGCGAAACATTCCGATAAAGTTCGCCAAGAAACTTGGTGAAATCACGTCCGAGTACCGTTGGTTTGCAGTCCTGTATTTGTTGTTTTGCTTTTTCCTATTTCCAGCAGCGATATTCGGATTATCGGTTGCTGGATGGGAAATCATGCTCGGGGTTCTGTTACCTATCGTGATGTTGGCTATATTTATAATTGTTGTTAACATCCTGCAGAGAAAATCGCCGAATATCCTGCCAAAGATGCTACGGTCATGGACGTGGGCCCCAACCTGTTTTCGTTCACTAAAACCGTACGATAGTAAGGTCGCAAAGTTCGTGGAATTTTGGAAGAGGTGCTGCCCAGGTTCACATTCGAGGAGGAACAGCAATGCTGATGACGTTTGTGAAGAGACATATATTACGCAAGTTTAAACTTGTTTCTAGATTTAATGTTTATTTCAATAAGTTATTACTTAAGAATACTTCATAATGTTGAAAGCTTGCTTTGCATCTTTCCGATAGAATAATGCCCATCTCACCTAAAAACCAACAGCAATTGCCGATGGCCATGCGTATCGCGGTCGCCATAGTTTGATTGGCATGTGTCTGGAACACATGTTCAATAAATTTCAATTTGAAATAAAACGCAAATATTTAGAAATGTCTCATACACTAGCTCGCAGAATAAAACATATTTGGCATCAACCGTAGCCGTAGGTATTAAAAGATTGTTTTTTTTAAAAGATTCTAAAAATTAGGTATTTTTTTTTACAATATTGGCTATTGTCACGTTGTAAATTTTACAATATGAGCGGCCGTATTGCGAACGATTTGCCATTTCGATTCACACTGTGAAGAAATTTCAAAAATAAACAAGTCCAATCATAGGTAGCCCAGAAATCTGTTTGTGCTCAGCCTTCGACTACATTGTTTACGCGCGCGGTCAGCTTTTACTGTCTGTACTAATTACTGTGTTATATATTGATAATATAATATCAATATATAATACAGTAATTAGTACAGACAGTAAAAGCTGAACGCGCGCGTAAACAATGTAGTCGAAGGCTGAAGGCCCTGTTACACGGTGCAATTTTTCTTGCAACTTGCAATGCAATTCTACTTTAAAGAGATGTAAATTTGGCAACTACCGAACTTTTGCCTCTTTATTATAATCCATAACTTTTCTTACACTTACATTTTGAAGCCTCTTCTATAAATTACATCTCTTAAAAGTATAATTGCATTGCAAGTTGCAAGGAAAATTGCACCGTGTAACAAGGCCTTGAGTACAAACAGATTTCTGGGCTACTTATGGTCCAATCTGTTAAATTTGTGTAGCTTATGCCAAACCTGCATATGAATGGATTAAAAATTTATTTTGATTTTTGATATTTCATGATATATAATCCAATGAACTTTTAGAAAGAGTTGTTAAATTGGATTGATTTGAATGATATACCTTGCACGTAAAGTCACAGTATTTTTCCGGCTTGCGTGTATAAACAATAGCCAAATAGGCATAGTTATTTATTCAGAATTATTTAAATAGGATTGTTTATAAAATATGAAAGTGTTGAATTTCATAAGTTTGCACACTGCTGGTTTCACCACACCAGACCAATTATTTCGTTCCTTTTATTGTATGCGTACATGCTTGTGGTATGTCTGCCACTTCATAGAATAGCGATATAATATACTGTGAATAGTTAAAAAGTATATACAGAATATATTTATAGTACTCCAGAAAGTTAACCAATTTCCGTTAACCGTTTTATGCCATTAAGATTAATCATGCTCACGCACAAAGACTTGGTGATTTTAAATCATATAAAATTGCACGTATATAAATTCGTCATGTTTGTTATTGAACATTAGTATTTTGTATCACAACGTTGTGTTTGCGCATGCATTATGTAACTTATATTTTGTCTTTTTTGTCATAACTTTACGTTTTGAGTTATTCGCGTTATAATTTTATAAATAATCGTCATGCATGTATAAACACTCTTGTACAGTAGTTGTACTACAGAAGGTGAATATATTCTTCACACCAAATTTTTAATTGTGAAGTGGTTTTGTGAGTCAGGGGAAGGGGGAAAGTTGTTATCATAAATCTTTGTTGTTATCAGAAATATTTGTCCGTATAAAGATAAATCGGACAAAAATCTGAAAAGTTGTTTATGCACTTTAACGTAGTAGCTACTGCTCACGAAGATTTCCTGAAACCTTCCCCAATGTCTTCTTCGAAAAATAAAATTATGTCATTTTCACAGCGAAAGATTTATTTTTGAAGCGGGACTCGTATTGTACAATCATTTTGAAGCAGTTTGCGTGAAACTCTTTGTTTTCAAGTTTATTGTTATATTAACATTTCTATATACGTACAATGGAATTAATCATAAAAACAGCAAGTGAATCAGCGCTAGTTACTCTATGGTTGTGAAGAAATATCTTAAAACTGATTTGGACGAATTTTCATCTCCGTCTTTTTGAAAGAATAAAGGTTCCATCGGTTCCATCTTATTCCGGTGTCGTTTCTGTATTGATTTGCATCGAGATAAACGCCATTTAGGCTGGATTCATAACAGTCCTCGTGCCACCAAGCTCCTTTGTAGTATTCAGCACAATTATAATCGCCATTACTAGCATCATTATCACGATCTTTGGTAGAGAACTGCATTTGATTGTGATGAGCCAGGGAATCACCAGCGCTACCTTTTAACAACATAGTAAATAAACTCCTCACTTTATATAGCACATTCAAAACAAAATTAACATGTTTATATTCTCTTAGTGGATCTTGTTTAAATTCTAATAAGGCCATTGTGAGAAATGTGTTTGGTTTTCAGCTAGCGAGTATTATACACATTCATGCAGGATCTCTGCGCTATTGTGCCGAAAGTTAGCGGTATCAAGAGCTGTTAGAGAGAAAGTTAGCGGTATCAAGTTAGCGGTATCGGTAGCAAGTTGTAATTTTTGTAATGGCAGAATTAATATTACCGAAAAAAAAACACTTATGAAAGCGTTGGAAAACATCAGAGGAAGTCAATACGAAGCATGCATGCATACAAGTAAGAGATAACTAAATGATCAACTCTGATGTCAACTGCCTTAGCGTTCTGTCTGATTTCCATGCATGCATGCATGCAGGCATGTCCATGTAGCTAAACATCTCCCAAGCCATGAATACCTTAAAACCCGCGCTACTCTAATCTCATTTTTTATCTAATTCTACGCCTAATGCAACAATCTCCTCCGAACACTTTCATTGAAATGCCTTTCTTGAAACATCCCATTTGCTTTTTATACTTTTCACTTCATCTTCCATAATTCCTTGAGGCCAGTTTAACGAATTAAGGCTAATTTTGATATTGATTTCAGCTGATTGATTTTTCAAACTTTGTAAAATTGGTTGAAAAGCAGTTAAACTACAGAGTGGAGTTAGCAATAATTGATTAGAGAGTGTCAAGGTTTTATCAGGATTAGACCAAGAAATGGGGAATTGAAAATTAAAATTGAAAATGGGGAATTATACAGCTTTCGGACAATCTGACCTTTCCATCTAGCTGTAGGTTTAAACAGCCTTTTACTTTTGCTCAGGGCGTGGTTTACATCCGTGGATCCAGGGTGAGTCAGAATAAAATACCACAGCTCTAACTTGCAATCATATTGGTAGATTTTTATGTATTCTTTAGAAATAAGTACCCAATAGCGTTGTTATTAATTAAGCTATTTTGAATTGGAAATTAGGCTGTGCAATTTATTCTGACTTACCCTGAATCCGCCACTGGTTTACCTGAATAACTGCCAATAGTCAATCTGTATTTGTCTGATTCGTCAGCCACACGAAACGTTCCGTATTTAGCGTATCGTTCAACGTGATCGAAATCCATCAAATTTACTCTTAAAACGTTTTGACCAGATTTGGACAAACGATGTATTTTATCAGAGCCTAGCCAGAATTCGCCGTAAAGATCACCAAAGCCTGCTTTATAGTCTGACCATCCACGGTAAAAATTTTGACTTCCATCATGTCTTTTCTGGAACACGGTCCAGCCACCACCGTTTCTGCTCATATCACATCTAACTCGAAATGGTCCCTGTCCATCAGGATCGATGGTATAAACACCATCTTGTGTCACACCTGACTTGTAATAATGGGCGCAATCTACTGCGTACGTTCTAATACCAGTTTCTAAAAAATCAGTAGCAGCTTTGTGGAATGTCTGATTATGTACATACATAAAATTAGTCACAAACATACTAAATTAGTTATCAAAACCTTTAGTTTCCGGCGCTTGAGTCAAGTTATCCAAACGAGCTGCAAGCTTCAAAAGAGCGGCGTTTACTCTAAGCTTAAGCTAAAAAAGAAGTCATAAAATCAGTAGCACCAGCAATTGGATGCGGAAGAGCGGGGGGAGCGCCACTTCGAAAATGTCACATTGTTGGGCGGGGTTTCATAATAATACCATTATTATTGTGCTATTTGTTGGCAAGCATTCCATGTGGAGTTTTTTTGCGTTTGCATGTGCATATGTGAGATATCTCGTGTGCGATATTTTACAAGCAAAACGTCATCGTTGAAGAGAAAAAGAAGGCGAACTTAACCTCTCTTAGGCACAACGTTTTGACCTACTAACCGGTATCAGGTCGTCTTCGATGGATCCTGAACTTTTGCATGGACATCTGTTCCAAACTTTTTTTGGAGAAGATGACCTCACCCAGTACCACGAGTAAACATGCTTTATCAAAGTTGCTCCAGGTTTTGCCTTACAATCGGTGCCACAGAGATCTTCTGTGCTATCTGGTGGGCTAGAGCAGCTGCAGCACTAAAAATCAAGGTTGCATGGTTAAGTTACTGAATAAGTAATATTGTTATTGTCTGCCCTTTGATTCTTTTGTTGAAATGGTTAAGTTAATATCATACGGCTTATTTATCTATAAGTATACCAATCCTGCTAAAAATCAAGATTGATGCCATGGTTAATTTGACTTCAATCCAAGCAAGAATCGTAGAATCAAACCTAAATTCTTAATTGCATTTCCAGAGTTTTTAAACCTGATGTCTAGGCAAATATCCATTTTACCTCGTGCGACATTTTTTGTTAGACCTGTTTAAAGATGCAACTGTATCCGCAAACATATATAGTATTACTTGCATGACTGGTCTGAATAACAGTTCTATTGACTTAGACCTGTTTAAAGATGCAACTGTATCCGCAAACATATATAGTATTACTTGCATGACTGGTCTGAATAACAGTTCTATTGACTTACCACTGTATTGTTACAGCCGATGAATGCGGTTGAATTATGACGTATTCCTGATGTACTGCTTACCACGCTGTAGCTGAAATAATAACAAATCGTTGAAATGCATGCACGTTTGGTAGGAAACGCAACACAAACTACTTTTAATTAGTGCTTTATCTTTTGATGAAACGAAGATCCTCATATATTTCATCTTAAATTATACGATTAAATACGTTTTTAACTGCACACTCAGACGCATAGCCTTCATTAGTATGTATATACCTAAAAGATCCTGACGTGGTCATTCGATTACGAAATCTTTGGTTGAAAGTAAAACCATAAGGACATTGTTTTTTGAAGCATTCATTTATCATTGCCTAAGAATGAATGTAAAATGCAGTTGATAGCATATTGAGGTGGCACAACCCGTTACAGACATTTTTCCCTAAACTCTTTCGAAACTTTCGCAAGAATTCGATGAAACGAATGATGCATCGAACAGCTATGAAGCTGTAAACAAAACAACAACAGCTGTAAAAACAAACCCATCCTATCGTTAGAGAAATACGATAATGCACATTCAGTCCAAATTGTGAGCAACGGAATTTCGTCGTAACAATTTTCTCGGTCCGGAGGTCTTTGACGTAATCGATGTCACCAATGCCTGGTGATGATGCGCCACAACCCCCCTGATTAATGATCATTATGTTCTTAAGAGGACGTGTATTTCGCAGTCTGTAGGACCTGAAAAGATAAGGATTAATTCTATCAGGAAAATGGCCATTATTCATTGGTGTAAAGGTGTTGAATTACGACACTATTCATTCAAACGGTATAGGGGCACCTGAATGAACCTAGGTTGGCAGATTTTGAGGGAAATGTATTTTTACATATTTCGCTGTTTCGCAATATATTTCACAATGCTCAAGATATCGCTCTTTTTACCAGTGAGCATTTGATTTAATCAAATTTTCTTCTGCCGACACTTGTATTCTGAAGTCAAGAACTTGAACGTCACCGAGATCACTTGACCACTGAGCTTCACCAAACGGATCAACTGTTGTGTTTCTGGATGGAGCATTCCATGTGACAGAACTATCGAGTTTACCAATTAGCGCAAATCCCCCTCCGTCTGTAGTCATGTCACAATAGACCTAGAGTAAGAGCAGACAACTAACTTGAATTATTCCGCATTAATATTAGCTGGGCACTTTGGGCAGGGGGGTCACCGTTAAAGCTCTTCAGTCCGGCGCTTATTTCCTTGCACGTATTCTTAGCGCTGACGCATTCATTGATTATAATGCGCTAACAGGTAGTAGCTATACGGAAGTATATGAATTTACAAACCCTCCTGGGAACACTCTGATTCAAATGTATCCAATAAAATCCATCTCTAGCTTCAAAATTCTTATTCAGAATATCCGTACAGTCGTATCCGGGGTTGAAATATTCGCCAAAGGGATTAGAACCTAAATTAGGAATGTAAGTTCACGTTGGACATCGAAAAAATACATAAAAGGGTTTAAAAATGAAACTTTATCAACTGATATCATGTACATGCAGGCTTATTTAGAATATTACCGTCCGTTGTTTTCCAACCAAAAACTCCATTTTGCTCGGTGCAAATTAACAGTTTGTCAAAGTTCAAGCGATTTTTAATCAATTTTAATGAACCACTTTCCGATTTGCTACAAGAGCCAGGGTCATAGCCGCCTGTTTGAATATCCACACTCTATTAAAATACATCAGGCCGTTCGTTTTGATTTCGCGTGAAGACTGGTTTTAGTATTTACTTTCAAATTTTTTGGAACAATGGTAAGATAATAAAGAATTAGGATTTAAATCGTCTTACCTTTACTTCATTTGAGGCAAATAAAATCAGGACATTCATTACAAGCAGTTCAAGGTAAAACATGTTCATCCTAAAAGAGGATCACTTTCATGGTAAATTACAAAAAACACGTTTTAGAAATTCACCTTATGCTAATCTCTAGAAATCAATATACAATGGAGTATATCTTAAAAACATGCATAGAAACGTTTTACTATAGCTAGTCAAACGTTTTAGTCTGTTTGTCCTCGATCTATATATATCTATCTTTATTGATGACATTACATATCCCTGCTATAAAAACGGCATGGGGTGATTACATTATTGATTGTAATTTGATTACTTTACAGAAGTAAAACACCCTAATACAAGCTGGACTTTTTTAAGTATTTGCGGCTTTTTAGGGGGTTGGGGTATGACCTTGTAACATAATTGAAAGGGAGCAATGCACAACGACGCTGACAGGAATTCAGAATCAGTGATGAAGATCATAATTAAAGCAATTATTTTTTTTCGTATTGCTCAATCATCTGTGACCGAGCTGAATCAGCTGATACAAATACTAAACACCACAAACATGTTATTGACATGCATATATTTTACGTGTTAATATATCGACGATTGGTCGAACGTTTTCGAATTTTTGAAACGAGCATTCTGATTTATAAATTCAGTATGACTGCGAGCTGCGGCGAATGTCGTCAGGATTTACTTTAATTGTTGATCTATAATTATATATATATATATATATATTATATATATATTATATATATATATATATATATATATTATATATTATATATCCCATTTGCAAAAACGTTGGCCGCAGATAGATAGATAGATAGATACTCGAGGTCTAATTAGAATTGCATATGATTACATTTGCATGCATGGGATTTCAATCATATTACAGCACATATGCAATTCTAATTAGATTTCGGGTATCTATCTATATATCTATCTGCGGCCAACGTTTTTGCAAACGGGTGTATATATATATATAATATATATTATTATATTATATATATATATATAAATATATATATATATATATATATATATATATATATATATAAAGTCCCGTACAAGCCAGTTTTCCTTGACAAATTTTCTTGACCAATTCTTATTGCCAAGTTTTACGATAATATGAGTATATTTTACGATAATATCAGTATATTTTACGATAATATGAGTATATTTTACGATAATATGAGCCATGATAAAATATGTATACGACTGAATCTCAAAACAAACAGAAATGATAAAACTTTCAAAACCCACTCGATTGGCTCGAAGATTGTTGCTCTGTTCCCTACTGCGCAATTCCTTGACGGCCGTACACACGAGCATTTTTCCTTGGGAAAAGCTGGCATGACTAGCTTTTGAACAAGGCTCCTTGGCAAGGAAAACCTGTCATTTTTTTCGCGTACACACGAGCAAATAAAACTGCATGATACCCCATGCCTTGCGACTGAAAAAAGTACAGGAGGAATACTCAATTACTACTACAACAACGTAAATAACCGCCTGTCTTCTTTCTAAGGAAGTGAGTTGGTTTTTTTTTGAATATTTTACGCCTTCTCAACTAATTTTACATTCATAGTGAAAATGTGGCTACATCCGCCGTTTTTTTTTGTAATCGTAAAATCGTATTGTTTTACCCTGATAAACTGAATGCTTCTTTTGTTTTTGAAAAATCTCACAACCAATATGAGCTAGAGCATGCCAAAACCCAGTTTGTGGATTTGCACCACTTGCTGTATGCAGCATGAATTAGCATAACAACAACACAAATTTTCTATTAAAGGCTACTTTTTTATATCCACACACTAAATAAGTCTGGTTAAACTTGCTGACAATCCACCCGTAAGTAAGCATATTCACGGTTTGAATTTAGAATTTTCATTTACATGAAACACATGTCTTCGTGCAGTGTTCCAAAGGTTTTGGCATAAATAACAATGCAGTTTATACTGTACTGGAGTAACGACTTCACGATAACATCAATCTAATACAGCCGAATATGTTGACGAGGCATGCAAAAATAACTCGAAGATCGCTCTATAGAACATTGATTGAAATTAGTCTAAAAAATGGCCCATTTAAATGCATGCATGCACAGTTATCGCCATGCAAATCCCCAGCATAGCAGCTTTTTTAAAGTCCATTTCCTGCTGTGCTCAGCCTCTGGAGGAATAAGTTAGTGTATATAATTTTACCTGATGTCCAGAGATAAAGTTTGTGATAAACGTCGTTAGCCAGACTGTGATGTGCTCTGCATGATTTGTGTGATAAATTTAAAGATCTGCTGAAGGATACATTGATCTTAAACGATCGGAAAACGTATACACTCCCCAATCCCTGACTCGCGATATAATATTTCGTTTCATTTCTGATAATTAATTCGCTATATAAGACATTGTTGAAGAACGAAAGGGGTGATGAAAATAATTGAATATATATAAATAGTATATATATCAACAGTATAGAAAAAACCATCCGCATATATATGAATTGTAATTGATGCAGGGGAACAATGCATGCCCTTCATCACCGCGACGTCTGTTTGTTTGGTTAAGTAAGTTATGAAGAAAAAATGGTAACAGGATCGTACTGAAAAACACATTCTGTATAACGTAGGTGTCCTGATTAAAAAATGGCTTGGTTGAACATCAAAAAGGAATGTATGTGCCAATGCAAACTAGGGTTTAGTGCTACAGCTTCGGTTTCTAGCTACGTTGATGAGTCAAAACTTTTGAGCAAAAAAGTGTCATACAGGTCATGCGATGCATATTATCTGTTGCAAAGCAGAAAAAAATTCAAATAAAAAAATTTCATAAAAAATGGCGGTTACGACTTTAATCAAAGCGAGTCTGTGTCGCACTAAAAGGGTATATACCTTGACTGCATGATGAGTTGACGTGTTTCGACATCATTCACATAGATATGGCCAGACAATAATAATGGCTATATAATAGCTGCTTAATGCATTAAAAGGCATTCAAATAACATCAAACAATCAAATTTCCCTAAATAGTTTCTCAACTTGAACAATGTTTAGAACTTCATGCAATGGGCAACCTTGTGCAAACGTATAGCCATGTTGCCGTCAACATATTTGGGTCTGCACTGTCTTATAGTTTAATTTTTGGTTTCATTAGTAAAAATGTCGTCCTTTCAATTGATTGGAAAAACTTATAATCAAGGTACATAAACCAAAATATGAAGATATCAAATAAGTCTTATTTTTTATTTTCATTCATTTCGCATGTAATGCATGCATGCATTTATATATAGTACGGTAATTTCACCATTTCCATTCCATGGAGCGGATAATAATTTAAGATACGCGTTATAATTTAAAACCGTGTAACATTGCACTCTCATAATATAATTTACGGACAAATGCAATGCTATAACGAACAAATGCAATTTTTTTCTTGTATTTATCTTGTTTACAAGAAACAAGATAAATACAAGAAAAAATTTGAATTTGTTCGTGCAATTAATATAGATTAAACTGCAGTCGAGTAGAGTTGGTTTTGTGATGAGAAATATGACTGTATTTCACTGAACTGCCCGAGTTCTGCCAGCTCTGATGGAAGATAGCCATCCTATAAACAAAACAAGTCGATTCTCTATCGTACATATATGACGACCGAGGAATTAACATTTCCCTTTCATTTTCTCATAAGAATCACTAAACCATTTACAGATTTCTTTTATACAGGCAATAATAATCGGGAGTATAGAACAAGAATGACGATTGTGTTGATCGCTATATATACGTCTTCATTCAGATCTTCCACTCGTGCAACTGAGTATGAGGGTGGGCAAGCTTTTAGAATACATGCATGCAGGCGTAAGCGAACTAAGCGATCCGTCACTATTGCATGTTTGTGACTTTCAAAACCTATGCATGCTGCCAGTTTTATTTATATACGGATAGCTTTTTGGAGTAAAACGGCCAAGCCAAGGGAGATTTAAGTGAATGTTGCACAACAATTAAGAAAAAAAGTTCACCTACTTGATTTCGAATATTAACTTGAGCACCTGCTTGAACTAACAATTTCACGATGTTCAAATGACCAAAGAGACATGCCCCGTGCAACGCACTTTGTCCATTCTAATAAAATGTGACAAAAAACCCAGTGAGTATATATACATTATTTATTTTATGGCATGTTTTCGATCGCGCCTTTGACTTTCCTCCATATGCTATATGCATGCTTGTGCATGGGAAGACTGTGAAACAGACACTATATAGCTTTATAACGCGTATAGTCGCGTACGCCCATTGAATGACGATGTTGAACTTTCATTTTTAAATGTCAGTTCAGACAGTCTGAAGGAGTCTCATCGACATATTTGTTGGAACATATATATTATAATATATAGATATTTTCAAATAAAGTTTCTAACTGCATTCTCTATCAAATTTATGGATTGAATAAAACACTTTTATACGAAGCCCAAATGAACTAATACCTAAATAAATTTTTAAACGTGTTTTTCTTAGTGCTCAGTTCCATTCAATAGTAATTGTTTTTGACCCTTCCTGCATGATGTGTGAGATGAAATTGTTGGATTTTATTGCCGCACAGCATGGGAAAATACGGCTGTGGGAATTTACCTTCAACAAACCAAGGTCAGGTTTAATATGGTGATTAAGCAAATGTTCAACGACACGAACATGACCTTTATGACAGGCCTTGAACAACGGAGTTGAACCATCCTTAAAACACAAGGAAAATAGTTAAATCAAAGAGTAAAAAATTAGGGATGTAAGAATAGTGCAAAGTTTTGGCAACCTCTGGATACCTGGGGCATATACCGGAAGTACTTCCGTGAGTCTGCTGTTTTTTAAAGGCTATAGTTAACTCTTAACTACATGCATGTATAGTTACTAGTTAGTGACAGAATTGGCCAATCAGAGTCGTGTATTTCTAAATTAACTAGTACTTAACTATGCAAAATGTAGTTAAGAATTTTATACAACCGCCGCATGGTAATTATAGGGTTAATCAATATATTCTATTGGGCCGCAGAGCAACAACTAAAGGTTATTCGGCTGCCATCTTTGAAACCAATTTGAAGGACCGGTCTTTTATTGCGTCAAAGATGGCGACTGAGTTATCGTTCAGGGCATACAGACTCCAGTGTTCACTGGGCTCACTACCCAAATCAAAACGGCAGTTTATGGCCAAAAACTTTAATTCGTTCGTGTATCTTGGAATTAAGGGCCCAAGTGATTGAGTAAAGATAGATTTTCTACGACCAGTTATCGAAGCATTGCCTGGCATTCTTTATTTCGTTTTGGTCTTTTAAATTATATTTACTTTAAAAAGCAATATTATAGCTATGTACGTACGATAGCGCACCTCTCTGCTCAGATCGATGGACGCTCCTGCATAAAGAAGTAACTTTACAACGTCACTATGCCCCATCTGGCAAGCTATCCATAGTGGACTCGTTTTATCCTGTATCAAAATATACGCACAGATGAAACGCAGTGGTAACATGCATGCATGTATAGCATATGGTTAAATACCGAGATAATGGTACTAGACTGAGATTATGGTGGCATGCATAGCATATGGTTAATTACAGAGATAATGGAGACTGAGATTATGGTGGCATGCACACCATATGGTTAAGTGACTGAGATAATGCATGGTAGCATGCATAGGATAGGGTTAAATACGGAGATAATGGTATAGCATGATTATATTGCATATGGTTAAATACGGAGATAATGGGAGCATGCATGTATATATAGCATATGGTTGAACACTGTGATAATGGTAGCATACATATACATATGGTTAAATACGGAGATATTGGTAGCACGTGCATTGCACATGGTTAAACAATGGGATAATGCATGGTGGCATGCATGCATATTCCGTATATAGTTAAATACTGAGATAATAATAACATGAATTGCATAAACACTGAGAACGTTAGCATGAATAGCATATGGCAAAAATGAACGAATGGGTGGTTGTTACGAAACATCTGATTATGTTTATGCTACTTTAGCAAATCAATTCAACAAATTATACACAGTATTAGTAAAACATGGTATCGTGCATCCATGCATTACCATATATGGGGCTATGAATATATAAATAAAGATTGGGAATGCATTTGTGATTTTAGTAATTAATAGTAATTGACTCAAAATGCTACCCGTAAGTAGGGGCACTCAATTAACACGCGTGGGGTACTTCATTTAAAAATATAATTTTTTATGCGTGGACTGAAATCAGTCGGGACATGCATTACGGATATTTTGGCGTTGACCTCACGAATGTCAATACTGAAGAGTTAAAAATTTACAGTGATATTTTTAAGGCCTAGGTTATAGCTACGTCGCTATGTTGGTCGCGTTGAATACAATTTAAACAACAGATAATGAGATGATAATGAAGCTTAATCAGGTTTATCATCTTATTATGCATTGTTTGAATTGCATTCGACCAAAATGCGACGTATAACCTAGGCCTAATACTTTAGGGTTATCAGCGATCTAAATTTCAATAATGTAAAAAAGATTACCTTGCGACATCTATTCACAGATGCCCCACTGTTGAGCAGACGCAAAATAACTCCGGTGTGTCCATTTTGAGAAGCAACAAATAACGGAGTTGCACCATCCTAAATCGTGGAATGAATTAAACTGGTAGATATTAGCAACTCCCACTATATGAAATAATTGCAACATCGTAATTCAATTCCATTGCAATGTAAGGCCTGGTTCACAGTAGCTCTTAAAAATCGAGGATCTATTGTATTATTCTCCAATAGACAAAGCATTTTGCGCTCATACAAAGGGAATAAAGCGTGGTTCACACTTGTCCTAAGAATCTGGGATTCCCTTTGTATGAGGTCACTGTTGCTTTGTCTATCAGAAAAAATACATAGGATCCCCGATTCTTAAGAGCTAGTGTGAATCAGGCCTAAGGCCTGGTTCACACTATCTTCCGACAGACAAAGCATTTTGCGCACCAGCGACCTCAGACAAAGGGAATCCCAGATACTTAAGCCTGGTTCACAGTTGTCCTAAGAATCCGGGTTCGCTTTGTCTAAGGTCACTAGTGCACAAAATGCTTTGTCTACCCGAAAGTAATACAATGGATCCCCGATACTTAGGAGCTAGTGTGAACCAGGCCTAATTTATATAAAAAAATCGATATACTAAGAAACGGTGACAAGCATAGACAAATATCTTAAATTCTTTGTCTAATATTACCAACAACCTTCTACTTAAATACTTCAACATAAACTGAGGCACTGAATCAATTATAATCAACATAGTGATATTAAGCCTGGTTCACACTTGTCCTAAGAATCTGGGATTCCTTTGTCTGAGGTCGCTGGTGCGCAAAATCCTTTGTCTATCGGAAAGTAATACAATGGATCCCCGATACTTAAAAGCTAGTGTGAACCATGCAGCCAGTGTGAACCAGGCCTTCATTAACCTGTATTGATGCATTTAGTGCAGGCCTAAACGAAGCCATTTCGGTAACAATGTCAACACAACCACATTGTGAGGCAATAAACAACGACGTTGCCGCTTCCTTAAATAAAAAAATATGATGAAACCATTAGGAAATATGATGTAACTATCGAAATGCTAAGTCCTACACACTAATGTAACTCAACGAAGATTGTTTTACAAATATTGCAGGGTCGTATGAATCAAAGATATTATTAACCGTTCAGCACGCCTCTTACGAGCAAGTCGCTCAGTGGCAGAAGCAACCCAAAAGTTCAGTTATTCGCAATACCTTTATGTTAGCACCATAATCAATGCTTGCTCCATTTCTTAGAAGTTCCTGAACAACAGCCAGATGTCCAGCTTGTGCCGCGAAAAACAAAGCTGTCTTACCAGTCTAAATAATCAAAACACTTTTCTTGTTCCCTTCGTATTTTAAAAGATATCTCAGGTACATGAGGAAAAATCCCGTAAGTAAAATGCTTGTATGCATGCATGTGGTATAATTCTATATAAATACAGTGCTAACGAGATTGACATGTTTTACGGCCGTAAACGAGAAACAATTTTTCTGAAAATAACTTCTCGTAAAGTCAAAGATTTCGATTCCCATGCTTATACTTGTTTAGATCTTTGAACTTTTATACTACGGCTATAATTATGCATGAATTTTATAATATGATCACCTTTCTTCGCTGTTCAACGCTAGCTCCTTGTTTAATTAAGTACTTCAATACATCAATATGACCATAAGCTGCACACAAAATTAAAGGTGTAGTACCATTCTGAAAATGTTAAATACATGTTGTCCTGATAAATACATTTACATTACCTATATACTTTAATGAAATTATATCTAATACTATTGTCGCGTATAGACACCAAAAATGAAGACATTTTTATGTATTTGTTTTATATAAACGTCGATTTATATTATAGTTGACGTAACGTATATTTGTATTTAAAAGCGTTAATCATATGCATTGTCGAATTGATCTGTATATAGCATCAAATGTGGTATAACAACTGCTTATAGAATGGACAAAACACTTCTCGACGTTTCGACGTGAGGGCCTTCGTCAGGAGAGTTAGTGTGATAGTGATACTAATTTGCTAAGTTGTCTGAAGACGCTGCGACGCTGCTCCCTGGTTATATTGATCTGTACATATATACATAAGATAAATAAATTTCATCATGGTCGGTATTTCATAGTACGATAAACATGTTTTCATACTTATATGTAAACGGGATGATCGTGTAAGACGAGCATTGTGCAAACGTTCAGTGACCAGGTCGACCTTTTTAATATTCGTGACCGCATGAATAACCCGAGTGAATATATAAAATCTACCATCTACAATCTACAAAATTTACTTATCGGACAAGCAAATCTACTGTGTATATATAAACACTGGGTTTCCACAATCAAAAATTTTTTTGACACAAGACCACGTACCCCTTAAGAGGGAGGGGTAAATCTTATAGCAGCATGAATTAAAGGGTGCATTTAAAAATTCTTTGCCAACTCTTTTCCTTTTTCCTATTAGGACTGCCATATGCAAATAATTCCGAAATTCAAAACGAAAACCCTGTATATATAAAGAAAGCCTTACTTTGTTACTTTTGCTCGATAACACCATGCACCATTTTTACCAACTCTGCGTCTTGTTTGAAGTTATACCGAATTTGGCCGGGTATAAAGAAGGGCAGTCGAGAAAGCAGTTGTATTAATAAAATTGACAAAATAAAATTTAAATCATAAGACGTAATCAATTACTTTGTCAATACAATGCAGCAGTGATGGCGTTGTATCTATGATTTTTTCAACAACATCTAGCTGACCAGAGGTAATTCCCACACGAAATTGTTCCTGCATAGTTAATTTGGCTACCTGTAAATGTGAAAAAATAATCCTTAATAATATCATTATATTGCAAAAGAAATTACACCTATGCACGTCGGATAACATTTTTATAATTATAAATCTTATTTCACATTTCTTTTGCTAAATTTACTCTTGTAAAGTCTCATTGGTAAGACGCATGCAAGTGCCAACTGCATGTCAGTGGCCTTTGGGTTTTATGTGGCCTTTACTTGTACGAACAGATTTAATGGAATATACATGGTTTGAAGACCACATAAAACTACAGTACAACTACTAACTAACTATGTTGAGGTAGATTTATGCAAAAATTGTTCCTTCTCATCACATGTCTATTGTATTTTGCACAGATATAGGGGTCTTTTAAAATATTTTTCAAGTCAAGGTTGAGGAGCTAAGATACAAAAGACACCTGAGCAGAAAGGAACCATTTTTGGCATAAACCTGGACAATAACATGGTTAACGAGTTGTATTGTATTTTTATTTAGTCTCCAAACCATGTATATATATTCTATTAACTGTGGTGCGAAGAGAGCTCAGTCAAGGCTCGTCTTTTCACTCGTTTAGCATCTCATTATATATAACATTAATTGTCATCAATCGCGTGCCCTCGGTTCCGGAGAAGTTACAATGACAGAAACGCTGCCTGAAACGGAATAATGCATGCTGTGTGCAAAGTGTGCTGCCTGGTTCCTCAGCTCGTTGAATGGAACATTACTGCCTATACTCTAAAAGCTCACTCACACTCAAACTCCGGCAATGAGTGGAATATGTCCAGGAATGAGTCTGAATCTCGTCGTATAACGAGTGTGTATTAGAGTGTAAAGGCGGATTTCCACTTACAGCGAAATCGTTCGCTAGCGAAATATTTGCATATTTTCTTTTCAATTGAGAACAGTCAAGTCGAACTAATTTATTTATACTGTTAAAATTCAAAAGAAAATATGCAAATATTTCGCTAGCGAACGATTTCGCTGTAAGTGGAAATCCGCCTTAACGGATATCGGATAATGGATTAACTGTAAATATAAACTAATAGAATAAGGAAAAGTAAGTTGCCGCGGATGCCCCACTGCAAGTGATCCCGAGATTAATATATAAATATAGCAGTTGATAATAAATATAGCATTCTAGATAATTAAAGGAGGCGTGCAGGCCCTTTAGAACGAAAGTATAAATCAGTACCCAATGTAAAATATTGAATAACAGAGTTGGATCTAGACCACGTTGTGTGTGAAGTGAACTCGGCTCGTTACAAGAGCTTGATTTTTAATGTCTTCCTTGAATCTTTCCATTGATTAAGAAAGGCTATTTAGATTATTAATTAATGTCAGAGTTTCTCGGCTGTATTCTAAAAGCTCACTCACACTCAAACTCATTGAGTGGGAGATCTTAATCTTCTCATAACGTTTCAATGGCGGTTTTTCCAGCCGAATAGGGGCTTGATTTTCAGTGATTAATCTTATATCTTTCCATCTATTCAGAAAAAAACTTTCCATTGATCAGCATTAACAAAATTCATATGTCCTACTCAATGAGTGTGAGTGTGAGTGAGCTTTTTGAACACATAACATTTATTGGCGCTACCTTAATTTCTAGTGAAAAGTTACAGGTGTGGCGGTGGGTACTTTTTGTCCACCACCTCCTCAAGTGGGAATGTTTCATTTGCCTTTCTTATGGCCATATAGAAAAACCAGGCTTCACACACTGAACACATAATATTCGTTGGGGGCCACTTTTTTTGTCCACCCTTCAAGTCAGAATGTTTGATTTGCTTTTCTTATGGCCATGTACTACAGAAAAACCAGGCACACTGAAGTCTGGTTTTCACTTGCGACATAAGCATAGCCGTATATCAACGCATGACATGTCACTACTTATCTCAATTTCGTCCTCGCAAACTAGGAATATGTGTAGCTGACAAATGTCAAAATTTCAAAATGGCATATTTCCTGCTTTGTGCATGTTAGTTACCATATTTAAGTTGGAATGTTTAATCTAGTGAAAATTGCAAAAAATGCTATTCAAATGAATGAAATGATGCAGGGGTTTTACAATTTTTACAGGACCGGCCTCCTTGAAAACCACATATGTGATGGAGCTTCCTGTGTAAATATTACTCTAATAATAATAATAATTTTCACATTGATTCGCATCACACTGAATATTCTTCATTAGACCAACAGCTGGAACATTTCCCAGCTGTTCATTAGACCGGTTTTGCACTAACAATAATTTTCGCGCGAAGCAATATTTTACTTTTGTTTCAGAGCTGCCAACTGCAACCATCTGGAACAAATTGCTCATGATCATTACAAAATAATAAATTCGCTTCGCGCGAAAATTATCACTAGTAGAAAACCGGCTTTACATGCCATATTGCACATTCGAACGTTATAATAGAAGACATAAACTATATATAATTTTTTTATTGGAAATGGACATTAAAGAAGTATGGATGCACGCAAATTTAAACATTAATGTATACACTTATAGTTCCATGTATATAGTTCGATGTCCATGTAGGATTAAAAATTATAGTGTTTATAGACTTTTTAACTGAATCTTTAAAGCTTATTCTTTATTTGCTACTTTATTTAGTAAATTTGCAACCAATGATAAGTACACTTAACAAACCAATGAATAAATCTTTGCATATACATTTTACACCCTGACAACGTTTGAACTGTTTCCGATAATTTTTATGACCGTTGTACCAATTTGCGAATGTTTGCACTGCGCCACCCGTACAAAATAGAGTTAAATGAAAACGAAATGAAGAACAGCGTATTGAACCACGGTCTGATGTACTTGGACCTCTTGCGGAATTGCAAAGGATCATGGTAGTTTAGTTACACGGCAGAATTTTCCATCATGGCCGCTTGCCATGTTCGAACAGAGAAAGAAGCTTTTGATGTGAAAATTTACGGAAAACTCTTATCATTTTGACTTCGGTTAAAGTTTTTTTTCAATTCTGTACGTCTTGCTTCATATTTTTTCCATGTCTCGGGTTTCTACGATGAAAATGTTTTGAAATATTCAGCATGGCGTACAGAGTTGCCGAAGCGTGCTGTGGCTTCGATTCAAGATGGCCAGACACAAATTTTGCTATCTTTTCCAATCGAAAGGTATGTGTTCAGTTAAATTACTTTTAAAATAAGCGGAACAAAGAGGATGATCGTTTCGCCGAGTTATACGGCAATCGACTGCTTTCTCACGGCTTGAGACACGAAAATGTTTTCACACTTGGTCGGTCTAAAATAACACATGTTTGATCAAGTGTTCTTTCCCAAAACCAAAACATTGAGCTTTTTTTGGCGCGAAAAGTTACCGTTTGAAGTATAGAGCTGTCTTGTTTCAAAAATTTTCTGTTGTGTTGAAGTGCTTTTAAGTGCTTTTAAGTGCTGCTTATGCGTTTTGGTGGAGTTTTTCAACGACGTAAAATTCACGCGATTCAAAATATAAATTGCTCGCTTGGCCGCCAACCTATTTGGACCGTTTCTGGATATATTTTTCTTTAAAAATGGAAAGTAACGATAGTGAAGTAACTGAGACCACTAAAGACAAAAAGTACGGAGGTACAACTTGTTGTGTGCCACTTTGTAAAAGTAACAGTGTCAAAAATCCAGGGTTGTCTTTTCACAAATTTCCCAAAGATTCAAGCTTGAGAGAAACATGGCTAAACTTATTACATATAAGTAAACAACCTTTGAAAAGCCACAAAGTTTGTTCATTACATTTTCCTGGTGAAAAGAAATCCTTTGGTTCATTACCAACAATTGTTAAGTCATCAAGTAGACAAACAGTGAACAGTAGGGAAGGTAGAGAACATATTTCAAGCTGCAACTCGGTTCAAAACTGTGAAAATATTAATGAAACTACCATACCTGAAAAACTTACAACTGACGAAGAAAAACAAGAGTCAGACTATGAAAAATTGAAAGTCGAACATGCTGAATTACAAAGAAAATATAATGACTTATCATCAAAATACGTACAGTGTGCACTTCGAATAGAGCATGTTCTTGCCAGTGATGCAAACTTCAAATTTTACACTGGTTTTCAAAATTATCAGACATTTAAAGTTTTTTTTGAATACCTGCAACCAGCATGTGATTTTCTAAGCTATACTGGTTCAAGTAACAATGTAGAATATACATCAGAATCTCAAACAAAATTGGGACGAACTAGGTCAATGTCACCAGAACAAGAGTTGTTCATGGTTATTGTACGTTTACGGTGTGGGCTTATGGGAACAGACATAGCAAATCGATTTGGGATTTCAGAAGCCCACGTCTCTCGTATCTGGACAACCTGGATAGAATTTCTGTATCACAGGTTGCGAGCCATTCCCATTTGGGCCTCACGTGACTATGTACAACAAACTATGCCACAGGCTTTTAAAGACACCTACCCAAATACTCGTGTAATCATTGATTGCACTGAACTGTTTATTGAAATGCCAACTTCCTTCAGAAGTCAGTCAGCCACATTTTCGTTTTATAAAAATCACAACACTGCTAAGGGATTGCTTGGTATTTCCCCTGCTGGATATCCAACATTTGTGTCTGAGTTGTATGCTGGGCGGTCTAGTGATAAGCAAGTAACCAAAGATTGTGGTATCCTCAAATTACTTGAGCAAGGGGATGACATTATGGCAGATAGGGGGTTTGATATAGAAAGTGAGATGCCAGTTGGTGTGGGGCTGAATATACCACCATTTTTGAATGGTGCCCCTCAACTTTCACTAAGCGATGAAACGGAAACACGGAAAATTGCAGCTGTCCGAGTGCATGTGGAAAGAGCAATAAGACGCATTAAAAGTTTTAGAATGATCAAAAACACTTTTCCTTTAACAATGTCATCAGACTTGAACAAAGTATGGGTCATTTGTTCTTATTTAACATTATTTTGTCCACCTTTGATAAATGATTGTCACTGTGAATTAGAACATGAAATTGAATAGTTTTATTGTTTTGCCAATTTAGGGTAAATATATGTGAAATAA